TCTATTCTTTTCGAGGCGGACAAGGACAGCTGTCTAGTCTTTCGGATGGGACGAAAAACCGAGGTCCCGTGTCTACATTGGAGTGGACGTAAAAGATCCCTTTGACAGATGGAATTCGATATAAGAGTAGGCCGTAGTGCCGCTGTCCGGGCAAAATTTCCCTCATCGCACAGTTTATGGCGTCTGCCCGTCTTCATTAGCCCAGTTCCAAGCAGAACAGAAGGACGTTAAACCCCATTTCATTTCTTGAAACTAGTTGGGAAGCCCCCCGGTCCCTACCCCATGCCCCGGCTCCTTCAGCTATGGCTACGAGCATGATTTGCTACTATATTATCTTAGCCCGCTGCCACCGCTGCTTAATATTGAGCGACTTGTTTATTCGACTGAATTATTCGACTGGTTTATTCGACTGGTTTATTCGACTGAACTTTTCGACTGAATTATTCGACTGGTTTATTCGACTGGATTATTCGACTGAACTAACTGACTGGTTTTATCGACTGGACGAGGCCACATGAAAATGTCAAATACCTCATCCCCAACACCCCCGCCCCACCCCATCCCCTTTCTTCGTTTATATCATATATAGGGACTCTATTCTTTTCGAGGCGGACAAGGACAGCTGTCTAGTCGTTCGGATGGGACGAAAAACCGAGGTCCCGTGTATACATTGGAGTGGACGTAAAAGATCCCTTTGACAGATGGAATTCGATATAAGAGTAGGCCGTAGTGCCGCTGTCCGGGCAAAATTTCCCTCATCGCACAGTGTATGGCGTCTGCCCGTCTTCATTAGCCCAGTTCCAAGCAGAACAGAAGGACGTTAAACCCCATTTCATTTCTTTTCATTTCTTGAAACTAGTTGGGAAGCCCCCCGGTCCCTACCCCATGCCCCCGGCTCCTTCAGCTATGGCTACGAGCATGATTTGCTACTATATTATCTTAGCCCGCTGCCACCGCTGCTTAATATTGAGCGACTTGTTTATTCGACTGAATTATTCGACTGGATTATTCGACTGAATTATTCGACTGAACTATTCGACTGGTTTATTCGACTGAACTTTTCGACTGAATTATTCGACTGGTTTATTCGACTGGATTATTCGACTGAACTAACTGACTGGTTTTATCGACTGGACGAGGCCACATGAAAATGTCAAATACCTCATCCCCCCCACCCCCGCCCCACCCCATCCGTTTCTTCGTTTATATCATATATAGGGACTCTATTCTTTTCGAGGTGGACAAGGACAGCTGTCTAGTCTTTCGGATGGGACGAAAAACCGAGGTCCCGTGTCTACATTGGAGTGGACGTAAAAGATCCCTTTGACAGATGGAATTCGATATAAGAGTAGGCCGTAGTGCCGCTGTCTGGGCAAAATTTCCCTCATCGCACAGTGTATGGCGTCTGCCCGTCTTCATTAGCCCAGTTCCAAGCAGAACAGTAGGACGTTAAAAACCCATTTCATTTCTTTTCATTTCTTGAAACTAGTTGGGAAGCCCCCCGGTCACTACCCCATGCCCCCGGCTCCTTCAGCTATGGCTACGAGCATGATTTGCTACTATATTATCTTAGCCCGCTGCCACCGCTGCTTAATATTGAGCGATTTGTTTATTCGACTGAATTATTCGACTGGATTATTCGACTGAATTATTCGACTGAACTATTCGACTGAAGTATTCGACTGAACTTTTCGACTGAATTATTCGACTGGTTTATTCGACTGGATTATTCGACTGAACTAACTGACTGGTTTTATCGACTGGACGAGGCCACATGAAAATGTCAAATACCTCATCCCCCCCACCCCCGCCCCACCCCATCCCCTTTCTTCGTTTATATCATATATAGGGACTCTATTCTTTTCGAGGCGGACAAGGACAGCTGTCTAGTCTTTCGGATGGGACGAAAAACCGAGGTCCCGTGTCTACATTGGAGTGGACGTAAAAGATCCCTTTGACAGATGGAATTCGATATAAGAGTAGGCCGTAGTGCCGCTGTCCGGGCAAAATTTCCCTCATCGCACAGTTTATGGCGTCTGCCCGTCTTCATTAGCCCAGTTCCAAGCAGAACAGAAGGACGTTAAACCCCATTTCATTTCTTGAAACTAGTTGGGAAGCCCCCCGGTCCCTACCCCATGCCCCGGCTCCTTCAGCTATGGCTACGAGCATGATTTGCTACTATATTATCTTAGCCCGCTGCCACCGCTGCTTAATATTGAGCGACTTGTTTATTCGACTGAATTATTCGACTGGATTATTCGACTGAACTATTCGACTGGTTTATTCGACTGAACTTTTCGACTGAATTATTCGACTGGTTTATTCGACTGGATTATTCGACTGAACTAACTGACTGGTTTTATCGACTGGACGAGGCCACATGAAAATGTCAAATACCTCATCCCCCGCCCCACCCCATCCCCTTTCTACGTTCATATCATATATAGGGACTCTATTCTTTTCGAGGCGGACAAGTACAGCTGTCTGGTCGTTCGGATGGGACGAAAAACCGAGGTCCCGTGTATATATTGGAGTGGACGTAAAAGATCCCTTGACAGATGGAATTCGATAAAAGAGTAGGCCGTAGTGCCGCTGTCCGGGCAAAATTTCCATCATCGCACAGTGTATGGCGTATGCCCGTCTTCATTAGCCCAGTTCCAAGCAGAACAGAAGGACGTTGAACCCCCATTTCATTTCTTTTCATTTCTTGAAACTAGTTGGGAAGCCCCCCGGTCCCTACCCCATGCCCCGGCTCCTTCAGCTATGTCTACGAGCATGATTTGCTACCATATTATCTTAGCCCGCTGCTTAATATTGAGCGACTTGTTTATTCGACTGAATTATTCGACTGAACTATTCGACTGGTTTATTCGACTGAACTTTTCGACTGAATTATTCGACTGGTTTATTCGACTGGATTATTCGACTGAACTAACTGACTGGTTTTATCGACTGGACGAGGCCACATGAAAATGTCAAATACCTCATCCCCCGCCCCACCCCATCCCCTTTCTACGTTCATATCATATATAGGGACTCTATTCTTTTCGAGGCGGACAAGTACAGCTGTCTGGTCGTTCGGATGGGACGAAAAACCGAGGTCCCGTGTATATATTGGAGTGGACGTAAAAGATCCCTTGACAGATGGAATTCGATAAAAGAGTAGGCCGTAGTGCCGCTGTCCGGGCAAAATTTCCAACATAGCACAGTGTATGGCGTATGCCCGTCTTCATTAGCCCAGTTCCAAGCAGAACAGAAGGACGTTGAACCCCCATTTCATTTCTTTTCATTTCTTGAAACTAGTTGGGAAGCCCCCCGGTCCCTACCCCATGCCCCGGCTCCTTCAGCTATGTCTACGAGCATGATTTGCTACCATATTATCTTAGCCCGCTGCTTAATATTGAGCGACTTGTTTATTCGACTGAATTATTCGACTGAACTATTCGACTGGTTTATTCGACTGAATTATTCGACTGGTTTATTCGACTGGATTATTCGACTGAACTAACTGACTGGTTTTATCGACTGGACGAGGCCACATGAAAATGTCAAATACCTTATCCCCCCCACCCCCGCCCCACCCCATCCCCTTTCTTCGTTCATATCATATATAGGGACTCTATTCTTTTCGAGGCGGACAAGGACAGCTGTCTAGTCTTTCGGATGGGACGAAAAACCGAGGTCCCGTGTATACATTGGAGTGGACGTAAAAGATCCCTTTGACAGATGGAATTCGATATAAGAGTAGGCCGTAGTGCCGCTGTCCGGGCAAAATTTCCCTCATCGCACAGTGTATGGCGTATGCCCGTCTTCATTAGCCCAGTTCCAAGCAGAACAAAAGGACGTTGAACCCCCATTTCATTTCTTTTCATTTCTTGAAATTAGTTGGGAAGCCCCCCGGTCCCTACCCCATGCCCCCGGCTCCTTCAGCTATGGCTACGAGCATGATTTGCTACTATATTATCTTAGCCCGCTGCCACCGCTGCTTAATATTGAGCGACTTGTTTATTCGACTGAATTATTCGACTGAAGTATTCGACTGAACTTTTCGACTGGTTTATTCGACTGGATTATTCGACTGAACTAACTGATTGATTTTATCGACTGGGCGAGGCCACATGAAAATGTCAAATACTGAAGCGACTAGATACTATGCTGTCATCAGTTTTATGCATCGGACACAGACTTAATTCAAGTTGTTTATATTAGTACGGCCATTGTTTTCAGTTGATGACGTCAGTCGTTGACCCTTAACCCTAGATGACGACCTTACTCGCAAAGAGAGGTCAACACGTTGTTTAGGGTATTGCTATTGGAAGGAAAATCTCAATAAAATTGTGACTTCAACTGTCAGATTTGAACTTGGGGGAAAATAATCAAAATAGACAAAAAACGATGTAATCATATTTGAGTTAGTGCGTTTTTTATTTCAGTCAAACAAACTATTCCCAAATTTTAGCCCAACCATCGACCGAGTTTGTTGACTGGAAATTCTAGTGGTACTTAGGGGTAATTGGAAAAGGTTAGATATAAATAATGATGCCATGGCCGTGGCGACATGCTTAGGGGTTTTTTTTGTTTTGTTTTTTTCAGTCAACCCGATTGATTCAGTTTCAAAACTTTCGGCCTCATTCCTTGAGACGATAAATTTATCTAACGATAAAAAGAAATTAATCTCAGAATGTCTGATATTGTATTGACGAGACATTCGACCCACTACACGTTCTCTTCCGTAAATAAGATAATCCTAAACAGTTTTGTTTTTTTTAAATTATATTATTAAATTGGTAACAGAATAATCAGATTCTGAAAGCGAATTATTCGGGTAAACGCGTCGCATAACCAGATCACCGCTCGAAATGGAACCATATCGCAAAATAGTTCCAGTTTTTGACTGGATTAAAGATAATAATTAACTGTGTGACATAATAAATTGACTTAGCTGCATTCGATATAAAATTTTGACAAGAAGAAAGTCCCTGTTACAGCCACGGTTATACCTCCATTAAAAGTCAAATCGGAATCTAGGCCACGACGAATCCCTAGTAACTCACTATTTTCAAAAATGACCGAAATATAAATTTACATTTGTTACAGAATCAGAATATTCCAAATCTTTCTAGAACTTTTGATTTGATGAATTTACATAGCTAACAAATGTTTTCATACTTTAGCATTGAAAAGAGATATTACGAATAACAATTTAACGTTCGATACATTTAAAACGAAAGGACAAATTACGTGGGGTTTTTTATTTTTATTAAATTAGTAGGCCTACAAATCGTTACTGCTATAGTCAGAAATACGATTGGAATAGATAATAGATAAGATCAGATTTTAATGTACCAAAACATCCATTACGACGGGAAGAATACTCCTATAGTAAAGGGAGCAAATTATAAAATGGTGGATCAAAAAGCGACTCAGAACTGTTCGAGAGAAGTTTATGCAATGTACAGTGTATATGTTATAATTGTCGAAATTAGAATATAGGGACCTCTGAAAAGAAAGTTCATTAAATAATAATATATATGCATACAGCGCACAGTTTCCTCCTATAAATAGGATAGGGCCTTGATTATCTACACAAAATCTCATCTTTAATCCCTATTTTAGTATTATTCATAAATATTTTGGCCGCAGTAAAATATGAGTAATTTAGTTGTTTATTAAAGAAGTCCACATTTCGTCAATAACCAGAAAATGGGAATAAAGTTAGTTTTCCAAGTCTCGATTTATTTATTAGGAAAATAAAAACTATACGGCCCTTGTTAGTTGCTACTATAGTAGATAACAAAGGCTGCCCTTGTTAGTTGTTACTGTAGCGGCTAACAATTTACCCCCAGAGGCGCAGAGGCACCCTTAGCGCTGCTACGAGCATCTAAAAATGACTAACAACTTTCTACTACTAGCAGGCTAACAATAGGCGGATCGGGTGGTCATAGCGGTAAATATCTAAGACATATTTTCTTACATATTTTCGTACATGTACATGTCTTGTAAATGTTTATCTTTAAATATTTGTAATTACCACATAGTTTAAACTATATTATTTAAAAAATATGCCCAATTCAATCGGAGTGCAATGTTAAAGATTTTAGTGATAATTAATATGTGATTCAATCTGATTAACGGGGGGGGGGGGGGTGTGGTTAGCACGTGCGCGCTGTATCATACGGTCTGTCATTGAGTCAACTGACGTTGTTTCGATTCCCCGGTTGTACGTGCCAAGGAGTAGGGTCGCCTGTACAGCCTCGTGGGTTTTCTCCGGGTCCTCCAGTTTCCTCCAACTGCTAAATATTAAAATAAAACTGAACTATGTGTTAGTTCCGAAATGACCTAGTTTGTGTCGAGTGGGCGTTAAACCCCTATCTGATTTAATTCAGATTTATATTTCGGTTCGTTTTTTTATACTGTCGATGTCCTACACTGTTGTGAAGACAAGTAAAACGATATTTTGAACTATAAAAAACGCAACCAAATAGGATCTGTGTTTTAATCAGATTATATGTAATTATATCTCTGCACAAATGGACAGATTAGATTATACGACATCATCTCTATTTATTTGTGTAATTTATTAAAATAATGATAATTATGAATTCTTTTCATCCAAAGGGCTTATTTATGGTCGTACGTTATCATAGTCTGCTAAGTTTTTACTTTTCCTACTTCTACGAATTTGGTTTATGAATTTCAACCATATTAGGTATGTTGTTTGGGTGACGATTGTTTCAGATTTGTTTGCGAGTCGGTGGCACCTTAAAGAGGTATATACACTCACTCCAGGGATCGAAACTACGACTGCAAGTCAGAGATGACCTGTCAGCTAGAGTTCCAAGCGCGACACTCTGGAGCACTAGACCATGCCAACTCCCTTTTGCTTGCTGGATTTTAAACAGTTTATATACGTAAGCATTACCAGGGCGGCCCTCAAATGAAATGGATCGGTCGTAAAAGGGGGAAAGTTAGTGCGGAAGGTAGTGTTCGATATTAGTCGATCGAGTCAAAGGGATTGTGCCATGGCTGTTGTTCGTCCGTTTGTCCGTTAACTTGTTACATTTTCGCCTTCTGCTGCGATGGATTCCATTCAAGTATTTTCTTTTGAAGACCATGTTCAAATAAAGGCGATCAGCTCCTTGGTGTCAATATTAGGCAACTGTGCACAAGGTTTAATGCCTAAAGTCATGAACTTCAACAACAATTTGCATAAATATTTAACTTCCGATTTCAAGAGGTCGTTTATGTTTCGTCAAAACATACATTATGCAGATGTGTATGTACACAGACAGACCGTAAACTAAGCTGATCTACGCACCAGGATTAAATTAGATACCAATATTTTTTCACATCAATCAAATGTTAAAGCAAATATATCCAATTTGGTGAAATCATGTTTCAAATTCGTTTTCGTTTCATATTCCATATCTGTTTTTTTCTTTATTCATGACCAAATTTTACATAACATATTGCAACTTTTAGCATTCTGTTGTGTTCTTACATGTGCATTGTAAACCGCCAATAAAAAAGAGGTTCTTCCTGCTATTTCAATACGTCATTCCCGATACAGCCCTCGTAGCCACGTGTAATACGACTTTTCTGAATATTGAACTATTTTCCCTTTTTCCACTAGACATAGGGTCTAGATAATTCCATCTCCGTCTATTGACTTTTGGGCCTCACAAAGGATTCGAATTTACAATTAACAGACCATACCAGGTTTTGCTCAATGTTCATGATTTCGGATGGTTGGATAAACAGATATCACGAGGTTAAAGTGCCCCGACTACGCACGGTTTTAATGATAATGCCCATTTAAGACTTCGATCAAACTGAAGCCTAAAACTGCGAGTCGTCACGGTTTGCAAAGTGAGACCAGTAAAGAACGACCAAGAAGCACTTTCAATATCAGTGCGGATATCACATCGTGGTGAATCGTATCGAAAAATATCAGTGGTGTGACAGGGGCTTTAAAATGTAGCGATTTTCCTCACATTAGCAGATAGTTGACTGAAACTTAGTGTCATAGTGTATTGTTGTAGATATCTATCTCGTCGAACTGAACATTGAAGTCGAGGGCTTGAAATGTCTTTCCATTATACACAAGTATTATGTAGCGCAGCAAATATGTACCGTAAAAGCGAAACGAAATAAAGATATAATTTTAATTAGACTGGGATAATTCTTTGTATCATTATTGACCCAAATTGCTTTCCATATATTCTAATTAGGGTAACATTAAATTTGCTTTTGCGGAATAATAGCTCGTAGGCCTACTATAAACGCCCCTTAAAATATTTGAGGAATCAGTGCGTTGTATTATAGCGATACGCTTAAATGACTATGTGTAAAGATTAAATAACTTATCATTTTATAATCAAGCTATGAACTAATCAGCGGTTTGGTATAAATCGATTGTTGTGCTATGATATGCGATATTGAACTCGTTGTGACTACACGCCAGTTAGAAAATGGCTACTATCTACATGTATTGTAAAGTTTTAATACTAGTAGTGAGTGGTTTGTGTTTAGTGAACTGTGCAACTCCACCACATATCGTATTTATAGCAGCAGACGATCTAGGTAAACCCCTTTATAAATGTATAACTTCAAACTTATATTATATTCAGGTTCATCCAATATAGTGAAAACATAGACTAACTATTTATTATGTATTATATGATATTTGAAACGTAGATAGTTAATATAATAACATTTGCTAGTCTACATTAAAGGTTCTAGCATATTGCATTATAATAATCTATAAAAACTATTTCTAAAATATTGGCATCCCTAACTAACAATAACTTTCCTGGATAAGCTATAGAACAAGCTAGGTGCTCAATAGAGGATGATGTGTTGTTCTATTATTCATTACTCTTCTTTTGTCTAAAAGGTGCATGTGTCTGCTGGTGATTTTGCTCCAATAATAAACGATAAGTTACCCTTTATGTGAAGTATAAACAAGGATACAATATAATTTATTATTAAATATAGTTATTTATCTAATTACTGTTATTGTTGTATGTTGTATTGCGGGGGTCACAGTGGCTATGAGTGGGTAAGACCCTGGCTCGCTAGCCTGAAGGTCGGGTGTGCGATCCCTGCATTGGACGAGAAAGTTCATCCAGATTTTCCCGTATGATTCCCCCTTGTCAGTGATGCAGGACGGAGGGACAAGGACAGCTGTCTAGTCGTTCGGATGGGACGAAAAACCGAGGTCACGTGTACACATTGGCGTGCACGTAAAAGATCACTTGACAGTTGGAATTCGATATAAGAGTAGGCCGTAGTGCCGCCGTCCGGGCAAAATTTCCCTCATAGCACACTGTATGGCGTATGCCCGTCTTCATTAGCCCAGTTCAGAGCAGAACAGTAGGACAATAAAACCCCATATCATTGCATTTCATTTATTGTTGTATGAATAGTACGACTTCGTGTGTATGGGTGTAAATATAACCACTGAGATATAACATTAATTTTATTAAAGGATGGAACGATATTGGCTTCAGAAATCCTCAAATGATAACCCCAAACATCGATAAATTAGCACGAGAAGGTGTTATACTCAATTCTTCATATGTACAACCAGTTTGTTCACCGTAAGTATTTCTCAAGTCAAGAGGAAGATTTTAATACACAAAACTTGGTTTAAACTTTGTGAATACTTAAGCTTATCAATTACAGATTCGCAGTTCAGGGTCGTACCTAGAGTTTGTCCCGCCCGGGGCTAACTCGCGAATAGTACAACTCAATACACACCAAAAATAATCAGACTGTATTGCTAATGTCCCGACAAGTGGGTAAGCTACTGTTCGGCTTAGAAGTAAACCCTCTTGTTAATTTGGCCACCAATGAAGTGGCGCGAATTAATTAGTATACTACCGAAAATGCAACGCCATCATCAACTGTTTGTTCTCTCTTCACCCAATGTCCCTTTTGGTAGTAGTTATAGTAATAATAGTTCCATCTACGGGGATATCGCAGACAAATTAAAGGCTTAAAATCTTCTGTTAGGAACGGTCGGCTTTTTTATCGTGAAGATTAAGTAAATATAGTATAGGGTTATATGAGTTATATGAGGTGGTAAAATAATTAAACTATATGGCTACATCCATAACACATATATTTCACATTCCAGGACCCGGAATTGTTTTATGACTGGTTACTATCCATTCCATACTGGATTACAGGTTAGAAACTTCTGAGAAAAATTATTGAAATCATAAATCGAATCCTTTATTTAGTTCCGATTTTAATATTCTGCGCGAATCCAACTATATTCCCCATCACTATGTGCATCTGTTCTCTTTGAAGCCTTTTTTGAAATGATGATTGACTGAAACCAAAGGCTAGATGAGAGGTTAGCTCAAGTCAGTAAAATACTAACTTATGGACTACTTCTTGGAACAGAAACTAGTCCTCAAGCACTAATCTAAAGAAACCCAAGGTTCCACCAATCCATGTACCTGGCATGATTGTTTCCTTGATTTTTGATATGAGTAAAAATTCCAAGATGGCGGCGATCACGTCATTTTCGGTTCCTTGTACATTGTATATTATTTTCGTACTTGCTTTTAATAGACTGGACCAGTGGAACAGAAATCAGAACATGAAGCATAAATTTTCTTATCGTTACAGAATGGTGTAATCAGACCATCAGAACCACATTGTGTTCCATTGAAATATACATTCTTACCACAAAAACTGAAGGAACTTGGATACACAACACGCGCTATAGGAAAGTATGTTTCCCCATCTAAACTATTGTATTGTAAATGATATAAACTTTATTTACACCAGGAACATAAATAAGAACATGAACACATTATTACACACGTGCGTAACCGGTGCATAATGCGGGGTAAACAAGGATGGTCAACTCCTAGTCCTTAAGTAACCAGTCCTCATTTCTGCCGAGCCCAGTGACTCGGTTGGGTCAAGAAGCTCCCCCACCACCCTGTCTTGACTATTTAAACTGCCAAATTTTTTACTTTTATATACCTTCTAACAATATAGAAATTGGATCTTATCATCTAATAAGAAATTTGGTCATTAAATATGGAATCCTACATACCATATGTTCTGACCCGTATCTGTTTCTTTGAGACCATCAAGGCTATCTTTATCTTATGATATAACACACAGGTAATATTGTCAATAACATGTAACAATCGATAATTAAACACAACCTATAATATTATCAACAACATGTCGGATTCAGTTCATCTAGTAAATGTTACGATATTATATGTATAGGATATAGCCTAAGGTAGATAAAAGTTATGAAAGCACTTTGTCTCATAACATCGAAACCCAATTTTCAAATATTATTTAATTAGCTAAAAATGCTTATAATTTTTCCTGAACTGATTCCTCGCAATATTTTTCAATGTGTCATAATGTCGCAGGCCAGTAAGGAATTAGACAAACAGTTATGGAATTGCGTGGGCGTTTTTTAAGTTGCCTGACAAATTATATCTAATGTTTTTCACAGATGGCATGTAGGATTTTGTAATGTAAATTGTACACCGACGTACCGAGGTTTCGACAGTTTTTCTGGTTATTACACTGGGGCAGAGGATTATTTTAACCATACACGAGGTAAGATTTATTATACCGAAATGAAACAAAAAAATGAAACGGGGTTTAAAGGAAGCAAGCCTTTAACTCAGTATCATCGACAGGCTTCGACTTGTTGGTCAGTTTAAATCATCATTGATGTTGTTATCTTACCGTGAAAAGATGAGCTTCTGACATCCATTATTTAAGACAAATGAAAATTTTAAAATTGGCACACGAATCGCGTGCCAGCATGCTTTAGAGTGCCATTTGTAACGAAGCGACTCGATGAACAAGGCTAAACATACCCCACAGGAGGATACTACCAGTGTAGACTAGAATAACTAGACGCCGAAGACTGCCATTCATTTTGGACTCTTCCAAATGTTCGCCGAACATAACTGATTGAATGACAATGGTTCTTTCACGCAAAATTTTACATTGGTGAACGAATAGGAGATTGTCCTTAGCTGGTACTTGAAATTAGTAAATACGTCGACTTCCACTTTATCTTTCGTAACAAACATTTAATCATCTGGAGCTTACCCCATTACTAATGCTAATAACACGTTCGATAAACCAAATTTAATACTTCAAGTTGAATTAAATACTTTATTTTTCAAAGGTTATCAGGGAGAGATGGGTTATGATTTTCGACATGATTTTGAAAGGAACTCCACAGTCGACGCACAAGATAAAGGACGATATTCAGCTGTAAGTAAATACAAATATTTTAATATAAGTAATTTTAATATTACCAGCATATTTAAATATAAGTAATGTTATTATTATCAGATTGTTTTAATATAAGTATTGTTATTATTACCAGCATTTCTTTTTTAAATGGGGGATGTGTATGTTTCCAGAATGTTTTAATGAGGGATGTGTTTGTTTCCAGCATGTTTTAATATAAGTAATTCTATTATTATCAGAATGTTTTAATATAAGTACTGTTATCATTATCAGAATGTTTTAATATAAGTAATGTTTTTATTTCCAGTATGTTTCTATTTCCAGCATATTTTAATATAAGTAATGTTATTATTACCAGTACTTTTTAATGAGGGGTATGTTTGTTTCCAGAATGTTTTAATGAGAGATGTTTTTATTTTCAGCATGTATTTGCTGACAAGGCTATAGAAATAATACGCACTCATGATGCCAGTAAACCCCTCTATCTGTATTTACCTTTCCAATCAGTACACGCACCGTTACAGGTAAAGTAAAATATAAACAAGCATTAAAATGCTAATAATGATAAAAATAATATGTGCACTTGGCTACTGCCTTCGTTGGTGCACACTTGTAAACCGACCGGAAACGCTCTGTCTGGATGATGCGCCTTTCTTATCTTGTACTCAATACTCTATATTTGGATCAGTGACTGGGCCCCAATGGCTCCACCTCTTGTTGTTCTTGTTGTCGTTCTTGGGAACCGTCTCTCTTCAAACAAAATCCAAGGCCCGTCAATTCAATCACGATCGACACTTGGCATACTTGATTCTTGGACAATTGTGCATTGACTGACGAACTATGATTTTTGATATGCCGTAGCTTGACGACATGTGTGCTTCCTGAATCCATATTGTACACTTGTGCCTGTTTTTCAGGGATCGAAGCTAATGGAATCGAGATAAAATGACGTTTGGGGGGGGGGGGTACTTTTCGGCACCAAACTGGGTTAATGACGGGTATACACCAAACCGTGTGTTATGAGTGACATTTTCCCCGGACAGCGGCTTTACGGCTTACTCGTAGTGCTATTTCCAATATGATATCCATGGAATCTAGGGTTTTTACGCATCTGCGCCACTAGTATTTGAAAACCAGATTAGAGAGCCGCGAGGAATTTTCCCAGCAAGCATTGTGATCTAACCGGAACCTCCTCTAGTAGGCCAGCGCCATTCTGGATATTAGGTACCATTTTGTCGCATATGCACCTCTGTCCTCTGGTATTTGAAAACCAGATTAGAAAGCCCAGAGGAATTGTCTCAGCAAGCATTGTGATCCAAACCGGAACTTTATATCAAGTACCATATTGAAATTGACGCTCTCAGTTAATAGAGTGTATGGGTCAAACATTGTCTTTGTCTGAGCTGGGTACCGATATACATGTATTATATAATACTTTGCATTGTTTTAAAAAGGTACCAATCGAGTATGAAAACATGTATCTGAACATACACAACTTGAACAGACGAACATTTTGTGGTAAATATTTGAACTTATTTAATAACAAAGTATAATGTTCATCATAATAGAGTAGCATTTATTATTTTAGTAGAGAATCTATCATTGTGATCACTTCATATCAGCTTAGATAATCAAGGACATTCGTGGATATCATTAGATGTGTCATATAACATTATACTATAGAGAAATTAGCATCGTGATCACTTAGATATTGCATCATGATCACTTAATAGATACTGCATCATGATCACTTAGATGCTGCATCATATCGATCACTTAGATACTGCATCGTGATCACTTAGATACTGCATCGTGATCACTTAGATACTGCATCGTGATCATTTAGATACTGCACCGTGATCACTTTGATACTTTAGAAAATGAATCTCCCGAACATTTCAATAACAGATACCATAATTTATGTTTTTTCCAGTAGACGTCCTCTTAAGATTATTAAAGATATAATAATGATTTCTAGATACGTATTGTATTATTACCATGTCTTCGCGGGTGTATCATATATTGTCAATCCAATCTTGTATGTGTAATTAACAGGAATGACTTCAGCATTAGATGAAGCAATAGGAAATATAACTCAGGCTTTATTAGATAGTGGACTGATGGATAATTTATTACTCGTCTTCACTTCTGATGTAAGTAACTCGTAGCAACACCTGATGTAAGTAGCCTCTAGCAATACCTGATACTACTCATGTAAGTTGCTCATATCAATACCAGATACTACTTATAAAGGTAGCGCATAGCAACGTCTGATATTACTGATGTAAGTAGCCTACAGCAACACCTAATACTACTGAGATAAGTAGCTCACATTAACACCTGATACTACTGATGTAAGTAACTCATAGCAACACCTCATACTACTGATGTAAGTAGCCCACAGCAATACCTGACACCACAGATATACGCAGACCCACAGCAACACCTGTATTTAATTTTTTTACTTTAGAATGGGGGACCAGTAGAAAATGCTGCCAATAATTTACCATTACGTGGAGGTAAACATACATTATGGGAAGGTGGAACGAAAGGAACAGGATTCATCTATAGCACCAGTTTACTGGAGAAAACAGGTTACATACAAACAGGGTAAGAATCAATGGACGTTATTTTATGCATCGAAGGATTTTTTGATGTATGGCTACTCAGAAATTTCGTATTTCATATTACTTTATTAGGTAAAAAATTAAACTATCTATGCACGCATGAACGATTATGAACTAAGACTTTCTATTATACTCTGTATTATAAAAAGATCAGTTCAAAACCCAATGGCATTTTGAGTTGCTGCTGAAGCAAGACCAAGATGTCAATATTCCATATTAGTGCATCGGCTATCGAGAATTTACCCGAAACAATTAGTCGTGTTTTTGAACTGGGAACTGGTTCCATTCAGTTGGTAAGCAATAAAAATATGAGGCTGGACAAGTTTGTTCTTTGGGAAGTTGCGCATCGACTTACTGAATTCGATTTTTGAAGAATGCGTTGATGACGTTACGTACCGGAGATTCCTGGATAATGTACGGTCTTGCCTGTTTTGTTATTTGTTACATATCGTGATTTTATTTATATATATATTTCTCAGAATGATGCATGCTGTTGACTGGTATCCAACCTTAGTAACTCTCGCTGGAGGAACGCCAGGTATAGTAAATTGACTCATATTTTCTGATTGATTATTCTGTGTATACTGTGCTGTTTGCAATTTTAAATGAAACTTTAATACAACTTATATTCTCTCGCTGGAGGAACGCCAGGTATAGTAAATTGACTCATATTTTCTGATTGATTATTCTGTGTATACTGTGCTGTTTGCAATTTTAAATGAAACTTTAATACAACTTATATTCTCTCGCTGGAGGAACGCCAGGTATAGTAAATTGACTCATATTTTCTGATTGATTATTCTGTGTATACTGTGCTGTTTGCAATTTTAAATGAAACTTTAATACAACTTATATTCTCTCGCTGGAGGAACGCCAGGTATAGTAAATTGACTCATATTTTCTGATTGATTATTCTGTGTATACTGTGCTGTTTGCAATTTTAAATGAAACTTTAATACAACTTATATTATGGGTTAAAAGCAGTTTCATTAATGAACATTTGTATTAACTATAGATACGTCCATGGATGGTGTGAGTCAATGGGAGATGTTGCGTACAGGAGTAGCTCCAAGTGCCAGGACAGAATTTATTTATAACATTGAACAAATATCAAATAATTCAGCAATAAGGTATAATTTCGCTTTTGTAGCCTTTAAGTGGGTAAAAGGGTAAGAAAATTGACAAAACCAAAAAATAGATATGAAGTTGCACATCGTTATTAAAAAAGATAATTCAGTCTTAAGTACATGACACGACTCATTGCACAATGACGGGTACTGTGCTGGAATCTTTATATTGCATACCTTTACAGAATTCAGCATTCGAACTTTTGCGATGATTATCCTCTCTCTATGTCAGCTGAAGGAGCAGGTCATTTCGACACTTGCTCAAACTACAGGCTTAAAAATTTAAATTACCACCTGCAACCAAATTAAATACATTTAAATCTGTGCCTGGTAGGAAACGACTTCTAGTAGTTCCGATGAGACGAAAAACTCAGGTTCCGTGTATAGGTTGTCACGCAGTTGGAATTCTATCTAAGGTTGGCATGCACGTAAAAGGACCCATGGCAGTTGGAATTCGATCAAAGGTTGGCATGCACGGAAAAGAACCCATGGCAGTTGGAATTCGATCAAAGGTGGGCGGACACACGGCTGCCCCAGCAAAGTTTCCCCCACAAAAAAACTGCATGGCCTATGCCTATCTTTATTAGCACGACTGATGCAGAGAGGTATAATGTTAAACTAAACCCTATATCATTTCATTTTTGATCAACCAGTTAACTTTCGCCTTCATTTTGTGCAACAGAATGGGTGACTACAAGTTGATAGTTGGTGATGCTGGTAAACCAGATGGCTGGACACCATTACCTACAGACAGCAATCCTGCTATACCACAATGTACTGATCAATATGGTTATTGTACTGATGATAAACTCTACTATAAATCTTCAAATAAAATCCAACTTTTTAATATATCTAGTAAGTCTTTGATTAATTCACATGCGCATCAGGGATGTTTGGCCACGGGGTGAATTCTGAATATTGTGAAAAATAAGTAGGATGGTGCGTTGGCACGAAACGTTTCAATTGTATGGAACATCCATAGGGGTAGTAATGATATGTCGAAATATCGGATATTTTCAATACTGCACTATATTCTTAGCCTATAGTGCAATCCATAACTGAATGGTTTCATGATGTTCAAATAAAGTTCTTGACGACCCACCTTGTTTGTTAACGGCTATAATCACTATTTAAAACCCAGATCGTTCACATATATTTCAAAAGTAAACAATATGTACTATTTTAATGTACAGACTACTGTTTTCATGTAATTATACGCACACCTGGTACAAAAACGATGGCACAATTATATATTATACAGTTAAATCCCGCTTAACGACCAACTCAGTATTACGGGAAACTCAAGTATACGACCACATATTAAAAGAACCATTTTTTTTCTTCTATATTCCTTATAAATTGTACTCAGTAATACGTACGGGCAACTAACTATTTGTGTAGTATGCTCTTCAAGAACTGCAAATTAACAAAAAAAGACACTCCTCCTCACCTGCCCGTTTCTTGCTGTAAGGTATTTCTTTGTTCTGTTGTGCAGTTATCCTGCAGCCTCTACTTTTATTGTTTATGGTGTCGCGGATCCGTGTGTAACTTTTATTTGTCAATATTGTCGCCTCGTTCGTAACTCAGGTTCTGTATTTTTCAGGTGACCCTACCGAGCATTTTGATATTTCAAAACAATATCCGGACATTGTTGCTAAATTGAAAGCTCGTCTGGATTTCTACACGGCATCAGCAGTCCCACCATTCCACAGTACTCCAGATCCCAAATCAAACCCGAAATATTTTGACGGTAACTGGAGTCCTGGATGGTGCTAGGTTAATAGACTGTTTTGAAACATTTGTATTACGCAATAAATTATTTTAAAAATCCCTTTGTATTTAATTTTTTTGCAATTTTGTTAAATGGCGTACAGTTAAAGAAACGTTACCGTTTGGAATTCGAAGGAGAGCAGATGGAAACGTTGCTGTCCGGGCAATATTCCCATTCTAATTTTGCACGTCTTTGTTCAAATCGGCGACTCTTATAGTGTTTAACTATGAGCCTGCAACGTAGTCATTCATCTAATATTCATCCAATTATATGGGCATTGACTCTCTTTTAATATGCTGGTAAATATAGAAAAGCTCCCAAAACAAATTGCACCGCAAAAGTTAACTTTGAGTGAAATGCGGGGAGCGATTTCTCGGAATAAACCCGGGCCCATGGTAAGTAAACTAAGAAAGTGCAGTTTGTTATAGGCCTACATTTAAACAATTTGTGACATTCTTATTCCCGACATTCCTGACAAAGAGACATAAAGAAAAGAAAGAAGAGGGAAGGACCGACATAGCCAAATAAATTCATTCTAGCTTTTTTGAGTTTAGAACAGTAGGACGTTAAACCCCATTTCATTTCATTTCTTTGAAGTTTGATATTATACAAATATAGGCCTACTTTATACGTTTTCATGTTGATTATGCCTTTTCAAATTTTATAAATTTTTTATGATATAATATAAGCATAATGACACATCAGTAGTAAGTAATTGACAAAAATCTATGGAACCTTTTCTTAGGCCTACGAGTTTTCAGATAAAAACAAGTACGATCAGACTATGGACCAGGAAGTGACTATGTTGAATGAAATTCAAAAATCTAATTCACCAATCGATACCAATTTTCATGTCGATCGGACTTCAATTGACGGAGTCTGGGCTGGGGCGTTTTCTGAAGAGCCAAGTAGAACAAGAAGATGAGTAGCGGTTAATTGCGACCAGTTCTTAGTTTAAGAAACATATAGGACTAGTAAAGTGGACCAAAACTATGCAATTTTTGCATGTAACATACGTAGCCGCCCCTGATAAATATTGTCTCAAAAAGCTAGATTTGTGTAGGGCCTACCGGAGGCTATAACTTATTATAAGATTTTCTATGACTGATACTATATTATAATGATGATAGAATTCTGTAGTTCACCCTAAACTTTACTATTGTAGACTAAGCCTAAGGCATGAAGACCGCGTACTACACGAAAAACAAAATCTACAAGATAAACCTGCGGACAAGACAGAAGGAACATTGCCAGAAATAAACAAATTTTCATATCAAATCAAGTGAATGGATCACTTTGGAGTGTTTCTCTAAGTCTAATACATGTATGGGAGACAACTCTGATTTGTTTTTGATAGTCCAGATTGTTCAGTAATGCACGGAAACTTCGACACTGAAATACACTTACTTCAAAACTTCAAGAAAAGAAATGAGGTAGACCTTGTTACGGCCTACTTTTCTGCATGAACCGGACAAATGAAGACCGGCAGACACCATGCAGTGTGCTAGGATAGAAACTTTGCCCGGGCAGCACTGCTGCGGCCTACTTTTCTTTTAATCTGTCACTTGTCAGGATCTTTGTTGTTGTTATTTTTTTTTATCCCCATCCGAACTACATACACTGTCTTTCCTTGTCAGGACATCCGTATTGCTCTTCTGACAAGAGTTTTTCTTAAAATTTAAGGATGAATTGAAGACAAACCCTCAAGAGATTATTCCATATCTCTCTCAAAACATTTTAATCTCAAGAAATCTGGATCTATCCCATTTGTCAAGAGAATCTATTTTAAGCATCCTTCTTTGACACATGGCATGGCTTGATTTATGGAAAATCCATTATCAGGTTGTGGTAGACACTGTCCATTATGGTAGCCGTAAGATTGACAAGTGTTAGCCATTAGATTATCACATCAAAAGCGCTACTTACATCATACGGGCAGCTTGGTAGGCTACTGTCAGTTGCGGACATCCTTAATTAGAAGATATTTGTCTCGTGGGCACCCCGTGTACATGTTTGGGGGGACGCCAGTATTTTTCATGTAAGATTGAGTATCTCGCTACTTTTCACATATAGAGCCTACCAAATTTGCTATACTTTTATTAGAAATGTATCTTTAACTAAGAAACTGTAGGCCTGTGTTCTTTCTCAGAGTTTGTAGATAAGAAGAAAATATAAGAGTATAATTTAAGAAGGACCAATGATAGTTAGGTGATCAAAAAAACCAAAATGGTTAATACACCAATACCACACAGTCTAAAATCAGAGGCAAAGAAAGCTGCTAAAATTCTAAGAGAATTTACCATTCCAAATGCCAAAGTTGGACCTGATAAACTCATTCCAGGTAATTAGTTATTTGACTTTATGCCTTTATATGAAATTTATTTTTATGTCAGTTGATATAATTAATCAACCAATGACTAATATCGCAAAACAATGATCTAACTGTAGACTTGTTGACAATGATGGCTGCAATAGATCAATATTATAGTATTGTTTTGATTTGGTTCAGAAGATGGATTGGGTTGCCGAGTGGTTAGCGTTCACACTGAAGATCATGGGTGGATAGTGCTGGGTATTGCCACTGCAGTCATGATACGATGCGTATTGTGATTCAGGTTTTTGTTTTTTCGTACCATCCGAATGATTAGACAGCTATCCTGGTCAGGCCCTCCTTTCTGCACCACGCTGGAAAATCCCAATGAACACTGGGAGCAAGCCTGCGACCTCCAAGCTAACGAACCAGCGTCTTACTCACTTAGCCACCGTGACTCTCTTTCTCTGTGATTAAAAGCAGCAGGGCAAGGGTTAAAATTTTAAACTGATACCTCAAATGACGTAACACTAGAATGGGGCATGTGCCAACAATGCTGTGATCCATATTTTTATAATCCATTTCTTTACTTTGCTGTTTTCAGCTGGAATGTTTGTCAAGGCAAAAGGCTTAGCTATACTGACAGTTGTAAAAATGGGATTTTTAGTGACAGCTCGAGGGGGAAGTGGAATTGTTATAGCTAAGAAGAACGATGATGACATAGATTACAGTACAGGTACTAATAAAATTATTATTAATACTGCAGCCAAACTTAGACATCAACAAAAACTTTATTGCACATACATGTATAAAGCATGAAAATATTGTAAAAGTTCAAATCATTCTCACATGCCACATGTTATGTGTTCATGAAAATAATTGTCTATTTCCCCATAAAAAATTCCTGACATTTAGGAGATAAACACTTCCTGTTTCGCATTTAGAGGGGTGTTATTGTCCAATAGACATGTCCTGCAGATCATTAGGACCCAAGGGTGGGGAGGGGGGGATGCCGTATTCAAGCTGTAGGGAACTGGCCTTGAATCCTACTAGAATAAAGTTCTGTTTTGTCAAGCCTGATAGGTTTTGTCAGTCAGGAGTGATGCATAGTTGACAAGGAAATTGTGCCTAGTTGTTTGGATAGTACAAAAAAAAATGAGGTCCAACTAATTACACATTGGCAGTTAGAATTTAAAGATGGCAAAAATGCTGCTGCGTGGGCAAGATTCGCACATTTTACACAAAGCCATAGAAACCAAAATGACCATATAATGATGAGACTTTAAACCCCATTCCATTCCATGTACCTCAGACCTTTATATTGTGCTGGGTATTGCCACTGCAGTCACGATACGATTCATATTGCGATTGGGTGCTACAATACGATTCGACATACACCGATTCAACGATATATCATGCCAGCACTAACCTTTTATATTGTATATTTTGACTATGACAGTGACAATTATATAATTGTATATGTTTCAGGTTGGTCAGCTCCATCTGCTATAGCTATTGCTGGACTTGGAGGAGGATTTGAAATTGGAGCTGAAGTCACCGATTTTGTTATCATCTTGACTTCTCGATCCGCAGTTGATGCCTTTTCTAAGGGAGGTAATTTAACATTAGGTGGTAATTTCACCATAGCTGCTGGGCCACTTGGAAGAAATTTGGAAGCTGATGTAGCTGTGAGAAGTCCTGCAGCTATTTACACATATTCTAAAACAAAGGGAATTTTTGCTGGAATTTCTGTTGAAGGAAGTGCACTTATTGAAAGAAAAGATGCCAATAGAAAGTAAGATATTTTTGAATATCACCACTAATTCAAGTGTTTTTAAAGAGTAAAAACCTTGAATGATTTTAATATAATATCCGAAGCTAATTTTAATTAAAATCTAAAATAAAGTAACATAGATGGGGCTTGTTAATACACCAGCAGAAAAATCATCCCTTCTAATTCTAAAATAATTTTCGACATATCTCAAAGAGTATGTTTAAAATACCTATTATGAACACGATGAATTTGATAAGGATCTTACATTCAATCAAATGTCTAATTATTTTGAATTTGAAAAAAAAAGAACATTTACAAGAAAAGTGGAATGGAGCAATAGCCACAGGTGACTGCCATATACATCCACATTAATATGATAGTTTTCAATCTGATTAAAATACAGATCTATATTTCGTTTCGTTCTTTTATTCTTTCGATGGCCTACACTACATGAAGATCTGACTGGTTGTACTTGAAGGTCATGTCAGGGGTCGTACATGCGGCTTTTGACCCTGTGACATCAGACATTGATTAATCAATCAGCATTGACATTTCTAATGGTTTACCCACAGTTTCATGCATCGCACGCCAAGAACTTGCCGTAACAGACCGATTGATTGGTAAATCTCCCACTTCAACTAGAACACCGGTAATATAACAACTCTTCCAGATCCTAGTGTAGTAAAGACAAGTAAAACAGAATTTTGAACGATAAAAAACAAAACGAAATAGGGCCTGTGTTTTAATCAGATTGGATAGTTTTAAATGGCTGTTTTATTGATTCTTCACCTTAATTGCTGGTGTAATTTAAATGGACTGGAAAGTAGTTAGGACTCTGAACCATTCTTATGAAATTTTGTGGAGTGCGAAATATTGAATCAAAATTACCATGCGAGTAAACCTTTTTTCTGTTGATTTGTAGATTTTATGGAGAAGCTATCCGAGCTCATCAGATATTATCTGGTGATGTTGAACCACCAGATGAATGTACAGCTTTATATGATGTATTAAGAGAACATCGAGATTTAGCCTTGAAATCAGCAGCAAAATTTGCTCAAAAACAAGCCATGAAACATAAAGACACAATTAAAACTAAAGTTACAGAAGGAATATCAGCTAAATTTGGTGTAAGTCAGCACTGTCAGAAAAGAGTCTTAATGAGTTATTGGGCAGACTCACTAACAAGAAGTTCTTAGGTTCTATCCTGATATTGGTAGAGAAGCTTATTGGGATTTTCCAGTCTGGTTTCCTGGTGCGGTAGTGGAGACCCCAAAGGTCTGGCAAGAATAAGTGTCTTTAGTTGTCTCGATGGTACAAAAACAATGAGGTTCTGTTTAAACCCTTGGCAGCACATTAACCATCTCCTGACTTTTGGAAACTGAAATAAGAGTAAAATATAGCTTCACTTTAAGGACAAAATTGCCCAATAGCACACCGTCCGCCTTCATTAGCTCGGTTGGTGCAGCACAGTAAGACATTAAACCCAATTTCATTTTAGGGTATTGGGTGGTCTGGTGGTTTAATGCGTGCGCGTGAAATCACAAGGTCTTTCATTGAGTCAAATGGGGTGGTTTCGATTCCCCACTTGAACTTGACAATGGGTAGGGTTACCTGTCTAACCTCGTGTGGTTTCTCCATGTCCTGCGGTTTCCATTTAAGGGTGTTGGGTGGTCTAGTGGTTTCACGCGTGCAGGTCTTTCATTGAGTCAAGTGGCATGGTTTCGATTCCCCACTTGAACTTGACAATGGGTAGGGTTACCTGTCTAACCTTGTGTGGTTTCTCCATGTCCTCCGGTTTCCTCCCACTGCTAAAGACCCCTACGCGAAAGAGAATTATTGAAATAAAATTGAACCATGTTAGCAACGAAATGATCTAGTAGGGTTACCTGTCTACCCTTGTGTTGTTTCTCCATGTCCTTAAGTTTCCCCCCACTGCTAAAGACCCCTACGCGAAAGAGAATTATTGAAATAAAATTGAACCATGTTAGCAACGAAATGATCTAGTAGGGTTACCTGTCTACCCTTGTGTTGTTTCTCCATGTCCTTAAGTTTCCCCCCCACTGCTAAAGACCCCTACACTCAAGTGAATTATTAAAATAAAATTGAACCATGTTAGCCACGAAATGACGTAGTTTGTATTGAGTGGACATTAAACCATTTCTCTCTTTTCCATTCATTTCATTTAAAAAATTAGGCACTCATAAGAGGCCTGACTTAATGTACTAAAAGTTATAAGAAGACAAAAGTCTACAAAGAGGGTGGGGTCCAACTGGTACGAAAGTTCTAGTGTGAATCCATGTTGATTCAAATACTTTCCCAGTGACATATCATTTTGGTCACTATCAGGATAAGTCTTGAAAAGCAAAACTGTTTTTATTGTAATACTTCTACTTGGGTGTCCATCATCAATTTAATGTACTGGTAGTTTAAATCCCTGTTTCTGGCGGGTCCTCCAGTTTCCTCCCACTGCTAAAGGCCCCTACACGCAAGCGAATTATTGAAATAAATTTGAACCATGTGTTAGTCTCGAAATGACCTAGTTTGTGTCAAGTGGACGCTAAACCCCATTGCTCTCTCTCTCTCTCTCTCTCTCTCTCTCTCTCCCTGTGTCTGGATTTGTTATAAATGTTAAAATTGGATACATTAGTGAAAATGTTAAATTTTTATTATTTCAGAATTTCCGATCTAATGAAAATACACCAACAAAATCAGAATATTCACCACCTATACCTCGATCTCCATTGACTAGTCATGGTAGAGAAAGTAGAACTGTTGTCACTAGAAGAACAGTAACTACAGTCAGATCTACTAAATCGTATGCTGGAGGTAGGGGAAACCATCATGATAAATGTACTTTTGTGGACAAAAATTTGGTGTCCCTTTTAAAGAAAATTTAAAATCAATATGTTGAGCGTCAAAAGATTTTGGATGAGCTTGATTTTGGTATGCATTGGATCTTCTGTTCTGGAGTTATGCCTACTTTTCCGAAAACCTTGTGAACACGGTTGAAGCATTGGATGAAGAACCCTACTGATAATCAACATTGCATGGCCTTTATTTCAGAGCTATATCCCACTTAGCTGAAAACTTTATGAATAGGATAGAGGCCACAGTTTTCCACAGCTCTTTTTCGAATTTGGTGAGAAGCAGTTGAGAGAACAAACAAACCCTATCAATGTTCAGTGTTCTCTGACCTTCCATTCCGGAGTTAGCCCCCTCCCCTTTCCAAAATCCTTGTAAATGCAATAGATGTTAGTTTTTAACTTTTTAACAGATCTTTTGAGAGGCTGAGCCATATCAATTTTCCCCAGTTCTCAGTCTATCTCTCGCAAAGTCTGGGCACTACGACATGGCAACGCCTTTTTTTTTAATACAAGATAATTCTTTGTAGTAGACAGTAGTTATCTATATATAAATTTCAGCTCATGTTGGAACTAAGAGTCCTGGTGGTTCACCATGGGATAGAATAACACAGATGACAAGTGATGATGCATGTAAAGCTGTAGCCGAGTTTGATTTCCCGGGTCAAATACCAGCAGATCTCTCATTTAAACAAGGTACGTAATTTCAATCTTCGGGGTGCTTGATTAAGAGAAACATTCAGAATTAACAGAATTGCGAACATGTGACAGAATTGCAAACGTGTGACAGAATCAAATTTTGACAGTTACAATAGTAGATGTATGATTAGACATTACAGCATGTGATTTACATAATGTTGATTATGGGGACTTTCAGGTTTCAGTGAGGTGGACAGTAACTCTACAATAAATTGATGGGCAAGTCCAAATTCCAATAGCGTTCCTCTCTACAGGACCTGCTGAACTATCCTAATATAGTCTGAAAAGTAAATCTAAACAAGCCAACAGTGAGGCTGATGTCCCCCGCCGAAATTGCAAAATAAATAGATGACACATATTAATTAATCGCACATTTATTTTTTTCACTAAGTTTCATCACTCTCTATCAGATAGAATCAAGATTATCTTGTCCCAAACCATCGACAAATGAAATCGATTAGCTCTGCTTAGCTTCTGCTCGAAATGTTAATTATTGAACTCAGTCAAGACATTCACCTAATGAACATCTACATATACATCAAGTTTAAACATTCACCTAATAGACACCTATGCCAAGTTTGAACATTCTACCTCAATTAGAAGGAGAGTTATTGTGTTCCAAAGTTTCTACCAATCAAATTGCTTATCACTCTGCTTACCCTCAGCAAAAAATGTTCATTATCGAACTTAGTTAAGGTATTCATATAATAAATCTATACACCAAGTTTCATCAATCTCACTTAATTAGAACTAAAGTTATCGTGTCCCAAAGCATTAACCAATCAAATTGCTTATCTCTGCTTACCCTAAGCGGAAAATGCTCATCTTCGAACTCCATCAAGGCATTGACCTAATCAACACATACACCAAATTTGAACATTCTAGCTCAATTAGGAAGAGAGTTATCGTGCCCCAAAGTATCAACCAATCAAATTGCTTATCTCTGCTTACCCTAAGCGGAAAATGCTCATCTTCGAACTCCATCAAGGCATTGACCTAATAAACACATACACCAAGTTTGAACATTCTAGCTCAATTAAAAGTTATCGTGTCCCAAAGCATCAACCAATCAAATTGCTTATCTCTGCTTACCCTAAGCGGAAAATGCTCATCTTCGAACTCCATCAAGGCATTGACCTAATCAACACATACACCAAGTTTGAACATTCTAGCCCAATTAGGAAGAGAGTTATCGTGTCCCAAAGCATCAACTAATCAAATTGCTTATCTCTGCTTACCCTAAGCGGAAAATGCTCATCTTCGAACTCCATCAAGGCATTGACCTAATAAACACATACACCAAGTTTGAACATTCTAGCTCAATTAGGAAGAGAGTTATTGTGTCCCAAAAAGTGTGACGGACAGACAGACGGACGGACAGACAGACAGACAGACAGACGGACGGACGGACAGACGGACGGACGGACGGACAGACAGACAGACAGACAGACAGACAGACAGACAGACAGACAGACAGACAGACGGACGAACCCATTTTAATAGTCCCCTGCTTTCTTCGAAAGGCGGGGGACAAAAACTCTTGACCTGTAGAGTTTATAAAAGATGTGGATGATTATCAATCAAAAGAGATTACATAGGCCATTATAATTTAAATTGTTTCAGTGCAATTTAGCAATTAAACTTAGATGGAGGAGATGAATTGGTTATTGTAACATGCTTATGGGTGAATCTTGCGTTTTGATTGGTCAATTAGACACTGTCGATTGGACAATAACACCCCTCTGTTTTAGTAATTTCTTTTAAAATGCTAAAATAGCATGTTACAATGTCGATAAACACTTCCTGTTTCGCATTTAGAGGGGTGTTCTTGTCCAATAGACATGTCCTGAGATTTTACATTAGAACCCACGATGCTAACGTGTCTTGGGTCCTAATGATCTCAGGACATGTCTATTGCCCCGTCTTCATTAGCCCAGGTTAGGAGCAGAACAGTAGGACGTTAAACCCCATTTCATTTCATTTCATGTCTATTGCATAATAACACCCCTCTAAATGCGAAACAGGAAATGTTCATCTCCTAATTAGATTGGTTGAAGACAGAATGCTTTAAAAGTAAGCTTTGGCACTATATATGCAACATACCAATGGTTCATAAAATATTTTATTTTGTTATGTTGTCCTTTTTCAGGAGATGAAATTATAGTTTTAACAAAAACAGATAAACAGAATGATTGGTGGGAAGGGATGTGTCATGGTAATATTGGTATATTTCCTGCTAACTTTGTTAGAATTGTTACTAATGAAGAAAACTAAATACTATATTGAATTACACTAGGATATTATTAAGGCTCTCTCAAAATATACAACTCTTCTGATAATAACTCAGGTCTGGAAATAATCAACTTGTACCGGACATTTTGAACTTTGTGTCTTAACATGTACAGTAAACCTTGCATAAGTTGGATCTTCGCTCAACTCGGTAAAAATCGTTTGGACCCTTTGATCCTGCAGGTTTTTCTTATTAAATTTCTGCGCATAAGTCAGATTTCCTTAGTTGGATCTTTGCTCAACTCGGATCAAAATGTTCGGTCCATTTGATCTAATTTCGGCTTTTTTCCTTCATCTAAGTCGGATCGGCAGTATGTTCATAATTTCACTATCAGTTTCGTCCCAATGGTCTAAAATACGGTTAGGTATTCCATGCACAGAGCTCCAAAATACTTTCCTCTATCATTTTGACCTAAATCAGCCTATTTGATGCGGCGCAATAATAGAATTTTCCCGGAAAATTGAAACTCGCTGTCTGCTGTACAAGACACTTTCCGGGAAAATGTAGGACATTTTTCAAAGATGATTACAAAACGGAAGTTATCTACTCGCACCAAAACGGAAGTTATCTACTCGCACATACGAACAAAAGCTTGAAATGTGCCTTTGAATCAACTATTATCCGGCTCTTGCAGTTTATTTTTAATCGAGTTAAAAGACAATATTGGTGCCAGTCATTATCACATATGTGATAGAGCTGGTTAAACACATTCCAAATATAATTTTAACACAGAGATCATTGCTACGATAGCTCAGTAATACAGGTTTCCTGAATCGGAAGTGACGAACGCCAAAGGAAAACACGAGTCATCTCTCTATATATAACTGACTGATGTGACGAGTGATAACGAATATTCGGGCGAATTTCTGCTCACGAATAATTCCTTCGAAGACCAAAAGTTGTTGTGTGAGATTGTGAGAGGATATCTGACAATTCATAAAAAGAATTGACTGCCACTAGATAAGTGAACACGAAAGAAAAACAGAAAAAGTCTGTGCATTACCATGTTTTTATAAGGTATAGAATGAATATAAACAAGGGAATGTACGGACTATTTCTATTTTACTTGTGTTCTCTTATCTAATGACATTCAATTACTTTATTGAATTGTCAGGTATCCTCTTACAGTCCCATATAACAACTTTTGGTCTTCGAAGGAATTATTAGTGAGCAGAAATTCGGCCGTGTATCTGTTATCACTCGTCACATCAGTCAGTCCGCTTAGATCCGACTTATGCGAAGTGCCTTATTTCCAGACTATACATCCTATAATGTTTTATAGACAAATGCAATAACCATTCTGATAACCAATAGAACATATGGGCAATAAAATCAAAATACCTGTCCTGCATATTCATTCACAGGTTAAATTTGACATTTTCATCTTGTACGTTTTTTATTATCAAATTCTCGTCTGCCACAGATTTCATTCTACATACTATGTATATAAAATTGTTTGATTGTAAATATTATCCAAATCAGTGCCATATTTGTTTACTTTAAATACATTTTATATATGGGTTTGGTCATTAAACAGTTTAAACAGTGGCTCCATAGGGTGCAACTTGGTGTTTCTTTTACTGAAGGGCGAAGATCTCCAAACTCTCTTTCTCTCCTTCATTACTCCTAGCAAGTAAGGGACTATTAAAATGAGTTCATCTGTCTGTCCACACATTATACCATTTGCTTGATTCTCAGTCTGAACATCCAAAATTGACAGAATTAATAAATTAAACGAGACTTACCTTGGTCAAGTCGATGTTTGATTGGAATTTTATGAGTTGTACAAACACTGAAGGGGTTAAATGAGATAGTGATGCGCATGCGGTAACTTCAGACTTTACAGGAAGTTTTATCATTATTCAAACTTACAACGAAATATCAACACTGTAACCATAGAGAGGGAGGAAGGGTGTGGCATTTAATCCCTTCAGTGTTTGTACAACTTATAAAATTCCAATCAAACATCGACTTGACCAAGGTAAGTCTCGTTTAATTTATTAATTTTATTTCGTTGTAACACTTCCGGGATCAAATGAGACTTTAAAGCAATAATGATAAAACTCTAATCCATTATAAACCCACACAAATTGAAAGTTTATATACATTATGCCACAAGTCTTACCTGTCTAGTCTTTAAGGATTTGATATGCAAATGATTCTTCATCTCTGTCTACCTTCTTATCGTAAAATCTGGCAAAAGTATTTACGTTTGACCATCCAGCTTTGCTTAGAATCTTCGACACCGGCATGGAGTTCTCCTTTGCTTTGGCTGCAGATGCTACTATAACACTTAGAGATTTAAATATAGCGATGTCGATTTTTGCTCTAGCTTGTACTGTTTTAATCCAGCGTGAAATAGTGACTTTTGAAACTGGCTGATAAGGTTTCACATAACTAACAAACAGTTTGCTGTGATTTTTCCTTAAATTATTCGTACGCAAAATATATTCTTTATAAACAGTATAAACACACAATCTCCTGTCTGGAGGATAAGCCTTAATATTTATAGATGGCTCTTCATAGCCAGGCCGGCTTTGTTTGGTGAGTTCTTTAATAACAAAAACATATTCCCCTTTTAACTTTTATATACTATTTACATTGATCAAATAAATGGACTGACAACGAGCTGCATTTGTCAATGCTACTAACATCACCAGTTTTAAGGTCAAATCTTTTAGTGATAGATATTTCACTGGCAAAAGTTTGCGCAAGTAGTCCAGAACTTTCTTTATCGCGGCCTAGAGGGCTGAATATTAAATACGCCCTTCATAAAACGAATAACCAAGGGATGTTGACCTACAGATATTTTGTCTACTGATATTCCTAATTCAGAAAGTGCTCCTCGAGCCGTATTTAGACTGCTGTAACTAAGTCCTAGGTCAAACAGTTCTGTCAAAAAATCTAAAACTGGTTTTATAGAATTCTGAATGTAATTAATTTGTTTTTCATGACAGTATTGAAACCATTTTCGTAAATAAGTTTGATATTGTTTCCTTGTTCCTGGTTTCCAAGATTGGATGAGAATGTTGGTTGTTTGTCTAGAAAACCCCTGTTATCTATAATCTTTGCAGACACAAGACATGCTATCATCACTAACTTCTTCTGTAGTGGATGCACAGCCGGACTGTGATCAAGACGTAGTGGATTTTTGCTTCTTGGAAGAACTAACGGTTCTGCAGTTAAGAATCCCATTAATTTTGGGAACCAGGACTGGGTCAACCACAACGGTGCTATCACAATCCCTGTGGCTTTGTCTTGTCTCAATTTCCAAACACACCTTGTCAGTAAACTGAAAGGAGGGAACAGATAAATGAAATCAATGTTACCCCAATCAATACTAAAAGCATTCACATATGAACATTTTGGGTCTGGCTTCCATGAACAAAAATTTGCTACTTGATAGTTCAACCTGGTAGCAAAGAGATCAATTTCTGGTCTCTCCCCTAGCATGAGCAGATTTCATTGAAGACATTTTCATTTAATTTCCAATCTAATTGGTCATCAAATCCTCTAGATTTTTTGTCTGCTTGGACATTTGATCTACCCGCAATATAAGTGCATGTAAGCCAGACCTTATTTTGTCTGCATAATGACCAAACATCTGCTGACAATTTGTTACAATCAGCAGATTTGGTACCTCCCATATTTGAAATATACATAACAGCTGTTGAGTTATCTGTCAAAATTTTAACATGTTTGTTCCTTATCAAAGAAATAAAAGATTTCAATGCTAGATAAATAGACAACAACTCTAAATAGTTGATGTGATTCTGGCCTTCAAAGTCTTGCCAACGACCACCTATCTCAGTATAATTCAGAACTGCACCCCACCCTTTCATTGATCCATCAGTTTGAATGGTAATTTCTGGATTTCCATGATCTATATGCCTAATTTCATACACAACATGGTCAATCCACCATCTCAAATCTACTTTCATTTCGGTGGTAATAGGTATGTCACTATCAAAGTTGCCTGCTGCCCTTTTAAGAGCTAGTATCTTAGCATTTTCTAAACCTCTGTAAAATAATTTTCCATATTCTACAGCAGAAATAGATGATACAATTAAGCCAATAATTTGAGCTACTTCTCTGATTTTTGCTGTGTTTTAATATCAAGCATTTACATTGTGTAATAATTCTTTGTTTCTTATCATCTGTTAACATAACAGTCATTTTGTCTGTATCTATGATGTTTCCTAAGAAAAAAATTCTCTTAGTTGGGGTAAACACTGATTTGTCTTTGTGAATTACAAATCCTAATTTTGACATTAACTTGACAGTTTCCTCAACATTGTTTTCACATTCTTCTTTGGTATCTCCACAAAGAAGGCTATCATCAATGTAACCTACATTTGTAAAGCCCAAAAACCTCAACTTAGAATAAACTGGCTTCATCAATTTAGTGAATAATCTAGGAGCGGAGGAAATTCCATTAGGCAAGCAAGTGTATTAATAAATATTTTCCTTCCATCTAAATCTTAAAAATTTTGGGTGTTCTTCAGCTATTGGAACACTCTAATAAGCATGCCTTAAATCAATGGATGCCATATATCCATTTTTTGAAAAGATTTTAATTGCATTTTCAAAAGTATCCATTTTAAAATGGTGATACTCAACATTTTCATTAAATTTTTTCAGGTTCAAAATCATTCTATATTCCCCATTCTTTTTAGGTCTTATGAATATTGGCGACTAATATTGACCCTCTTCTGGTTCAACAATTTTAATGACTGACAAATGTAATAATTTTCCAATTTCATTTGTGACTATTTGTGATTCTTTTTCCTTAAGAACAGATTTTACATTAAATATATTCTGCTTTGGTTCCAAATCATTTTGAAATTCTATATGGCAGTGATTAACTATATCTAACACAAATTCATCAGAAGTGAGTTTTTCCCATTGAATGGAAAACATTTTCAATACACCTGCTTTGAAGTTATCACTTACTTCATTTGATTTGATTAATTCTTTTCTTTCTGCTGATTCTGATAATTTTCTCCTCCCTGGAAGTTTTTTGAATATCTAGGGATCTTATATCCTGGATTGAGGCCTCTACCTCATCCACGATTTCCACCACGGAGACAGCCTCTGCCACCTCTATGGTCTCTACTACCACGATAGGAACCTCGTCCCCTTCCATACCTTAATTTGTTACCTATTTTGGAACAATCTTCTATGTCCTTAGCAGTTTGGGAGACATCGTCCCCAAAAAGATTCTTTGTGTACGGAACACTATGAGAACACAAGTGTAGGTATTCTGACACGAGCTCTGGTTTAAGCAATTCCCTCCTAGTCATATTAATTTGCCTATTTGCATGTCCTAGTAAGGCAAGAACATCATTAGAACTATCTATGTACTTATTCAAATTCGGGGTGTCGTTATTATCACCTTGCTCTTCTTGTTGTGCCATTTCATTTACAGTTTTGCACAAAATAGTAGCTGCTTTGACCACTGACTTTTCTATAAACTAAAGTTTTTTGTCGTTGGTTTGTGCCTTAGGGGAAATCACGTTCCATATTAATTGATTGGTACAAACAATTGTGAGACCCTCACAATTTTCAGGTCTAGCATTATTTTCGTCTTTGACCATTTCAAGGTATTGGTTTTCGCTCATACCATTTCTAAACAGATCTGTAACAGTTTCAGCTAAGACTTCATCAATTTTACTGTCACATGGCTCTTGTATTTTACATCTTTTTGCCATAGATGAAAACCTGTTATTGTTAACATCCAGTTTCTGTTTTTTGGGTGGAGGTTCCATAGAGTTATCTATGTCATCCTCCCCATCGTCATATACTTGTGGATTATCTTCATAATCATCATTTTCATCAATATTGTAATCATAGTTTTCAATAGTTTGAATTCTATCGGTAAGTGAGTGCAATTCATCACCTTGTTTTTTCTGATTATCTTGTATACTTTTCAATACTGCCATGATTGCATCATGGTCTATATTTTTAGAAGTACTTGGACTGGGTTCGTCCATGTTATCTACTCCAGTCTGTTTCACAACAGAAATAGATTGCTTTTTGTTGCTCGTCGTAGTCTTGGTTGAGCGACCGGAGCTACCTCTGGGGTTACTACTCTTTGTTAGGGATTTAATAACAAACTCTCGTCACAATCTTCCTCCGAAGATTTCTTTCTAGTACTGACCATCTTTCCATCCATTTTAACCCGTGCAAGGTATGGTTTACGGCAATGTCGTAGAAAGGTCATCAGCAAGTCGTAAAATGTCGCAAATAACAAATTACATTTGTTTACAACTGTACTCAGTCAAGATATATGAATATAAAACTAATAAAGTTTAAATATCAACCACGTTGATAAAAAACAATGTAATAAAATTCTTAGACTGAAAGAGACAATGTGAATACACATCTGCACTGTCCAAAATGCACAATCACACTGAAGTTACCGCATACGCATCACTATCTCATTTGATCCCATAAGTGTTTCAACAAATAAAATCCTAGCAAGTAAGGGACTATTAAAATGAGTTCATCTGTCCGTCCACACATTATACCATTTGCTTGATTCTCAGTCTGAACATCCAAAACTGACAGAATTGAGCCTTGTTAATGATGACAACTGACTAGTGTGTGAGAGAGGGAGAAAAATTCCACTCGACGCAAACTAGGTCATTTTGGGACTAATATGTTTTTTTAAAAAAAAAAAAAATTATTTCAATAATTTGCTTGCACGTAGGGGTCTTTAGCAGTGGTAGGAAACCGGAGGACCTGGAGAAAACCCACGAGGTTGGACAGGCGACACTCCTTGTCACGTACAATTGTAAAGTAATTGAACACAACGATTAGGTTTCTTATTCAATCGACACATGCGTTGTAGCGCGAAATTCACTATTCTTGGGATTGAACAAATTTAATTCAGTCTTTAATTCTGGAATGTTCAATCAAGTGTCTCAAATAAACCTATTTCTGTTTGAGGTCAAATGTTCAAACTTGGTGTAGATGTTCATTAGGTGAATCTCTTGGCTGAATTCAATGATGAGAATTTTCTGCATACGCTAAACAGATTTAAGCAATTTGATTTGTCAATGCTTTGTAAGACTATAAATCTGATTCTAATTGAGAATGTTGAAACTTGGTTTATAGTTTCATTACTAAAATACTCAAGCTAAATAATGAGCATTTTCTGAGCATTTTCTTAGGTTAAACAGAGTGCTCAATGCTTTGTACAGTGACATCTATTTATATTGGGATTAAGGAAGGTAGGAGATATCAGCCTCCCTGTTGGTTTGTTTATGTCACTTTCCAAGCATCTTTGTACAGTTTCTAGAATATACTTTGACCAGGAAGCTAAATATTTAATCACAGCAATTTGTACAAATATATTTTTTTATTTTTATCATATTTTCAATGTCAGATGAATATTATTTTTCATGATATTTTTTCTAATGAACTTATTTAGTGTGATGCAATGTCTGCTATCATTATTTATATTTGTTTATTTTTTCACATTGCTAGACCTTTAAATGTTACAACTGAATATATATATATTTAATAAAAGTTTTTTTTACCACCTTCTCACACCATGTTCACGTATTTTTGTTTTCAGTTCTATAATAATGATACACATATTTCACAATCTTCTTGGGTTTGAAGTTTCAGATGAACATAGTCTGTTTTTATAATACAAATATTTAAAGTCAATTGACTATGACGACCTAAGAGAATGTAGTTGTATACTAGTCTATAAAAATGGATGACACACGTTAGTTGTAGACTAGTCTATAATTCCTTTCCTGTTCTTTACGCTGTGAATCCATTTCTTTCGATATATCTTCAACACGTCTATATAAGGCAGCTGAAACAACAAAATAAATTAATTATACAGAAATGTGGATAGAACTAAATATTGGTAAAATATTTAAATAATTTTATATAAAGTACAAATAAGTGTCTGTAGTGAAGACAGCTAGAGTCTGAGGAAAGATGGAAGAATGCACAGACCCACAGGTCAAGTTTGTTTTTTTCTTAGTATATTGGTAAAGAAACCCTGCTTTGTTTATCTTTCCCAGCATATCAAGTACAAGGTCTTCCTAGAACATGTAACAAATAATTACAGCTGTATTATAAAGTTTAGAGAGAGAGATGGGGTTTAATGTCCACTTGACACAAACTAGGTCATTTCGGGACTAACACATGGTTCAATTTATTTCAATAATTCGCTTGCGCATAGGGGTCTTTAGCAGTGGGAGGACCCGGAGAAAACCCACAAGGTTGGACAGGCAACCCTACTCTTTGTCACGTACAACCGGGGAATCGATACCACGCCAGTTGACTCAATGACAGACCTTATGATACAGTGTGCACATGCTAACCATTCGGTCATCCAACCCCACTATAAAGTTTAGAATGCCCTAACCATGCATTATAATATTTATAATAGTTTCTACTAATTATGACATACAACATACCTGAATTTCTATCAATCCATAATAAAGAATCCATATGAGCATTTAATATCTTTGTTATCTGCTGAACCTGAAATTAAATACAAGGTTGACATGTACACCCACAGTCATTAGAAATTTAACTTGTTTCAGGATAACATACTAAATTTGTCTGATGATACATGATGGAAATTAATCTTGTCAAATTTGCAAAATATAAAATATGGATCGATTCCAATACAGGATGGGAAACTTCCGAAAGAATTATCAAACCTGGTTTACCCTTGTCAGTGGGGCAGGATTCAAGGACTTGGCTAGGAAAGCACCTTGCTGTTTGGATGGAAATGAAAACTGAGGCCCCATGTATAAAGAAACATGTTAAAGATTCTCTGGCAAGATTAGGCTTTGGTACCGCTGTTCGGCAAACCTCTGTCATAGCACATTTGACCACATGTAAATCTGTCTTCATTAAACGAGTTGGTGCAGAAAAGTCAAACATTAATTCCCATTTCATTTCCTTTACTAAAATATCTGAATCTCATCCTGTATGCCAGACATCATATATTATTTAACAATAATTGTTTACAGGTATGTTGGGTCACAAGTTCAAAGCAACACAATCATCTAATCCTCCAAATATCACTTTCTTTAAAAGAGGATTCATGCTAATGTATGTAAGTGACAAACTGATTTTCATTGCTTAATGAAGAATCAAGCTTTATTTCAATAACAAACACTTGACCAATTCCTTTTTTTACATAAGACCCATTCTTTGTTCACACGATTAAGAATGTCCCAATAAAAGATGCACCATTGATCTACTGACAGACAGTGTTAAATATATATATATATTATTAGTTGTTAATAAAACTTACAGGGTCATGAGGGTCTGTCTTAGAATTAGTAGCATTCAATCTTTCTATAGTTTCCTTTAAATCTTGTCCCATTCTCTTCATCTGGGCATCAATACTCTCAGCTAGCTGGTAACTACAATACACAATAACACACATCATTTACAATTATTTCAGATTAAACATTATCTTTATATAATCTGATTTCTCATAATAGCCTTTGTACCTATTTTACAAATGCCCTCAAATACATACATTCCCACTCCCAGCACAAACATTTCATAGTAGCACATTTTTGCATCAACCAAACAAAATCTGGAGAAGTCAATTCACCAGAATCTTGAAAGTTTATTACTTTATTTTATAACTAACACTGAATTTAATCACATCTGTATGTGAAGGATTTGGGTCATGTAATGTGCAACTAGCTTGAACAGAGCTATGTCTATTTCCATATCTTCCAGTGTACACTGTTCTGTAGTCTCTGGGAATTTAATTCTAAAGCTTTTTAGGCATATAGCAAGAAAATAATGCTATGATCTGACAACACCAAACGTACCAGGTATTGAAATACACAAGACCTCAGGATTTTCCAACCTGTTTTCCCCTTAATGATGTAGAATGAAAGACCTGGCAAGAAAAAGTGTCTAGTCATTCGGATGGGACAAAAAACATAGATCTCCTGTTTATACATGGCCGTTAATTATCATACATGTATGTCCCAGTATGAACAGAATACAATTGATAAATCTGTTACTTACGTGTGTTCTCTCTGTAAATCAGCATGCTGCTGGAAACTAATGGGAGGCATCTGTTCTAAACTTTTTTCTAATGGTTGAAGTAATTCTTCAAGTTCTCGTTGTTGAGCATGTATAAAATCAATCTCATGATCTAACTTCTGTTGATCAGTTTTAACTTTATCTACATCTTGACTCAACTGAATTATCTACAATTATATTATATGTTTATTTATTTAACATATTGCAATGTCTGTTAATCTCAGATTAGCAAGACATTTTTTCCATGTTTTCAAATAATATGAAAATGTTTAGATTTATTTATCAGTTTAAATGTTTTTTTACACTTAAAATCTATAAATTGAACTGTATTTATTGGGTTTTAGGGTTGAATTCTTTAAAATTCTGATTACATGGCATGTAAATTGACATGTTTCTGAAGCAACGGCTGCGAGTTTAACAACATCTGGAAGTTGCTAGATTGCTTTACAATTCCAGAACTTATAGCTACGTTGCTAGATTGCTTTACAATTCCAGAACTTATAGCCTACGTTATCTCCATTTACTGCACACACGTGAACATTAGCGTCCAATCAGAGGCTGTGACACAATCAAATATAGCGACCTCCACTGAAACTTTGACCTTGAACACACCCTGAACTTTGCAACTCGATTACCAAAGGTAGACATTTTAGCTGGAAAGCACGGGACTTGGTATTCACGATGATCGAGGAATCTGATAGGCTCTCAAGCTGGGTGAATACCCAATCGAAATTAGTGCCGAAATATCCAGGGTATTATGTGAAGGCCTTGATAAGATGTACGAGTTAAAGCGAGATCAAGCCTTTTATTGAAGATGGTAAATTGACTGACAGATAAGTTCTCCAGCCAGTCAATTTGACTACCAGTCAGTCAAGCCTGGTAAATATGACGGAAATGACAGCCCTGGTTTACACATCCATATCTTAGAAACATTGAGATGAATCACTTTCAAATATTAACAAATACATTTTCTACCTTTTCTCCATTCTCCATGACTAATCTATCCCAAGCATTGACTTGAGTAGCCTGTTGTAAAAATATCTTCTCCTGTTCTGATAATTCTGTTGTCCATTTGTTGATAGCATCCTCTAGTTGGTGATATGTCATTTGTTTAGATGGACCAGCTACAGTTGTTGTTGTTGTTGTACTGAAATATTTCATATCAAAAATAGAATGGGATGAATAATGTTGAAACCGATCAACTTATTTTAAAAGCAATCATATATTTTTTCCTTCAAGGACTTAGGACACACGAAATCACTGCTGTTTGTCCTGTCTTTAGCCCTTTCCTTACAGGTCACATGATGACTATGGTTACTATTTTACTGCCCCTGTTTCTATGTTAGGTTATTCTAATAATAAAATGGTACCCATAAGGAGGTTCTACATATGGTTTAAGTAGCAACCAGACTCCATGTAGTGTCAATTAGCTATTGTTCATTGTGGTCTCCTGTTTACTGCATTGCCTCAAAACCAGGTCCCATGGAAAATTTATGACGTAATTAAAAGGTTAACCCTACAATAATAACAAATTATGTTTCATGAAAAATTTGTTATTTTCACATACTTGTGTCCTTTTGTTCAAGGAACACATCTAAAACATTTGAACTCCACAACCGACACAATTTTATAATTCGGACAAGTGGATTTATTGACTGGACAAAAAATATATTATCTGGTACATAGAAAATTTGAAAACTATGACACAGTTGGATAGCTGGATTTATTGCCTGAACAATATTTTTTTTATCTGTAGCACTTTTTTTTTATCCAAGGACTTCAAATTTATTTGACAGAAAAGCAAAAATATTACCTTGGTAAAACAGATGCTGTGGATTTGTTGGCTGTAGAATTCAGAAGACCTAACCCAGCAGTAGATGTGGTGGTTGATAATCCTAAACCAGTTGATGCTGGGGCTGTAGATGCTGCTCCAAGATTGAGACCAGTTCCTGGAGGTTTTATAGTTGTAGCACTTGCTGCACCTAACGTTAGCCCACCAGCTGCTGATGTTGCAGGTGGAGCTCCAGCTAGATTAAAGCCTATACTGGGTGCTGCACTTGTTGTGGCAGTCTTTAAACCACCTAATGTGGCTCCTGCACCTGTTATTTAAGTAACAAATCTACATGGAATTTTAGGTAACTAATAAAACTGATTAAAGTGGAATCCAGAGGATTTTATGTCAGTGTACATTAAATGGTAGTCCAGATATACTGAAATATGAAAATCAAACTATGCATTAAGCCCTGGTGCCCAATCTACTCAAACTAAGAAGGGGATTCCACATGAAAAATATGGGCAAGCTGGAATAGGGTCAATATCTCATAATCGCAATACGTATTTCGATGCTTAAATGTGCGTAATGCAAGGGGGAGAATTTTAACCCAACAGCTGTATTTCAGCATATTTTTTTTAACAAATTCCTATCGTCACCGGTTCTTTTAAATAAAGCACATCTCAGTATTTTGTCGACTGAGCACGCTTTCCCTGTCAGTTCTGCAGATGCCACATCTGACAAGTGAGAAACAGACCCTGATTTCACAAAACATTCTCAGACTTAAACATGCATTATGCAATAGCTAAATCTGCCTATTGCAGGTCTTTCTTTAGGCCAGGAATGTTATCTACTAAAGTATTAATTAGACATTAATTAACTGATCCAGGCATTAAATAACTGATCCAGGCTTAATCAACTCTCGATGGCATCAGATTTCTCCGATATTAAATAGATTAGAATGGTTCAGCGATACTTTGATTTAATCAAATATGGAGGACCGAGACTTAGCTTCGCTTGCAATAGAGTAATTTGAATGAAATTTTCAAATTATTCATTTTACATTATCTACTTTCGAACTATTATAGCAAGAATGGTTAGTTCTTTGTCTAAATCTTACATAATGTATCTTTAAGTTAAGAATTTACTCAAAATTTCTCACCTTATCTTAACTAGAAAATATGCAATGCCTTTATAAAAATCGTTGTTGTTTTAATGTATCAAATACATGTACATCAATAAGAAACCATGTGCAGGTTTTATGTTTCTGGATCAAAGATATTTCTCATAAACAGTGATTGATAGTTGAGTATATTCTTAACTTAAGTGTGAAACTGGGGCCCAGCTTGATACATCCTGAAATTTTTTCTACCCAGAACACTCCTCTACACCGACCCTCCTCTTGTGTATGATTTTTATACTAATGCCGTATAGAGAAATGAGCCCAGAGAGATAAATTATATTTACCTGGCATCTGTCCAAATGAAAAGCCACCAGAGGTTGATGTAGCTGGTGCTGCAGTTGCGGCTGGTGTTGTTCCAAGTGATAAACCTGCAATCAAATTAAAAGACTATTTACATCTAATGTTTAAACATAAGATGCTAAATAAATAATAAAAGACTTAATGCTATATTGTATTTTAACAGAACAGTTTTTGAATCTTTTAACTTTGCCAAATATATATATAGCACTGATTGGTGCTTATCTTTATGAAGAAACCTTTACTGCAATCCTACTCCTAACCCTAACCAATTATCTGAGGCTCTATGTTTTCAAAGACCAAAGGCCAGTATTCCAGAGGGGATGGAGGGAGACTACCGGTAGCTTCTTGACTAGCAATTGCCTTGTGTCTGGATACCTTAAGACACATGCTCAGTGACTTTTCGCTATAATTTCGTGGGAGATAATTCCTGCATTTTTTTTTATCTCTTGACAAGTTTAAAAATGGTAATCAAAGGTTGAGTTTATCAAGTTACTCAATAAAAAAACCAGTTAAATAACCCACTACTAAAAACACTTTTAGCAATTATATCCAAGCGGCTCAATAGTCTTGAAAGATAATAAATGTCTTAATTCATTAAATACTTCAATTTTGTGAACCATTACCTGATGCAGCTGTTGGTGTTGATTGTAAACCAAATGAAAATCCTGGTGTTCCAGACGTACTTGTTTTCGCAGCACTGATACCTGTACCTAAAAGTGTAGCTAAAAATAGATCATCCAAAAACATAAAATATGGGTTGCCAGGCAAAAAAAACCCAACCTCCCACAGCAGCTAAGCTGTCTGTAAAGGTTGTCGTATTGTAAATCTTTAAGTAAACAAGAGCATCGCTAACGCAGCAATATACGTCCACATTCCTGTTTTGTTTGATATGGTCCAGTTTGCATTGAGGGTCTGTGAAATAAAACTGGGTTGTAGGACTGCTATCAGTTTAACACTTCGTTCACATTAACAGAACACAATTTTTATTTTAAAACAATCGATGTCTTTATTCCAAAAAAATGACGTTTCGAATAGGTATGCAAAGTTTCAAAAGAATCTGTTAAGAATTGCGGTCTGTAGGCAAAACACAAGACACACAAACATTAGGTGTGGCTCTGTCCCAAGGGGTCGAGCATGCACCAAAAATAATAATAGAGGTCGGCCTTAGGATTAAGGAATAAGTATAAAAAGTAGCCTTAGGCTATAAGGAATAAGTATAAAAAAGTTTTCAAGATGATCGATTAAGAAATGCGGTCTGCAAGTGACACACAGACATAAAAAAAGAAAATGGGCGTAGCTCTGCCCCTGGGGGTTGGGTATTCACCACAAATAATAGGGATGTTCCTTAGGATAGAAGGAATATGTATGCTAGGTTTCAAGGTGATACGATAAGAAATGCGATCTGTAAATATAAGGGATGGGCGTGGCTCTGCCCCTGGCGGTCGGGCATGCACCAAAAACAATAGGGATCATCGTTAGGGTATAAGCAATTCATATGAAATTTTTTCAAGACGATTGATTAAGAATTGTGGCCTGTAGGTGACACACAGACATAAAAAGAAAAGGAAATGGGCGTGGCTCTGCCCCTGGAGGTAAAAAAACAATAGGGATCATCGTTAGGGTATAAGCAATTCATATGAAAAAATTTAAAGACGATTGATTAAGAATTGTGGCCTGTAGGCGACACACAGACATAAAAAAGAAAATGGGCGTGGCTTTGCCCCTGGGGGTTGGGCATGCACCCAAAACGATAGGGATGTTCCTTAGGGTACAAAGAATAAGTATGCAAAGTTTCAAGATGATACGTTAAGAAATGTGGCCTGTAGACGACAAACAAACAAATACAAAAAATGGGGGTGGCTCTGCCCCGGGGAGGCGAGCATGCACTAAAAACAATAGGGATCATCCTTAGGGTATAAGGAATAAGTATGTAAAGTTGATACGTTAAGAAATGCGGTCTGTAGATGACAAACAAATAAATAAATATAAGGAATGGGCGTGGTTCTGCCCCTGGGGGTCGGGCATGCACCAAAAACAATAGGGATCATACTTAGGGTATAAGCAATTCATATGAAAATTTTTCAAGACGATTGAATAAGAATTGTGGCCTATAGGCGACACACAGACATAAAAAGAAAAGAAAAAGTTCGTGGCTCTGCCCCTGGGGTCGGGCATGCACCCCAAACGATAGGGATGTTCCTTGGGGTACAAAGAATAAGTATGCATAGTTTCAAGATGATACGTTAAGAAATGCGGTCTGTAGATGACTAACAAATAAATAAATATAAGGAATGGGCGTGGCTCTGCCCCTGGGGGTCGGGCATGCACCAAAAACAATAGGGGTCATACTTAGGGTATAAGGAATAAGTATACCAAGTTTGAAGAAAATCCAGTAAGAATTGCGCCCTGTAGGCGACACAAAGACACACGAAAAGAAAATGGGAAATGGGCGTGGCTCTGCCCCTGGGGGTTGGGCATGTACCCCAAACGATAGGGATGTTCCTTAGGGTACAAAGAATGTGTATGCAAGATTATAAGTTAAGAAATGTGGCCTGTAGACGACAAACAAACAAATACTAGAAATGGGCGTGGCTCTGCCCCTGGGGGTCGGGCATGCACCAAAAACAATAGGGATCTTCCTTGGGGTATAAGGAATAAGTATACCAAGTTTGAAGAAAATCCAGTAAGAATTGCGCCCTGTAGGCGACACAAAGACACACGAAAAGAAAATGGGCGTGGCTCTGCCCCTGGGGGTTGGGCATGCACCCCAAACGATAGGGATGTTCCTTAGGGTACAAAGAATGTGTATGCAAAGTTTCAAGATTATTAGTTAAGAAATGTGGCCTGTAGACGACAAACAAACAAATACTAGAAATGGGCGTGGCTCTGCCCCGGGGGGTCGGGCATGCACCAAAAACAATAGGGATCTTCCTTGGGGTATAAGGAATAAGTATACCAAGTTTGAAGAAAATCCATGAAGAATTGCGCCCTGTAGGCGAACCACAGACACACACACACACACACACACACACACACACATACATACATACATACATACACACACACACACACACAGACAGGGGCGACGGCATAATACGTTCACATTATGAATGTGGACGTATAAAAAGCAAAATCATTATACCATAATAATAAATCGAATAATAAAAACAATTTTAAAATAGGTCAAATAATTACTTTTACTACAGAATTAACAGGTTTCTACAAATTGAGCAAGGACAATAATTAACAGAAATTCGATAAAATGCTTATATTCATTAATTTGAACAATGCACCATTTTTGTAAATGAAATGAAATGGGGTTTAACATCCTACTGTTCTGCTCCGAACTGGGCTAATGAAGATGGGCATACGCCATACAGTGTGGTATGAGGGAAATTTTGCCCAGACAGCAGCACTACAGCCTACTCATATATCGAATTCCAACTGTCAAGGGATCTTTTACGTGCACGCCAATGTGTACATAGGACCTCGGTTGTCCGTCCCATCCGAACGACTAGACAGCTGTCCTTGTCAGGACCTCCGTGCTGCATCACTGACATTTGGGAACCACGTCGGAAAATCTGGATGAACTTTCTCGGCCAATGCAGGGATCGAACACCATTTTTGTCGATAGAGTACCGGTATTCACAAGATATTACAAACAAATGAAATGAAATGAAATGGGGTTTAACGTCCTACTGTTCTGCTCCTAACCTGGGCTAATGAAGACGGGCATACGCCATACAGTGTGCTATGAGGGAAATTTTGCCCGGGCAGCGGCACTATCGCCTACTCTTATATTAAATTCCAACTGCCAAGGGATCTTTTACGTGCATTCCAATGTATACACGGGGCCTCGGTTTTTTGTCTCATCCGAAGGACTAGACAGCTGTCCTTGTCAGGCCCTCCGTCCTGCATCACTGAAAAGGGGAAACCACGCCGGAAAATCTGGATGAACTTTCTCGGCCAATGCAGGGATCGAACACCCGACCTCCAGGCCAGCGAGCCAGCGCCTTACCCACTTAGCCACGTGATCCCCTTATTACAAACAAATCAAGGGCAATAGCTGTAAATGTAATCAACAGAATTCACCTTTAGGTCTCAATAATTTGAACAATGCATAACATTTCAAACAGATTGAATAATAACTTTTATCTTTACAGATTCTGTAAAATCAACAAAAAATTATGGATTGTTCTTCTAAAAAGAGTGAATTCCAGTTTTTAAATATCACGTATAACACAAGAAAGAACTAAAAATTAAAAAGATTTGGCTTACACGCATTTAAGACTCTATCAAGATACATCAAACCACAACAATATGATTACAAGATTGCAACTACACACATATCTCTATTTTCTTACCTGTTCCCAATCCTAAACTGGGCGTAGCTGCAGGTGTGGTAGCACCAAATGAGAATCCTCCCCCTGGATTAACTGTTGGTGTAACATTAGGCTTTGGCACTTGTGCTGCAGGAGTGGATGTTATGGCAGAATTAAAGGAAAACCCAGGAGTTCCCAAACCTGTTGCTTGGGCTGCTGCAGTTCCACCCAATGAGAATCCCGTAGCTATAAAATAACCATTCAATTTTATTACATTGTTCTACTTTTCTACAATAATAATTGATAGATTACATACAAAAATTTTAATTGATCAATAGTGATTGATATGCTTTAAAAATTTTAGGCTTATCTGCCTGAAGCTGAAGAAGAAATGTAATCTCACTGCTTACCTGCAGCAGTTGGTTTGCCAAACCCTGTTCCAGCCCCAGCACCTCCAGTTGCACCAAAACTAAACCCTCCTGAAGGAGCTGCAGTAGTTGTTGTTGTTGCAGTACCTAATGATAGTCCAGGAGTAGTACCAGTACCAGGTGTTGATGTAAATGAAAACCCTGAAAATAGAGACATTGGTTATGTACCATACATATATAATTTATAAGCATAAACTATACAAACCAATAGTGACAGGAAAAATATAAATCTGAAGTATCCCTGACAGAGTTTTAAGTATTGATCATTAAAACTATAGATTTAAAACCAAATATATTTGCATTCCATAATGTTTAGAGGAAGAAAGAAGTTCTAATTCAAACTGTCTGGAAATAAGACACCTGTCACAGACAAAGCAAGCTTTAATCTTTCGCAGGCACAATTCCTTTGGCACTTGTCATTCTGCAAAGTATAAATTGTATTTTTTCTGTGTTTTTATTGATATTTTAATACATGAGTAAGTATGATACATGTCCGACAAAAAGTGTCAGTGACAACTTAATTAAATGGATCCTGACATTTGTCACATTAAACTCAAAACAGTATTTCCAGACCTGTAGAAGTGATGCAATATAATACAATAACGGGTTAATAATGCCTGATTGAAATCCAACATAGACTATCAATTAGTGAATTCAAATGGCAAAATTTACAAAGCACTGATGAACAACCATACAAATGAAAATAATTACCTCCAGGTGCTCCCTGTTTATTACCACCGAACATTTTCTCAAAATCTTACTTCAAATTACACAAAATGTATAAATGTATACCCTTTTTAAAGTTCGGTCTTCACAAACTTGGCCCTGAAAGAGAAATCTAATTTTATATTACCGGGTAACCATGTAAAACTGCAAATTAATTTTTTCCAGGCGATATATGTAACCTTATAAATATATATAAGTGTGTTTTTTATTCTGACTAACAGTAACTCTGGGGGAAACACACCATATGCTATCACCCAAAAGTAAAACCAAACCATATACAAAGAAACCCTATGGAAAAACTCCAGGACAAGAAACATAACTTATGTAAGAAACAACAAAAGCAAATCAAGTAAATGGGCTTGCTTGCCATTAAGTAGTTCCTTTTGGAAAGGACGATTCCTTTTGGTGAACAAAGAATAACTGCACATGGTGAAAAATAGGTGAGGACCTCAAAATCGTCCTGGAACAGAGGTACATGTAGGGGTAGATCGTTATTACATTGCTTGTTAATAGGAACGGATAGGAATGGTCTTTAAATGACTTAGTCTGTTCCAAAAACAAAAGGAACTAACTACTAGTAATCTAGTCCGCCTATTGTACAGTCCCGGTCAGAACAGTCACAGTGAGTTTGTGCTTAAAAGTAAGGTGTTATACCCCATTCTATTTCATTCATTTTGGGTCAACGGTCACGCAGCTGTAGCCCGTTTCGATGACTGATTAGTCTTGATTTTACCTGCTCTCACATTGGGTCGTTTTTTTTTCAACAATTCGTAATTATATAGTCTAGTTGGGAATGTTGTATGCATATTATACCGATAGAAGGTCAGCTGAGTGACTCTCATTCTATTCTCAACTTTTAGTTTTTACCTTGCTTTGGCAATGCCAATTTCAAAGACCGGACGGTTCTGTTTTAGACTATTCTAACTAGATTTATCAATTGCTTAACCAGATCTAAATATCATTGCGTACCTGCAGACCTACAAGTTATTTTGGTAATAAATTAATTATAGACTGCAACATGACAAATTTCTACTTTCACATTTGCTTCTTTCATAGCATTGGCGGCCAAGCTTCGACCTTATCTTAGCTGTCGTAAAACAAATATTGTTACTGCGTATTTTAATTTTCAAGAAGTGAAAGGTATCTTTTTAGATCTCCACTATATAATTAACTACTTGAAAGAAAGAGAAGTTGTTTAAATTAAACGCTAAATATTAAAATAGCGCTTTCTAGTTTACGACATCTGTTGTCAAGTCGTAAAAATGTCGAGAAATCATGTTCGGATGATTGCAAAAACCGTTTTTGTTAAAAATAATAATGTTGACGCAGCTGCTAATGCTCTGGATGGGTAAGCTAGACTGTTAAGTCTTTACTTTCACTCGTTATTTTATTTCATGAAAATAAATAACTATGAAACTCAGTAATGAAGGGATGAATGTGGTTAAAAGGGAGGCAACTCTCTCTCTTTTGCGTCAGTGTAGGAGTCAAACCACAGATTATTTTCCCAGTTCATACACAAGTTATTAATACCTGCCCTGGTATTTACCGACTTATTCATCCTTATTATGTAACAGGCATTGCCTGAGTTGAGTGAAGCTGATGGGATTGTTGTTAAATTGTAAATATATAATTTATTTATATAATTGATTTTAATTTAGATCTAAATTGTATGATTAATTTTGTTTGAATATAAAAGTGTGAGAATTATTTTTATTGAGGTTAAAAAAATATGACGTCATTGATTAGACGCATCATAGAAATATTTCTACGAGACACGTAATCTCGCTTCCGCGAGATTTGGTATGCTCATTGCCAGTTTTGCCCAGTGTATCCTGTTCCAGTCTGATTCTTTTTTTAATCAACAGTCTGTGGGTGACAATTTTTGTTACACTCATGTGTTATCGGAAAAGAGCTTTGCTTAAGCACCATGCTTTGCGCGATGCTTTAGAACTTTACTCTATATTATCATGTCCATGCTTATGTTTCAATATTTTACTATGGTTGTGCATTTTCACCCTGTCCATGATTTCTTGTTAAATTATATTATATCATTACTGGCACTCACCATTGCTGGCCATGTTTTTCCACCCTATTGTTAGTATGAGTAATGTCACTTTGAAGTTGAATATCTGGGTTCTTTTTAGTATTGCTGGTATTCTTTATTGAAGTAACTAGGGATATGATTTGTAGCCTTATTCCACACCGTCGAAAATGATCAGAAGATGTCAATTCATGTGTTGATTGACCACATTCTTTTGCCTTTTATTAAAACTATATAAGTCCTGAGAAAAATCCTGCACCAAGTCCCGGACATATCTTCCAATATAATGTATATATTCATAAATATAGAATAATAATTTTATTGATTATTTTTGCAGTATTTTAAGAAAAGACATGATATTGGATAACATCAGAAGGAATCGGTATTATGAGAAACCATTTTTAAAAAGACAAAGATTGAGCTTTGAAAGATGTAAAAGAATATATAATACAGACATGCAAAAGAAAATTGCATTTGTTATGAGAAAAAATCGGGAAGATCCATGGCCCAGATGATGTTAGGATTACCTATTTTAGTATAAACATTTTATTCAATTGATGAAGAATGAACTTATTAAATAACTGGGTTGTGTGATCGGTGTTTAGACAGTTATAAATGGACAATTCATGTTCATGTCTGTGCTTAAAATTGTTGAAAAGCAAATCCTATTATTACAGATGTGATATGTTTTTACAAAATAATAGTGAAAGCATATACATGTAGACAGTTTTATATAAATAAATTGTTTATCTACATGTATTTTTGAAAAAAATTTTTTTAGCCCACTTTGAAATGTGGTTGTATATTGCAATTACGCATGGTCGTCGGTTGTCCACAATTTATTGTCAACTGAAGAAATTTATGCATTGCTCATATTAGTGAAACAAAGAAGCCTATCAAGTTTCAACAATAGCAGTTACTGGTAATTACTTCTAAGAGTAACCCTCCAACGACAAAGTTATCATCACATCTGAATTTTGTGTACATTATTCAAATTATAAAAATGAACATACCTATTGAATTTCAACAATTCTAATTTCTACAGTTATGGCTCTAGTTTACCTAAAGAATCATGGACGACTTATATACAGTACCTGCTGTGGGCAACATATCTTTTTTTATGTATATTTCTTTAGCGCTTGACCAAATTCCCATGATCAGATTTCTTAAAATGAAGTTATCCTGGTGTATATTAGTAAGCAGAGAAATGTTGACATCACTTAACAATTTAGGTGAAACAAATTGACCACTCTATACTATACATGCACCTAAGTGCCATTGAGTCAAGTATTTTGGCTTTGATCCCAAGCATGTACTTGACCAAGGAGCAGGGTTGCCTGCCTAACTTGATGGGTTTTCCTGCGTTCAACTGGTTTCCTCTAAGAACTAATTAGAGACCCTTGGAATTAAATGTACTGTTCCATACATGTATGTTAGTCCCAATTACTTGGTTTACTTTGAATGTACTAAAATCCCCCCTCTTTCTCTCTGTGCCTCATCTTTCTCTCCCCCCCCCCCTCCTCGCAAAACTCCCAAACTTCATAGATTAGACCAGAAACACTTCATAGTTTAGACCAGAAAAACTCCATAGCTTAGAAAAGAACAGACATATGCATGTACTTCATAGCTTAGACAATACACTTTATAGCTTAGACTAGAACAGATATATGTGCAATTCATAAGAACATATACCTCATAGCTTAGACTAGAACAGAAATGTATGCAGATGTAGATTTTAAAGATTCTGTGTATAGATAGTGCAGGACACTTACCTAACAAACGATACAATAAACAATCAAAGTTGTCCAAATTAATTGCAAACCCTCAACAGAAAAGTAAACTTATCATGAACAGGGAGTATTTAATTTATGCTATATATATATGTCTGTTTTGATATTTAGCCAGATCAAAAAGGTTAAATTAATGTGTAATGAATAGGCATAAAAGGTGATACAGATTATTGTAACATAAAATCCTTCAATAATCGTTTGAACAGATGTAGCACAAGCAGGTCAGAAATAATGTTGAAATATTCATACTATGTCATAACAGTGAAACAGAATTCCCATAGACATCAAGAGATACGAAACACTGAACACTTTTAAGTCACAGTTCAATATGTTAATTTTCAAGCAAATATATGACTCGCACTCTTAAGCAGTTTACTGGAAAGAATGAAATCTATAAATTCATCATTTGTTACTGTAATTTATAGTAAGGGATACCATGGAACTTGTGCAAGAGTCCATGGGGGATACCTTATCGGCATCTGTGTAAGTATAAAAGGTAATCAGCAACAGCAAATAGGTCACAAATCATGCTTTGATGGCTTTACCTAAACTTCTGTCTGAGGTCATGTTTTTTGCAACAGATTTTTTGTTCTAAGTTTCTTGTACCTTGTACCTTACACTTAATCAAACCCAGTCGAAACAGTTCAATAGCCATAAAGATGTACAGAAACTTACAGAGATTAAATATAAGTACATACATTTATATAGCAGCAATTTTAATATACTTATAATTACTTACAAAAAAAAGTCACTTTATCATGTATCAGAGACAGTTTTTACAATAGATAATAATAATAATAGTTTATTCTCAACTACATGTACAAGCATGAGTATGGAAGTTACAACAAACATGGGGATCACGGTGGCTATGTGGGTAAGATGCTGGCTGACTAGCCTGGAGGTCGGGTGGTCGATCCCTGCATTGGCCGAGAAAGTTCATCCAGATTTTCCGGCGTTGCTCCCCCTTGTCAATATTGCAGGAGGGAGGGCCTGACAAGGACAGTTGTCTAGTCATTCGTATGGGACAAAAAGCTGAGGTCCCATGTACACATTGGCGTGCAATCCGTGCATATAAAAGATCCTTTGACAGTTGGAATTCGATATAAGAGTAGGCTGTATGCCTGTCTTCATTAACCCAGTTCGGAGCAGAACAGTAGGATGTTAAACCCCATTTCATTTCATTTACAACAAACATTTCACATTGTGTTTTACAACAATAGATATATGGGCTGATCTCTAGTTGGAGGCAGACCACCATTAAATTTCACCATCTCGGTATATTTATAGCAATTCTCTCTCTCTTTTCTCACCTTTTGCATGCCCATTTTTGTTGATTTTTTGGTCTAGAATACACGAAGAGGGTTTGAATTAACATTTTCTGCCAGGTTTTGGTAAATATTCATGATTTTGAGGCGGAAGGATAACAGGGGTTATCAGGTTGGCCACGGCGATATGTACGGCAACTTACATTTTTTTAGTATGCTTCTTCAAGTTTGTGTATCTCAAAATTTTGGTGGTCAACCTCATATAAATTTTAGTGCAAAGACATGACCATTTGTTCCTCTGTCTGTAGGGAAAAACATTCAGCCCAACGAAAATTTGGGGAAAAGTTGGAGGTGGGCAAAGAGGCCAGAATTAACATTGAAGTCAATGGGGGAAATTAATGGTGGTCTGCCTCCAGTTCGTCTGCTAACAATAGGGATTATCTCCCCTTAATTAAATGTTTGATTGTCAAGTCTTCGAAATATCAATATAAAATCTTACGACTGGATAACCGTGCGTACCGCGAATCAAAACAAACATGTCGGTGAACGACTGCATAATTTTTCGGATATTGTTTAGTTTAACAAAATTTTACAGAAGGAATTCAGTATTTGCAACTTTCATTATCATTACCCTTTCTGCTACTCCTATTCTTGCTATTAGTGACACTGTAGCCTTTGTTGATGTGAAGAGAGATGAGAAAACACAGTTCCAGAAACGGGTTTCTAAAAATGGAGATCTTTTTGACATTTCCAGTTTGACAGCCAATGTCAGAGGCTGGTTCGCATCAGCTGGCAGTGTGAAAGAGGCTGAAGGAAGACTCCATTTGGTATGAATCAATACATTTTCAAATTTTAAATTAATTGTTTGAGGCTGTCGGTATTAAGGTTAGGCGACATTTCGAGGGGAAAATTTTGGAGATATTTAATTATTTTATATTTATTCAAATTAAAGGAGCTAAACCTCTTAACTCTTATTAACTCAATATTTTCCTTAATATTCGAAAATAAAAATACAAATTGGAATTCAGTATTGGTCCAATACAAAAATACAAATCAATTAAACTAGCATTACTTTAATAGCCTCCGGTTTATGAAGTCAAACAGTGCTTGAAACCACACAGTGCAAAAATTTGCAAAATCTCACAGTAGCTAATGATTCTAACCCATGCACCTCCTCCCAAATCCGATCCTTAAGTGTTTTATTCTTATTCTAAAGATACCAACAGAATGTGGTACAGATGATGAGAAAGGGTTTGCCAGGCTACCCATGGATTGGATTGGTGTCTTCCATTATTCACCTCAATCAACCGATGCATCAATGGAGAACAGAACAGGAGAATGTCCTGGTGTAATGGATAGGGTAGGTTATGTTATTTAAAATTAATATTCACAGAGATATGTTATTTGTGCTGGTATAAAAAACATCGCTCAAAACCTTGAGGCATTTCGAGACACAAATGGTCAAGAGATAAGCTACTCGTAGCTTTTTGGGTCAGATATTGGCCCTTTAAAGGCTCAATACCACTCTTGTTGTAACTGAATAATATGTCCCAATCTTTATTCTGGTCAACAAATTGTACTATTTTAGAATATTTCAATTAATTGATGATACAAATTTCATCTTAACACACCTTATTTAAAAATTTTGAAAAATTCAACATAATGGTTTGAAACGTCTAACATAAACCTTTTCAAATGAAACTTCGATTTAAAAATATTTTCTGGATAAGTAAAATAGGATGTAATGGATAATTTACACAACAGGTAGGACACTTAAACATCTAGTACTTAGAGATATTATTTATTTTCTGGAGCTTTCAAGCCAGCAAGAGTGTTATTGTCCCTTTAAACTTTTATTCCAAATGGTTACTCTTGATGACCGTATTGTGATCCTACAATATATTAAAATATGGCATGATGATGATTTAATACATGTACTAATTTTTATAGAAATCCTGGAAGAGAGGTCAGGGACCCATAGAGTGCCTTAGACCCCATTTGGAAATTGGTTTTTCAATAAATTGTATCTCTATCACATTAACAAGTTTCTGGCAAAGGGTTTTCAGAACGCTGAATATCGATAGTGTAGATTATGTCACATATTCTTCACTGCAATGGGTCCCAAGGAAACCAGTTTACCGAGGGCCAAGATCTTCCTAGTCTACCAGTGTCATGGTTTACACTTTACACTTTCTTTTTCAGGTAAAGAATGCTATCATGTTTGGTGCTTCAGCTATAATAATATTAAGTTTAAATCAAAAACTAGTTAAACAGGTAATTACTGAGAGAGTGTATCTTGTACAAAAAGTTGTTAAATCTTCATTTTGATATTAAGTTGCATAAGGATTTAAAAATTTTAATTTGGCAGGAATTGTTAATTTGCAAAGTGCGGTTAAAATCTTCACTTTTTCAGAAACTATTTTTATATTCCTTACTTATTTGCAGGAGTACAAACAAATGATATACCTTGATTATCTTATGCCAAACAAAGTTAAGAGCGGAATATTTAAATCAACTCTATCTGTCCTTCCATTCTGGTATTGTTATCTTCATTGTTTTTTAATTTTTGATAGGTTATCTAATTATTTTGTCTTGGTATTTTCGCAAAAAAAAACTGCCTGTCTTCCTGCTCCAAAAAACTGGCATAGCATTTATCCCATTTCAGAAAAGACTTGGTTCAGTTATTGTTGTATGTTTCAGTTTGATATAGGACAAGAATTTGCCAAGCCTGTTGTACTAATACAAGATAAAACCAATATTACTTCATTTCTCACCCTACTTATGAGGTAAATATAATATTTATAACCTGGTTGGTCTAACTTAGCAAACCAGGTCTCAAGTATTTGGGTCTATTTGAATTGGATCTTGATCAAGCTAGATCGATATGGGTATTTTTCTTAAATAACTTCTATCTTATCCATGCTGCTGTGAGAAAATTGTTGGATTTATTTAATTGAGTCTCCAGTAGGTGTCAAGATCAATCTTAAAGACTCAATATGATCAGGACCAAGTTTGTACTAAAAGTTAAACATTATTTCCACAGAATTGTCATATTAGTTTTAAATAGTCTTTTTATTATTTCACAGTAAATTACGAGTTAAGGCTAAAGTATTTATTAATAACACCAAACAAGGACTAATTGTGAGTAACAACATTTTGTTATAGCTTTTATTAAGTCCGTCCGGGCAGAACAGTACGTCGTTAAACCCCATTACATATAAGGCCAGATTCGTTTGACCATTTGATGACTATGGTGCACATAAAAAAGATTAATTCTTTAAAGTGTCAAGCGGTAGAAGAACACTGGTCTCTCAAGAGTTTTCGATCCTGGTTTTCCCTTGTTTGAGGTGGTGTCTGGATGAGGAGAGTGATCCTGGTTGTTTGGATGGTTACTAAACACCAATTTACATGCATGTACACATTGGTGTGCACCTTAAACAACCCATGGTAGTTGAATTTAATGAAGAATAGCTGGAAACGCTGCTTATTTGCCAAAATTATATCCTCACATCGCACAGGCAAGCATTGAAAAGAAAAAAATACCACATGTTAGTCTATTCCTTTCTTTAAGTTCAGTTTATGTAGTAAAATATGAACTTAAAGGGGTTTGATGAAATTCAGACTTAGAGGAATGCAAAATTAAGCTCTTTCTGATACTGGTGGTGTGAACTAAAAAAAAGAATTTAAAATATATAGAGTTGTTGTTTAAGAAATACCCCTAGATGTACACTTTATGTGCAGAAATTTGAACTTCAAGGTATTTGAAATTTGAACTTACTGGAATGCAAAACTAAAGTTCTATCAGATATCGATATAATTATCTTTAAAAAAAAGAATGAATTTTAAATATATAAATGGTGTTGTTGTAGAAATTTCCCACTATAACTATGTGGTCAACTTGTGGTCGCAGTACAGTGGGTGTAGGAGTTATATGTCTGGGTACCGATGGTAAAAAACTACAGAAAGGCAAGACTGATCCTGGTATATTCTGGAACTGTTTTTATACTCTCTTATTTCTAATGATGATGATGCTTGTTGTGAAAAGTAGAAGGTGGAATGGAGAATGGGGAGATCCACATCTTGAGGTAGTGTATGCTCTTTATAGTAATTGAAATCTCCTCTTTAAAAAGTTGTAAGCAAACAGAAGAATTAGTTTCAGCTTCGACCGGGGCTCTTATTTCAGTCATATTTGCCAGACTTGACTGAATGGTAGTCAAATTGACTGGCTGGAGAATGTATCTGTCAATCAAATAACATGCGATAAAATTATAATTTCAAAGAATTTAACCTTGAAGCACAATAAAGAAAGTTAAACATGCATTATACATGAGCTAAATCTGCCTATTGCATGTCTTTCTTTAGGCCTGAAATGTTATATAATTAAATGTTATATAATTCAGATGGCTCTGATATTTAGTAGATTTGAGTATGTTTTGTTGTTAATGAAATAACCGAAAAAAATGGATAATTGAGACTTTGTTTATTATTGTAACAGCAGTATTAATGACAATCGATGCTAGACTACCGGTATTTATTGTATTGCCAATAGCTTGGATCAGAGTGAAGTAATTTGACTGAACTTTTCAGCATATTCTCTTTTCATTATCTATTTTTTAACTATTATAGCGAGAACTATCAGCTCTTATCTTACCTAATGGTGCTTTAAGTTTATAGGTTGTTTTTGTGTATTTTATTATTAGGAAAAGATATCTTGCTAATCTGATCAAACAAAAATTGAACAACTGGCAAAATTATGAGGTGAAGGTCCTTCTTTTGACACCTTTGGGATGGACTTATCTATGCAAGACTTGTGTTAAACATTACACAACTTACAATAAAAGTTTAGCAATTTAAGTTATCTGAGTTAATTTGATTTAATCTGATTTCAGGCCTCACTTAGGAAATTGGCTCATCAAGCATTATCTATGATGCAAACTCGTAAATATATTGTTGATAGATCAAAAAAGGAAGAGGATATTTGTGCTATATGCCTGGACATTTTCTTCCAAAAACAGGTAGGTGAAATGAAACAGAGCTTATTGTCCTAGTATTCTGCACCAACCCAGCCAGTGAAGACAAGGATATAGCTGCATTGTGCTATGAGGGAAATTTGGACCCAACAGTGGCCAAGGGTTCTTTTGCTTGCACTCCAAGGTTCTTGGTTAGTGAGTCAACGCTTTATGTACTGAGCCACAATGGCCCCCAAAACAGAATAGTATAAGGGACTTTAAATTAAGTGCACATAAAAAACACATTAAAGTACAAACATCTGACCAAATCAGTTAAGTAAAAGAGATTATTATATATTTTTTGCAATGTATTTATTATATATTTATTGTAGGTAAAGTTGAGTGATTAATTCTTAATTAAAACTGCATCTAATCTATGAATATAGTTGATGGTATAACTTGAAATTTAATCTGTATCTCTCTTCCTTATCCAGAAATTACGAGTTCTTCCATGTCTTCATCAATTCCATACCAGATGTGTGGATCCCTGGTTAGTTCATAATAGAACTTGTCCCTTATGTAAGCTCAATATTATAGGTAAGTATACTCATTCTACTTTCATTTTAATATTTGTCTACTTGAATATGCAATGTCAAGAATATTGTTATGATTATGGAGTTGTATTATGATTGAATGAAATAGGTTTTAAGTCTTTCTTTTCTTCACCTACTGAGCTACTGAAGACGGCCAGATGATATACAGTATGCTATGACGGAAATGTTGCCCATGACATATATCTGAGCTATAGCCTAATCTTATTTGGATTTCAAACTGTCAGGGGATCTTTATCATACTGCCACTAAAATTGGACACCTTTCCTTTTTCTTCCTGCAACACTGACAAGGAGATACAATTTCATTACCCATTTATGTGACCCGCTGCATGTGGCATTACTTACAATACCCATTATGTTACTCCTGCTTCAGGTGGCATTATGTACTGTTAACTGTACCCATTTATGTTTCTCCCGCCTCATGTGGCATTACTTATGGTACCCATTTATGTTTACTCCCTTCAGGTAGCATTACCTCCAGTTCCAATTCATGTTACCCCCTTCACGTGGCATTACTTCCAGTACCCATTTATATTACTCCCTTAGGTGGCATTACAGACAGTGCCTATTTATATCACCCCTTTAGGGTGGCATTACTTACTGTCTCCATTTATGCTACTCCCTTCATGTGGTATTACTAACTGTAGCCTGCCTAGTTATGTTACCTCCCTCGGGTGCCATTATTTACTGTACTGATTTATGTCACCCCATTCATGTGGCATTACTTACTATACCCATTTATGCCAACCCCTTCAAATGGCATTACTTATAGTATCCACGCATGCTATGCCTTTTAGGTGACATTACTTACTGTACCCATATATGTTACTCCTTTCAGGTAGCATTAGGAGGTATTAATCTCAGCTAAATTAATAATCTTTATATTTTAAGGTTATAAATGAACTTTGTAATCTCTTTCTTTTTAGAAGTCTTTCAAAATGAATGTGATGATGAATAAAGTAAAGAAGTTGGTTTGATATTGTAGATTATTACACCCCCCCCCCCCTACAACAACATATCATAATAGAAATGTTTTTTTAAGACCAAACAACCCTCCTGGGGTCTCATAAATGGCAGCAGACAACCAACAACAAGAGTGATGTGTTACCTTTTTGACTAAGAAGTTTCATCAGAATTAAGCCGAACCTGTTTATAAAATTTTAGGGCAACATTCAGCAATAGTTGTTAAATTGACAGTTAACTTCAACGTCTGTAAATGCTGAACTGTGACCTATAAAAGGCTACATATCAATACAATCACAACATTCATACCTTCAGCCAATTATATAACTGTCAAAAATCATTTTCAAATTCGAATTCGTTCAATCAAGAACGCTCATTATTTTATATAACTGATGAAAAAAGTAACTTTCAAATTCAAATTCAATAAGATTTTGTGAGTCACATTCCCAGTTTCGTCCACACCAAATGTAGTCGTGAAGTGTTCAGGGACCTATTATTGACGGATTAGAATACATTTTAAAGAAAGTGTGACGGCAACATAAACGCCCCCATAAAACTCCATGTGGTATAAAAGCTCTCTGTTGCGAATGAAGAATAACTATGCCTTGATACGAAAGATTCATCTTTTCGGTGATGTTGCCAGTATAAATTGAAACTTAGTGAGATTATCACAAAACTAGAAATTCAAACAGCTTTTGAAACCTAATCCAGCAGCGGTTACTAAATGGTTGCTTTATGTATAAATCTATAAACATATTTGTGTAACGTTTATTAACGGAAATTATAACACCAAAGTTTCAACATGGCGGTCTGTGGGTGTAAAACGACAAAATGGCCACGTGGTTATCCTCGTTGATTTTCTTTGCTGCAGCTGTCGTTACTATTACCGTTTCTGATACGGGTAAATAAAATGAAATGAGACTTTTCTACACTAAACGGACTAATGACGATAAAGAGCAAATAAAGCAGCCCCGTGAGACGCTATGGGCTTATTTCAATTTCTAGCTGTTAAGGGATCTTTAAACTTTTGCCAATGGTATAAACTGAACTTTGGTCTTTCACCACGTCTGAATGACTAGACGTTTTTCTTAGTCAGACCTTCCGCCCTGCATCACTGACAAGCGGTAACCAGATCGAATCGGGACCTTTTTGCTATGCTCACAGTGACACCCCCCCCCCCCCGGCTACTATCTTTAAACTGACGACGACGGGTGACGACAACCGTTATAAATAGGTCTTTTACTGCCAATAAAATTGGATAAGCGTTGTCACAAAAAAGAAACTTTAACAAATCGTCTTCCTGTCTATTTGAATTTTATTATTCTTATAAAAATCAATAAACACAGTTGAATATAATCTAGTAACTGGAGCAAGTAATAAACTATAATACATGGACAACTGCTACAAATATATTTATTAAGCTTGATAAAATTGAGAGCATACTCTTGGGAACGTCGCCTAAATATATTAGTAATTGTTTTCCAATCAAACATTTTGATTATTTTATGGGCAACTTAGTGACCAGAGTATGTCTTATAAAATAATACAGTGGGGATGTCGATATGGACTGGATCCGTTTTTAAATTGATTTTGAAATAGTTGTCGCCTTCGTTTCTATTGTTTTTAAATCGTTATCTTTAATATGGACATATGCGCACAAGCACGATTTTAGATAGTTATAACAATGTTACCCCGGTAACATGCGGGTAAATAGTTTTAGCTGTTCAAAAAAGAAATACCAAAGTTTAGTCTTGTACAGGTTTCAACCACAATGTGTTCAACTATAAATGGATCTGAAACTATAAATAATAACAGATGTGTTTACAATAAATTCAGCATTTTTATAATGAATTAATCAAGGCCGGGTTTATCTACTATAGGGCCCTAGGTAAACCCGGACCTTTAATTAATTCATTAATTCTTGTATTATCCTATATAAGAACTTGAGTGTGTTTTAGGATTGTTTATTAATTATGCATCCCGTTTGCCAGTGGCGGATAAAGGTGGGGGAGGGGGCTAGGGCCCCCGAACACCCCTCCCCTTAAATGACAGTATAAACTATTCACTTATAAATCTGTTTCTATATGAAACGTGTAAATTCGAGATTGCCGATACCCCGATTTTGCTCGGAGGGAAGATCCCCTACCCCCCTAACAAACTAGCCTGCATCCGTCACTGCCGCTTGTAATTTATTTCTGATTCTAGAGAAATAATTACTGTGTTACCTAGTGATCATTTCAGCGACAGAAAGTAGATGATAAAACATCAGCTAAGATCACACCAAATTAAAATCTTGCTTCTTATTTTTTTGGTTATGAAGAATATTGTAAAACCAAAAATGATTGAGTTCTACTTATAAGCTCATACTTCAAAATTATTATGTTTTGACATTGGAAACTAGCATCGCTTACAAAACCGAATAGATGGTACGTTTTTACCGGAAGAAAAAAAAATGAATTGGTTTGAATAGCCTGATGATTAAAATTGTCGCCTGGAAATGGATTCTGATGTATGACATGTATTACTTGTAATTTTTGTTGATTTATAGCGATTATAGATTTATTATTGGATAGTTTAATCTGTGGATTGATTTGTAGAATATATTTTAAAAAATCGTGGAAGTGGGCCTATAATGAATGGCAACAATGAATGGCATATAAATCCCGACCGCGTGACTTACGGATACTATTTTCTTTCACACAGACTTCGTTGCACACACCGAACGTAAGACTTGCGCTCACATAAATCTAGCATAATTCTAGTCTGTCCGAAATACATGACTATTACAATTCCTGCTTAATGACTATTTTGATGGTTGACGACCAGAGAAAGAGTCAGTTATTTCAGACTATATGAAGTCTATGAACCTACGTGGATATTTCAGACTGCATGAAGTCTATGAACGTACGTTCAGGTAATTAAGCGTCCCAAACGTATCGGAAATTTCACTATACAGAGGTCTATATTGAAGTTGATTTGTGTATGTTTACTTACATATTGTATATTTTGTGCATTGAAGCCCGGGACAGTTATCGAGTTGATATTATTAATATAAATCTTCTAAAATATTAATTTATTTATTTTATTGTGTAGAAGCTTGTTAAATTTATGTAGTTTTATTTATGATATAAACAATTGTTTTGTGCAATAAATGTGTAACAAATATTAAAGATGTTCACTTATTGTCACTGAGATGCCTTGTCATGACAATGCAGTCCTAGCGTTATAAGGACTGACTTGGTGGGTTTGACCGCCAAGTTCCAATCGAAATGAAATGAAATGAAATGGGGTTTAACGTCCTACTGTTCTGCTCCTATACTGGGCTAATGAAGACGGGCATACGCCATACAGTGTGCTATAAGGGAAATTTTGCCCGGGCAGCGGCACAATCGCCTACTCTTATATCGAATTCCAACTGCCAGGGGGATCTTTTACGTGCATTCCAATATATACACGGGACCTCGGTTTTTCTTCTCATCCGAAGGACTAGACAGCTGTCCTTGTCAGGCCCTCCGTTCTGCACCACTGACAAAGGGGAAACCACGTCGGAAAATCTGGATGAACTTTCTCGGCCAATGCAGGGATCGAACACCCGACCTCCAGGCTAGCGAGCCAGCGAAGTTATTCCGTTGGTTGATTTTGTATTACTGGTAGAAGGATAACCACCTTACTATTGCACATCGTTGCTAGTCGGCAGGTCTCGTTGATAAGTCACTCGTTGCAGGGAAAATTCGCCGAAGATTTGATTTCTGCTCCCATCGGACTAATCTATAAAAAAGAGACCAGAGCCCGCGACAGCGACATCCGGGCCCTGGGAAAGCTACTCGGCGAGGGAGAGTTGGGGAAGGGGGGAGATTGTCTCTGTCTCTATCTCTCCCCCTGCGCTCGAAAAGTTTTGAAAGACATTTGGATTAATCTGGGGTAAGTGGAGGTCACTTTGCTCAAACACACTGGTCGGAAAAAGGTCCGCAATTGGCAATATATCGATAAACGTAGAGAGTTTTAGCGCCTAAAGAAACGAAGACGAAAGCAAAAGTCTCGCTTTCAGTTTCGTTTTTAATGATCGGATACCAGACAGCCTACCTAGAGCGATCACTGTAACGTTCTACAGGCCCGGGCTAGGCCAGGATACCCTGACGATGACGATAGCTTTAAACGGAACAAGGTGGGACTGGGCTCCACGGCGCTAAGGACCAGATAGGTGATTTATAGTTTACAATTTACCATTTTTTCCTCATTCAAAAAAGTCATCGTGTTTTTCTACTCTACGATCATGTAACAGTGTATTTTATTTTACTTTATACCAACAATTTTGTTTTAAGACATTGCTCGGCATGCGTTCGAGCCCCTGGACAGGTGTAACACTCCACGCCCACACCTCTTACGGGTCCTGAAAGAGACAAAAACATAATTATAAGCTTTCCGGAAATGTACTGTTTTTGCTTCGAGGACCTTGTAGCGGAATTGTGTTTCTAAGCAAGCTGGAAATTTTGGCTGTAGGACTAAAAGATATTTGGCTAGATAAACAGTGCAATTGACCCTATGTGGGTTTTCACGAGGCCATTTACGCGAAGCTATACTTTTGCGATTACTTCTGATTATGGATGGAACCGATATCAACATAAAGTTGGTTATTATGTAGTAATGAAGGAATGCAAAAAACGTCATAATGCAATGAACGTCACGATCCAAGCGATGACACAATTCACCTATTATCGTGGGTGCCGCATGTAGCTAATGGCGTTGTCGTGGGTCAGTGAAATTGCTAGCTGGATAAGGAACGGTAATTATTGGTCATCTATGGATTCAATAGCATGGAAAAATTTGCCTGATATAGCTTTAATAGAGGTCTATGGTTATCTGGGCGATGGCGATCGTGCCAATATGGCACTGACTTGCAAAAACTGGTGTCGTATTTTCGAAACCCCGCGATTATGGCGATCAAGATCTTTTGAGATAGGCGGATACAAGGCGTCACAAATTGGACAGATTGCCGTTAAATTTTCAGAAAAATACGGATCATTTATTAGATATCTAACATTATCATGCAGTCATCCATCTTCGCATACCTGTAAAATTATTCAAAAAACTATGGAGGATTTTTTTCAGAACATAGAATCGGCTCGAATATATGATTTTGAGCTGGAACGCTTGGAGCTAGAAAGATTTTGGAAGTATGACAATGTCCGAGAGAAATTAGTTGACAGTTTTGTAAAGTTTTTTAGAAATCAAAGTCATCTTCGGACCTTTGATATGAGTTCAGCTCAATGCCCTCTAACCATGGGTTGTAAGATTCTTGAAGCTGTTCGTGAAGCATCTGGTGAAAGCGTTGATGACCTATGCCTTGAAGATTTTTTCCACTCAAGGTTAGTTTAGATTGCTTCATTGGTATTTAGTAATCGAAAAAGAAATACACAGGAACACAATAGTTTCTATTTATTACCGATATACGTTTGAAATAACAGTGAAGCCTAGCCGTAACGTTCAGAATTATAATTTACCTGATAATATCATCACGATTCGCGCTACGATTGAAATCGTGGTTTTAATCGTGGAGTAATCGTGATGATCCTATTAGGTCTTATCATACATTGAGGTCAGTCGTAGCAATTGTGTTGATAGTATCGAAACGTACCCGAACGTATCTGCACGTACCAGATCGTGGACTCAACATAAAGGGACAATCTTATCATAGCGCATCGCACGACATTGGGAACCTAGCATTAAATTTAGTCTTATTTATTCGTTTCGCTCTGTTTTGGGGGTCTATCGTAAGCTAGAATAGGGCAAGCATAAAGGGGCTCTGCAATAAATAAAAAAAACAAAAACAAATAAATACACACATATTATTCTGTGGTATATTGTGAAGTTTTAATTAATTCGAATCATTTGGGAGCGGTGGATCATATTCAGTACTTAGAAACCTCTACAGCTTTTAATCCGGTCATGTTTCTTAGATTAATTTCGTTGACGCGAACCACTTGTTTAGTCCATTCTACGGGTTTTGTTTTTAAATCATTTTGTCTGATATAATCTTTGAATGGCATTTAGCGATTGAACATACTATGACACAACACCATGGATATAATATAGTGATTGTTATCCATAGAACTGTGTTGTGTTAAATTTTTTTGTCGTTTGTGAATCAGCTGTTATTAATTACTTCCGCATTGTCTTGTAGGATATAGTTTTCTTTGTTCATCATAAATGACGCCCGAAACCATAGAGTACACGACTCGTGTACCGATTTTAAAATGTTCATTGTGTCTTGAATAGTGAATATTAGGATCACATTAATTACGGCAAGGTAATAACGAATAAGACTATTTCCTATCTGACTTTCAGACTTGCTGTTTTTCAAGTGAAGCGATTTCGAGGTATCATTGCGGGGTTCACTAATTTGAGATTTTTGTCTATAAATTACAATTGTATCTCAGAAGCCATCATTGAAATCCTTACGACCAGTGCCAGTGGTAAACTAAGAAATTTCAGTATCAAGGTATAAAATTAAAATGTTGTTTAATTATATTGTAAATGGGCCGATATGTTTTTTCTCTCAATTGGGTTGTTTGAGCCTAACTTATATTTTATTCGAACAAATACGGTTTATCATTTATTTTAGTAATTCACTTCTTTATGCAGTAGCGTAGCGAAGGGGTGCACGGCGACAGCCCCTCCCCCTCCACAGGCCTTGTCCCAAAAAATTTAAATCTCGGTGTATATTATGCGTCGCTATCTGAATCCTTTTTCGTGTCGTAAGCACTCGATTCCATTATGTCACCATTTTCCCACTCCTCTGTGGTCTTATACCAGCTCATCCCTATCATATTCACGGTTATAGTGAACCGTCCAGTTAGTAGTATCGCTAATCCTCTCGTTCACAAGAATTTGCTCCGACAATGATCTCAAATGTCAGGACATTGACTCGGCATCCGAGCCCCGTCACAATAATCCTAGCTACGTCACTGTCTTCATTTGTCATATAATTTAATTTGTATGTTGTTGGTTCCTCAGAACTTGAAGTGCCTATGTCTCTCCAAGGTCTAAATCTAGCTCAGGGGGCTGAAAAACAGTACGCTTGGCTTCAATGTTTATTTCCTCGTATAACCCCGTTTTGTTTGTTCAGCTTTGCTATCAATTTCTTTTAAATAAACAGACAAGGCGTCATATATTTATAGAGAAATAATTAACATTTTCATTACAATAGGTTTACAGAAGTGATCCACATTTCCATCGTATACCAACATCTGTTTGGAGAAGATTGAAACAAAGTTGTCCTTGTTTAGAAGTTGATATTTGGTTCGAAAGTATTGGTAACTCCACGGAAATATTACCTATACTCGTGCCAGATATACCTTTAAGAGATATTCACCTGTGGACCGGATATGACGATGATGCCGAGTGGAATCTGCATGCTACTTTAATGCACATAGGAAATAATTTTAAGCACTGCCTTGGTAATTTTGCTTAACATATTTGAAAGTTTTATTATGAGTCTATTTGCGTGACATATAATATATGTGAAGGAATCAGAATTCGTTCATGAAAATTGTAATTTGGAACCTAACACTTACGTTTTGTAGCTACAATTTTGAGAACTGTCCTGAATCTAAATTAAGTCACAGTTGGGTTGTCTGGCAACCCGTTTTGCGAAATCGCTTTTTTGTGGAAGCTGACGTCAAATAACGTTTTTTCACACAAACACAACCATGCAGGATAACTATTTTCTTTCTTCTTTTTTTTTTTCAGCCAATGTTTCGATGGAGCTAGATAATAATCATGAGATTATTGATGAGGCCATCTTGAATTTGATAAATAAATGCAAGAAACTAAAAGATCTAACAATCAATGCTTTTGTGTCTGTTGATGCTATAAAACAAATCTGTGAATTACAAGAAGAAAACAAAATCAGTAAGTATAGCAGAGCGCACCGAGGCTAAAAATCTCCAGCGGGTTTATAACAATGAGCGCTCAAAAGAATGGGAGAGAAAGAAAGAGAAATGGGTTTAACACAAACTAGGTCATTTCGGGACTAACATATGGTTTAATTTTATTTCAATAATTCGCTTGCGCGTAGGGGTCTTTAGCAGTGGGAGGAAACCGGATGACCTGGAGAAAACCCACGAGGTTGGACAGGCAACCCTACTCCTTGTCAGGTACAACCAGGGGCCTGTTTCACGAAATTTTAACTAAGATAAAATCCAAATCGAAATCACGCCAGTTGACTCAATGACAGGTCTTTAGTAACTTTAGTAACGAAGTCTTAGAGCCCTGCTCTCTAAAACTGTGTTACTAAGGTAACTAACAGGCCTTATGATACAGCGCGCACGTGCTAACCATTCGACCAGCCAACACCCCCTCAAAAGAATGACAAAACCATTTGAACACGAATGTCCCCAAATTCCTATAGGCATTTATTTGTTGTCAGAATACTGACTGAGGTGTAATAAAAATCCAACTTGAAACTGTTATAACACTTGAATCAATAATATGACATTTGTTAACAAAATAAAATACACTGTATAAACGAGTCACTATATTTTATAGATTTTATTCACCATCTGTCGCCAAACTACATCCTTCAATAAGTTTAACAGTTTTTAAAACACTTCCACGGGTCAATCGGGACGAAATTTATATTAAAGATACATTATGGGAGATAAGATAAAGAGATGGCAGTTCTCGCTATAATAGTTAAATACTAGATAGTGTAAAAGTAATTTGCTGAAAATTTCAGTCAAATTGATCCACTATGAGCCGAGAAAGAAGCGGGTGAAATGTTTGCATAATCTCGGTCAGCATTACTAAAATCATAAATATAAACAGCATAGTCTCGATTATCCACTTGTTTGGATTAAATTATCAATGGCCGTTAGCGGCATATAGGAATCTAATCCAGCCAACATCGAAGGCTAGCCTTGACATCGAGAGTTTATTATGGTCTGGATAAGTTAATTAATATCTAATTGATAATTTAGATAACATTTCAGGTCTAAAGAAAGACTTGTAATAAGCAGATTTTGCTCTTGCATAATGCATGTTTAATTGGGGTTGTCCCTGTGAAAAATATTAATCTCAGGAACACATATTTGTTGAAGCCCCCATAGATAAAATAATTTGATACTGAAATATTTGTGATATAGGCAAAGTTATAATGATTTTCGGCCAACAGTGGCGTAGATCATGCAATCATGAGATTAAGTTCTTCCATACGTGTGTATTTATCTGTACAGACTGTAGAATTTTATTGTTACATACCGAAGGTCGATCGTAGCCATGTTTGAAAATTGGGTTTTCAAAAATACGTACGCTATTTTTCCAGCGTGCAAAATGACCGATGGGTCAGATCTAGTTTCAGTCATTTTCTGTAGTCCCCTGTCTTGATCGGCATATACGACCGATATGGAACCCACCCTGCAGCCTTTTTGTATGCAGTAGACCAAACGTGGCCCCGCTCACCCCGCTAGTGCTAGTGGGTGTATCTGCATTAAATTTGCCGGTTATGATCTTTAGATATTTTTCTTTCAGAGCTGCGTCACTTTAATATGACTGCATGCGGTCTATCTGAAGTGGAATGGACAGATTTGTGTGAGATTAGAGACAGATATGAACCAATGTTTAAAGCGAGGGATCTGAAATTTTTTATTAAAAGTGATCTTCTAATAGATGCACAATGACTAGAAAATATGAATATCCCACTAATCTGAATCCTTTGTTAGATTGTTTTAATAATTTATTTAACAGCCCACAATATTCTCTGAATTATTGTCCATTTAAACAATCTGGCAAATTATTGCACCATTATGAAATAACAATTCTGAAACTCAATGTATAACCCTCCTTTGGACTCTCTTGTGAAAAATGGCCATTGGAAATAAATTAGATCAAATTTTAAAAAGATGGTGTAGTAAAGCATGCAGTTTTGTAGTCTATGTTTTATGAAAAATAATATATTTAAGAATAATATTTTTTGATTATTTTATTCTTGTAGTCTACTGCATCTAATATTCAAAAGATAAAAATATTAATTCATCAACTGTTTGCATCTTCTACGAAATTGTAACCCATTGTCCATCCAAATATGCAAATTAAATTAAAGAAAGTAAAAACACATCACCTATTTTAAACTTTTATTCATATTTAAGAAGAACATTTATTTTAATATAATGAATTTGCAACAAAAAGCTAATATAGCCTTCATGTACATATTTATTCAAGTAAATTTTAAGATTGTTTACCATTAATTAAATGTAATAATTATATAAAATCAAATATTTTTATACTAGAATAAAATATATATATATAAGTTTATTATTTCACCTTGTATTCATCTACATCTGTAGTGCCATTTTCCTCTAATTTTAAAAGAATAAGAAGTGTCATCCATGAAAACTTCCCAACCAAATTGATATGTGGATTCTGGTGTCCAGCTCAAGTAAATGTAACCTGCCTAAATACATGGGTTTGATTCTCTTTTTTTCACCCCCAACCCCCCAAAACAGCAACCCGCAGCAGATTATTACATTGATAATTTCTTGGAACAGAAGAATCTAGGGGAGAAACACAATCCATAAAATGATTAGATAATGGAAAAAATACTGAAGTATATATCCCAATAATGTAAATTATATTGGAAATTCATTGAGTATAAAGCAGCTGACAAAAATTTGTATAGATGTTCCATGCCGATAGATACCAGACAAACCAGTACCTGAAAGGTCATCAAGATCAAACCAAACAGCCACTGGAGTCAAGTGAAGGGAGTTTTTGAAAACCAGTTATTTCATGTTTTTAAGAACTTCTTTTCTCCCTAAGAAATAGGAAGCAAAACTTTTAAGAGGTGTTCCAAAAGAAAAAAAATGAAATTTTTGTAGCCATTGTTCTCCCCAACACCTTGCACTGCCATACAGTAGAAAGTAATGAAATGGAAGCATTGGTAACGAAGCTCAATCAGTAAGGAAAGAGTATTCTAATTCTGATCACACCCAAGACGTTTATTTATCTAGTTTTACAGTTATTACAATGCATCTTCAGTAACATGAAATTACCGTACACGAATTAAATATGAAAAATAACCAGGTGCACCTATTTTTTATTACGTATGAATTTGAATATTTTGTTGAAACATGATTTTTAATTGTGGTCTGAAAACGTCTGCTTAAATAACGATAAGAGTTATGCCCCTTTATTTTCGGGAAAAAATGTCCAACAAGAAAAATTTTCAAATCTAATCACTGTTACAGTCACATTTTTTTGCTGAGCGGCCAAGCAACTACAATATTTCATGTTCAAATCCTGGAGGGTGATGAGATGAACCTTCAAGATTTTTTTACACTGCCCGGTTTTCATTTCTCTGGAGTGGCACCTGGCGGTTGATGAGGAAAGTGTGCCTAGTCTTTTGGACAGGATGAAAACCAAAGTCCATCTGTGTACACATAGTGTAAAAGAATCCTTGTCAGTTAGAATTTTCTTACAGTGAATTTCATCTGCCCATCTCTTGTCCCACCAAAACATATTCATTATCCTGATTATTGCTCACGTATTAAATCTGAATGAATGATTCTTTCAAGAATGAAACTAGTATATATATATATATATATATATATACAAATTACAACATACCTACAACATTGTAGTACAATTATATACAAATTAGTATCCTGAGCCATTAAAACACGAAAAGATAGTAGATAGCTACCAGTACATGCACAACAGATGATTCTTATGTTAAAGAAGAAAACCAAATCAGCCCACAATCATGTATGTTATGGCATTCTGTATGGCTCACAATGATAAACATTAGTTTATATTTCTCATCTGTTGAACACAGTTAATGTTTGTAGATCATGAAATATAACTGATGATCGATATTCAAACTTTGTAAAATGATGTGAAATTTATCATGTTAAAGTTACTTCTCCTTTACTTGACATTTGTAGAACTTTCAACGCTCTTAATACCTGAAACAATATTAATACATTTTGTAAATGCAAGAACTATGAAATTCAAACTCAGCTCTGTTTTCAGATAATTATGGACTGAACTAAGTATCTGCTGAATGTGAATTAATACTTAGCTCCACCTCAAGATATTTATGGACAGGACTGACTACTGTGAATGTAATTGTAAATTCATTTTCCGCAAATTCTTTTGATATATGGACTGGACTGACTATTGTGAATATAAATACATATATAAATACTTAGCACAATCTTAGGATATTTAAAGAGGGTTTGGAAAGTCTTAAGATGTCTGTGGGGGAGGGGGAGGTGTACGTTACACAAAGATGACCAAATAAAACTCAGTATGAAATTGTTGGTATTTAGATAATGAATTTTAGATTAGGTGCATTAGGGCTATCAAAGATTTGTGTGAAAAGCTGTGGCACATGCCCTAGTCTTATGGCCCCAACTATGGAAGAACATCACAAATGCAGATGTGGGATTGATAGGATATTTGTAAAATGTCCTGAGGGAATCGCGAGAAGAAAAGGCTGACAACCGCTGGTTTCGATCAGTGAGTAGGACATTGGCTCGCTAACCTGGAAGTCCCCTGTTTGATCCCTACAGTGGTCGAGAAAGTTCATCAGATCAGGATTTTCCAGCGTGCTTCCCCCTTGTCAGTGGTGTAGGACACAGGGCCTGGCAAATGCGATGTATAGTCGTTCAGATGGGATGAAAAACCGAGGTCCAGTGTATACATTGGCGTGCACGTAAAAGAACCCTTGTCAGTGGTGCAGGACAGGGGGCCTGGCAAGGGACAACATATAGTTGTTCAGATCGGATGTAAAATCGAGGCCCCATCTACACATTGACATGCACTAAAAGAACCATTGACAGTTGGAATTCGAAATAAAGAGAAGGCTATAGTGCCGCTGTCTGGGCAAAATCTCCCTCATAGCTGGCTGCATGGTGTGTGTCTGTCTTAATTAGCCCAGTCTGTGCACAAAAACAGTACACTCCATTTCATTTCATTACATTTCATTTTACTTCACCTAGAGCTCATGTGAATGATTACCTTTAATTTAGCTTCACCTGTAGCACCGCTAACTTTTAATCCCATTTTATGCATGTCTGCTGTTTTTAATGGTTTTCTGAATTGATAAGACAAAACATTATTATATCATATAAACCCAATCTAGATATTGAAACATAATTCATTAACAAACCAAGGGATCAATATGACAAAACACATATAGTATTTAAACTTACTTATTTTTCTCTTCCTTAAAATGTCGCCATAAAACTTGGTATGTCTGCAATGTAAACAAATTTAAAATTAAAAAAAATGTACAAAGATTTTAATTAATTGATGAATACATCATTAACAGATTGCCTACACAACCAATAACCATCTGAAGACTGTTGATATGGTGTGCTTAGTATCAAACACAACCAGTGTGCTAAGAGGGAAATTTTGCCCACAGCTACAGCTCACTTTTACTCTATTTCCAAATGTCAGGGAGAGAGAGAGAAATAGGATTTAATGTTCACTTGACACAAACTAGGTCTTTTTGGGACTAACACATGGTTCAATTTTATTTCAACAATTTGCTTGCACGTAAGGGTATTTAGCAGTGGGAGGAAACCGGAGGATCTGGAGAAAACCCACGAGGTTGGACAGATGACCATACTCCTTGTCACATACAACCGGGGAATCGAAACCACGCCAGTTGACTCAATGACAGACCTTATGATACAGCACGCACGTGCTAACCATTCGGCCATCAAATGTCAGGGGATCATTAAGTTGCTGCCAATGGTTTACACAGGACATGTGAATTTGTCCCAACTAGACATTTTTCCTTGTAAGGTCCTATTTCCTGGTTAAAGAGCCAGCAATATACTCACAGGAAATACAATCACACTGCAGCTTTGTCTCAACAACAGTTTATCCGAAAGGGAAACTTGGATGTTGAGCAAATTTGATAAGGATCTAGGATCATTGAAGAAATCTACATGTAATATCTAGGATTCATCCTCTAATAAGATCATTGATTTCAATTTGAAAACAAATAAGTTAAAATATATATACCCTATATTGTCTTCACAAGGTTTACAGCAAAGGGGGGGGGGGGTGTAACTCTGAATCGGAAGGCTGCAGATTGCTTAATATCAATATGGATCAATGAATAAAAATAGAATAGTACCATATTGACGTCTGCTAATTTAACCCTGCCTCGTATTAAATCTGACACTGAATTGAACTCTTCTTCAGATATATCCATATATTCTTTAGATTGGGATCTTAGATCTGCTGCTGACAGTGGTGCTGAACTTGCTTTTAAAAATGTTAAAAATGGCTTTAGTATAACAGATCTTCTATACAGATATTTTCATTTAGATGTCAATGATATACAAGTTTGTATCGATTTGATTAAAATACAGATCTATATTGCGTTTCGTTTTTTTATACTTTCGATGGCCTACACTACATGAAGGTCTGACAAGTTGTACTTGAGGGTTGTGTTAGGGGTCGTACGAGCGGCTTTTGACCCTATGATGTAAAACATTGATTAATCAATCAGCGTTGATGTTTCTAGTGGTTTACCCACAGTTCCGTGCATGGCACGCCAAGAAGTCGCCGTAACAGACCGTTTCATTGGCTTATCCCTCACTTCAACCAAAATGCTGGTAATATAACAACTCTTCCAGATCCTAGTGTAGTAAAGACAAGTAAAACAAAATTTTGAACTATAAAAAAAACAAAACGAAACAAGATCTGTGTTTTAATCCGATTGAGTTTGTATACTAGTAGATTGTATCTTCATTTTGTTCTTTTCTTCATCCAATACCTATTGTAATTATAATTAGCAAACAAATATCCTGGCAAAAATCAAGCACCATACTAACTGAGCCATTGTGGGTTCGTCGCAATTATAATTATATATGATAATTATATAAAGCAATATTGACTATTAAATTCAGACATTGTTAAGAAAAAAGAACATTGTCATGATTAGGGCATCAAAAAAAAAGTCAACCAAATATTTTTTTTTTTTATAAATAATACTTTTGCTCAGGATATCTGAATGTTATAGGGAACAGGTTCAGACCATGTAAAACCTCTCCACCTAACAAGAACTTTGATATAAACTACTAATCATATATAATACCTGTTTGATCTGATTGACTAGTGGGCTGTATATTATTATTAGTAGATTGAGATGTTTGACTGTTTGATGCCTGATTACCATCTTCTGTTGATGGGGGCATCATTTTATTCAAACTATCAGGATCAAAATTTAAAAGACTTGCTAGTTCTTGTAAATCTGGTGGATTTGTGTTCTAAATAAAAAGAAGTTTTAAAATAATATACAATAAAATATTTTAGTAGCATCAAATGTTTTTAGAAAAAATATGCATAAGCTTAGTCTATCGCTACCTGTAATTTAAAAGACTTGCTAGTTCTTGTAAATCAGGTGGATTTGTGTTCTAAATAATAAGAAGTTTTAAAATAATATACAATAAAATATTTTAGTAGCATCAAATATTTTTAGAAAAAATATGCATACCGGTAAGCTTAGTCTATCTCTACCTGTAATTTTTCTTATGCACACAATCTGTCAAAACTACATGTAGAAATATGTTACTTCCACTTTCTTTTTTTAAAGCACAAGAATGAAGGTAAATGTACACCAAACTATACTCTTGGACTAACTTAATTATCAGGACTGCAGTTCTGAGTTGGTTAGCCAATATAGTCTGAGCTATTGCCAGTGTCTCTACTCTATTTTGGACAGACTTTATCCGACTGTAGTTCTGAGCTTGTTGGCCAACATAATCTGAGCTATTGCCAGTGCGTGTAATTTGTTTGATGACCTACACTTTAGCATGAACTCTATAATATTAACAAAACATTAACAGAACACAGTTTTTATGGGATACAATCACTAGTTTTATTCTAAAAGAACGACGTTTCGACAAGTCATTGTGCATGATAACAATAATATAAGAGGATACTTGTCGAAACGTCGTGCTTTTAGAACAAGCCAACAGTGAGGCTGATGTCCCCCGCCGAAATTGCAAAATAAATAGATGACACATATTAATTAATCGCACATTTATTTTTTTCACTAAGTTTCATCACTTTCTATCAGATAGAATCAAGATTATCTTGTCCCAAACCATCGACAAATGAAATCGATTAGCTCTGCTTAGCTTCAGCTCGAAATGTTAATTATTGAACTCAGTCAAGACATTCACCTAATGAACATCTACATATACATCAAGTTTAAACATTCACCTAATAGACACCTATGCCAAGTTTGAACATTCTACCTCAATTAGAAGGAGAGTTATTGTGTTCCAAAGTTTCTACCAATCAAATTGCTTATCACTCTGCTTACCCTCAGCAAAAAATGTTCATTATCGAACTTAGTTAAGGTATTCATATAATAAATCTATACACCAAGTTTCATCAATCTCACTTAATTAGAACTAAAGTTATCGTGTCCCAAAGCATCAACCAATCAAATTGCTTATCTCTGCTTACCCTAAGCGGAAAATGCTCATCTTCGAACTCCATCAAGGCATTGACCTAATCAACACATACACCAAGTTTGAACATTCTAGCTCAATTAGGAAGAGAGTTATCGTGCCCCAAAGTATCAACCAATCAAATTGCTTATCTCTGCTTACCCTAAGCGGAAAATGCTCATCTTCGAACTCCATCAAGGCATTGACCTAATAAACACATACACCAAGTTTGAACATTCTAGCTCAATTAAAAGTTATCGTGTCCCAAAGCATCAACCAATCAAATTGCTTATCTCTGCTTACCCTAAGCGGAAAATGCTCATCTTCGAACTCCATCAAGGCATTGACCTAATCAACACATACACCAAGTTTGAACATTCTAGCCCAATTAGGAAGAGAGTTATCATGTCCCAAAGCATCAACCAATCAAATTGCTTATCTCTGCTTACCCGAAGCGGAAAATGCTCATCTTCGAACTCCATCAAGGCATTGACCTAATAAACACATACACCAAGTTTGAACATTCTAGCTCAATTAGGAAGAGAGTTATTGTGTCCCAAAAAGTGTGACGGACAGACAGACGGACAGACAGACGGACGGACAGACGGACGGACAGACGGACACACAGACGGACAGACAGACAGACGGACGAACCCATTTTAATAGTCCCCTGCTTTCTTCGAAAGGCCGGGGACAATAAAACTAGTGATTGTATCCCATAAAAACTGTGTTCTGTTAATGTGTTTCCGATCGCTAAATGCCACTTAAAGATTAACTCTATAATACTTTAAGTCACTTTGAAACTTAGAAAAACAATTCAAGAACTACATAAATTTTAAAATTTCTGTTTTACTTTCATCATTATTTATAAAAATTAGTAAGTCAAATAGTACTATTTTTACAGTTCTTATTCAGTCCATATATCTCAAATTAATTTCTCTAAATTGGATATATATCAAGTCAATCAAAAGCAATGACAGTAAACGGGTACAATAAAACTAAACTTACATCTGCTCCTGTTTGTTGGTCTAATTTTTGTACCATTTGACATGCTGTTAATAACTGTGTTCGGAAAAAGTCCATGGCCTCCTGTTGAATAAAAAATAAAAAAAAAATAATATGTCAACATCGCAATAGAACAAAATTCACTGTAAGTACCTATGGTTCCTTTCTACACCAACCACAAAATCTTAGAGGCATATATAAGCAGGATGATTTACCTAATACTACCCCAATACTATGGAATACAAACAGAGTATTGTGGAAAAATGACAGAATAACATACTTCAATTATACATAAAAAATAAAATGAGTTAATATACCCAGAAAACTTGCAAAAATATACAGTAAATGTGATGGTCAATGTCTCACCATTCCAGTTATCTCCCTTGATCAATCACTACTAACAAAAATCAATCTATTTAAGTAAAATACCACAAATTAAATGAAGAATTATGTCAGTTTTTCACATAAAAAGGCAGAGTGTGGTGGTACATGTATTTGCTTGGGTAAATCGTCCTGCCAGGTATATCTCCTAGTTGACTGTGTTTGTGTTTATGACATATACAATCTGCATGACTGATACATTCTTGTGATTCATACCAAAGCAATTACTTACCTTCTGTGTCTTTTGGATGTCAAGAGCATCTTGGGCAATTGCTGTATATTCTTTCTTAATTTCATTAATTTTCTCTATCATCTTGGCTGGATTGGAAGACTAGAAAATCAAAATAGAAGTGAAATTAGTTGAATAAAGTTAAAGATGACTTGGGATATGACCTAGTAATTCTTTTCTGCTTTGACACTCATCTTACCACGCATACTAACATTCACCAGCAGTTTTGTTATCTGCACCGATGAAAGCTTTTTTACCTCAAATTTTTGAACAATAAGTTAGGGACTGATCTTTAAAAATGATAGACTACTTCAGCAATCACAGCAAATTTAAAATAAGTTTTGAATTGAAAACTCTGGTCTGTACTACCCGTAGATCATGCTCAAAGTTTTCAGTAGAATAATAGAATATATGATTACTTAACAGTAGACATACTGTAACTCATAATGGCCAGGATGAAGAGGACTTAACTGATGGCTAATTTATATTTTGAAGATTAATTTTTCAGAATCTTTTTTTGATCTATTACATCAATAACGTCCACTTCTTTATCTAAGTCTTACATAATGCATCTTTAAGAGCATAACTGACCAAAACACAGGACCTAATTGTTCTGTCTCTATCTATCATTCTCTAATCCTAATTACAGCCATCAAAAGGGCTAGGGAAAGAGTATCAGACACTACATGTAGATTGCCCATGTACTATGTAATGTACATATGTATACCTTCTCATCAGGTCTATAAACTTACCTCACCATTTTCATTTGAATTTTCAAGCTCGAATTCTACCTTTCTTGCAAGATAATTGAGGTCTGAATCAGCCTTTTGAAACTGAAAAAGGTAATTTTTGGTCCTTTATTTTGGATATGGTAAAATTATAGGTTTCTCGATTGTACCGTTGGAATGCTGCGAATTGACAGCATTGCAATCGAGTGACATGCAGAGATATGGGTTTTGTAATTCCTCTTAACTACAAGTAATCATGAGGCAAAGTAATATCTTGTCACACAGGGAACTTGTTTCTGTAGTTATTAGTGGCAATATAACTTTACTAAATACATTGCATTGGCTTTTGTCTTTGTTGGACTTAAGTCTGCTAGTTACTTTATAGTAACAGTGTCTGATAGCCTCTCAATGTTACTGTCTGTCCTTATACACATGCAATATGAAAATAACGCTTTACACCACGGTCAGGAATCCAAAATTTAAAACAGAGGTGGTGTGTAAAGCGTTATTTTCATATTACATGTGTATAAGGACAGACAGTAACGTAGGCGGAAGTACCACGTTCGTCAGCACTGCAAAACCATGTCATTTGTCCAATTAGATAACCTGCAATCGAGTATCCCTGTTTTTGCGGAGAAATACATACAACTCACCATAGGCCTAATATATTCAATGATTGTGGGTCTGTCTAAATAACTGTCTAGATAATGAGAATATAATGGCCATTTTTTAATTATTGACATGATCACGAATAATGATGGCTATATAAGCTAAATGTAGTTCAGCGCTGAACGTTGGTCTCATTACACTCGCCCTGTACGAGTGTAATGAGACCTACGTTCAGAGCTGTAGAAGCTAAATAAATACCGCCTATTAATATTAATAATAATAGAAAATAGGCTTATTCATAAAGCATTGGACAATTGGGCGACTCTAAAGACTGTTATATATAAATCAATTGCGCTGAAAGCGTGTGTGGTCAAAAACAACAAGAAATTCTTTCTCATATTTAAGAGAAATTACAGATTATAGTACCATAGCTTCGAGAGTTTCCACAGACTTCTCCATTTTGTAAATATTGTAAACACTACAATTTCCGTTACAGATGTTAAGGGCTCCGATTGGGTAGAAGTTAGAAGGTTTAATTGCTAATGAGTAAACTGTTTTTTCATTGGCTAATATTTTAGTAGGTCGATTTCTTCAATGAAGCGCCATCTTCAAATAACAAGTTTGTTGACATAATTTGAATATTAAAAATCTAGGCTAAAGTTAACAGTTCTTGTAAAAGTTCAATAGGCCTATTGGTAAGTTGAGTGGAATGGTTGTGACTTTTGAGTAACATCATGCCTGTTTTGTTTTTGCTCGATGTTTTGTATGAACTCTTATTTGTAGATATTTGATTGAGTTTGAGGAGTGAGATTGTGAATAATGTGAATGATTCAACACTCAGGTTTAACTCCTTTTGATTGTTTGATGATAATTGATTAGCCCAGTCACTGTCAGTGAGAGGTGCTGAAAGGAGCGAAATCGCTGACATTTGGGGCCTAGAAATTGACACAAATGGGTCACAACATATGTAATAATATGATTAATGAATGTAAACTGATTTACATTCAATTGTTTCCGTTTTACTTAGTAAATTTCAAATCAGTTATTCCAATATAGGCCATACACTGGTTGTATTATTGCACATGCTCTTCAGATAAAAATATGGCGTCAGCGTTTGACATGACTTGTGGAATATGTCTAGCCTTGTTCATCGAATCCCGTCCCTTGTTACAAATGGTGCTGAAATGCGTTCTGGTACATGATTCGTGTACAGTAATGGTTAAATGTTTATTTTATCTTAGATATTGGATATCAGAAGCCAATCTTTTCTTGGTAAGATCACAACATCAGTGTTGATTTAAATTGACAAATAATTTGTGTTTTCAATGTCGAAGACTGTGCCTGTGGATGCTATTGAATTTTAAGACTTAGCTACTTTAATAATTGACATATGTATTGTTATTAATCTTCTGCATTGGCCGAGAAAGTTCATCCAGATTTTCCGGCGTGGTTTCCCCTTGCCAGTGATGCAGGACAGAGGGCCTGACTAGGACAGCTGTCTAGTCTTTCAGATGGGACGAAAAAACAAGGTCCAGTGTTCACGTAAAACCTTTGACAGTTGGAATTTGATATAAGAGTAGGCCTTAGTGCCGCTGTCCGGGCAAAGTTTTCCCCATAGCACACTGTATGGCGTGTCTTCATTAGCCCAGTTCGGAGCAGAACAGTAGGACATTAAACCCAATTTTATTTCATTTATTAATCTTCTGGCAGCTTTTTGGTCTCCAATTTAGAGATGTCAACCAATTAAATACAGCCAGCTCACAAAACTAAACTGGCTTTATTTTGGGGAATTTTGCAATTGACTTTGTTGGTCCATTTGGGTTATTTTGAGTCTCTACCACAAACATATATGTAGCCTACTTTGCATGTACATACTTTATAATGTTTAGTTATATTATTTCCCAATTTACAACAGAACAAGAGTTTAGACCATCAATAGCCTGTTATTTTAGAATTAGTGACAAACTGATTAAATAATATTAATATTATTAATAGTGATTTTAATTTTCTTCACCAAGATTCATGTAAGGAGGTCTAACTGAAAGAATGGAACCAAATGTTGAAAGTGCTATGAAAAGTGATGGGATGTATTCACCAAGGTAAGTCCAGGAGGCCTAATATAATAAATTATTAATATTTAAGGCCTCTCAGACTATCTATAATTTAAACACTTTGTCTTAATTATTTTTATATGCCCACATTTCAGTGTGGGAATTCTGTTTATTCTTAAATTTTGTACAAATGAACGATTGTAATATTCTTCAATTTAAAAATGTCTTTACAGTGTTTCACGAGTGTGCAATTGTTACATTCAAAACATTAGAATAAAAAAGAAAGCTAGACGAAGATTGAAAAGAAAAACGTTATTGTAAGATGAATGTGTCAATTATATTCAGAGATACTATACTACATGTGTTTTGTTTTACATAATTTTAACCTATTTGTAATAATTTTGATTCATTCTATTGCAGTTATTAAATTATATTTATAGCACACTTTTATTATTTAACAACATTAATTTACACAGATTGAATAACCTTTTAGTACAGTAGTGAAGATCACATAATCTTTTAATTTTAATCCATCTTTTTCAATAAATTTTGAATTTACACCAGTTAGTTTACTAATATTCGGTGATCATCTAAACTCACATGTCATGACTGCCAACTGATCAAAAATTTGAATTTTTCTTGGATATGCCTATATTTTCATTATTTGTTTACCATGGTTTCTCTATTATACTTTTGTATACAAAATAAACTAGTTCATTTTTAAACTTGCATACAATTGTTTTAATCTACGATCATAAGTGAAATGAGCGAGAATTCTGTGCGAATAGCAGCATTTCTGTCTACTCTTAATTAAATTTAACTATCAAGGGTCCTTTGAGATGCTCTATAGTGTGTGTACATTGTAGTACCCTAGATTTTTGTTACATTCAGAGGACTAGCCAACATTTTCCTTGTCAAGCTATTATAAGATATATTTAATTGTATAAATATTATTAATCATATATTTTATCTGAAACTTGGAGCTATGGTGGCTAAGTGAGTAAGATGCTGGCTCGCTAGCCTGGAGGTTTGCGGGTTCGCTCCCTGTGTTGGCCAATAAGGTTTATCAGGATTTTCCAGTGTGGTTTCCCCTTGTCAGTGGTGCAGGACAGAGGGCCTGTCAAGGACAGCTGTCTAGTTATTTGGATGGGACAACAAACCATGTAGACATTGGCAGTTGGAATTCGATATAAGAGTACGGTAGGCCATAGTGCAGCTGTCTGGACAAAATTTCCCTCAAAGCACACTGTATGGCGTATGCCCGTCTTCATTAGCTCAGTCGGAGCAGAACAGTAGTAAATGGTAAACCCTATTTCATTTCATTTATCTGAAATTTTACCTTGTAAGCTATAACTATTTGTGTATTTTATTTGTATTTACAGTGATAGTCCAACACAAGATATGAGAGGAGAGGGATATGCTCCAGTATTTGATCATCTAATAACTTATGGTCAACGAACATTGCGATCAACTGATGTAGAAGATTGGTTATACTGGTGTAAAACAAAAGTTGATCATGTATGACAGTAAATTTCTCTGGATTTAACAATGAACTATCTCTACATTATCTCTGAACTGATCTTGCAGTCTTTTGATGTTTTAACTTGTAACTTTGTGAAGATAGTTTAAACTGGGGTTATAATTTCCAGGTTCTTGTACTCTTTGCAATAGTTCTCAAGTATCTTATGATTATTTAGGACATCTTCAGATTTATTGCCCTGCACCTTTTCTATTCTTTCTTTTTTGCATTTTTGTTATTGTGCATGATTTGCATTTTGTTGGAAAATATCAGATTTGTCAAGGCTTAATCCATGCACGCAGATTGATTATTTAAGTTAAGATGGCGGCGGACATGTTATAATATCATGACCTCATACAGCAAGTGTGTTGAAGACATGTTGACATAATAAGAGGTAGCATAGATCAATGGAATTTTACTTCATCATTTCTTTGTAAATACTGAATAGAGTTAATCTATGTTTCGACTGATATTCCTATTAGAAATTTAACTTTTACAATGTTGTAGTTTGCAAGGGCCGGGCTTCCTATATTGTCCAAATCACAATTAGGGACTTTAAGGAATAATGATTTTAAATTTTGTCCAATCCTTTTACTTTATCATAATAAAATATGTTTTAAAAGCAGTCTGTTGAACTTGACAAAATGACCTGTGAAAAACTGGACAGTCGAACAATAAAAATTTTGTTTCTCTGTTGTTTCAGTGCTTCTGTAAGGTGAAAGAGTACATAAGTGTGTTAGATTATAGAAAACAATTAGAAGATAGTAGGAGACAAATTGTGGAATTAGAACTAAAATTGCAAGAAGCAGAAAAGGTATTGTGAGATAAGATACAATAATTAGTGAATGTTTATTAAAGTCGCAGACCCGATTCTGTAAATTATCTAATTTTGCACGGTTTAATCCTCATTAGAATTTTCTGAAATTGATTATTTCACATTTAATTAAACAGGCATTATGCAAGAGCTAAGTCTGCCTTTTGCAGGTCTTTCTTTAGGCCTGAAATGTTATAAAAATTATTAACTAGACATTAATTAACTTACTGTTAATGACTGTCTGCGCTATAAGTAGCTTTAAATACATTTTGTGGTTGATGTGGCTACCGTAAAATGGATAATCAAGAATTTGGTTATTATCTTAACAACGGTAGTAATGACAATCGAGGCTACACTATTATTTTATCACCGATCTCTAGGGACAGAGTGAAGTAATATGACTGAAATTTTCAGCATATTCTCTTTTCATTATCATTTTTTTAACTATTAAACTCTCAGCTCTTTATCTGTACCTAAGAAAACAAAAGCACATATTAACAATAGATAATCTTGCGGCTTGGATTATGTTTGATTAAAAAAAGGTTCTTGAAAAGATGTTATCCAATATTCATAAGATGAGCTGTCTTTTATATCATGGTGAATATGATATAGAATGGTGAATATTGACAAATTTTTAATTCATCATGTCAATATAAACACTGAATAGAAATGAAACATTTTTTGACTGATATTTCAAATTTCACAATATGGTAGGTGACAAGGGTTTCAGAATCCTTCAAATGTCGATCAGCATGTATGTAAATCTTGAATAATCTTTTTTCCAGAGAGCAGCTGTGTTACAGTCCAATACAACAGTTTCATCTTTACCTCCTCCCCCACCTCCAATGCCATGTGCTATACCACCACCACCACCACCACCGTTACCTGTAGTGAAGGCACCACCTTCTCAAAAACTCATCATAAATAGGAAAAACAGTGATAGATTAAAGGTAAGACTAGGTATACAAGGTCTAGTAGAGAGTAGAGTTATCTTTTCTTGTGTAATGGAGCTGTGTTCTGAAGATAGCACAGTGTACACCTTCAACCAACCTTTAGATCCACCTGATTTGATAATACTTTATTGTTTGTTACTTGCAATATCCGTGCGTGATGTGTCTGGTGTAAGGATATGTTTTCTGGGTTTCTGTTTGTTTATTTATGGTGCAAATCTCCAGCGCTTCCTATATTACAAGTAATAATACGAAATAATGTATTGTAAGATGGGGTTTGATAGTCTGATTTTAGTCTTTTGCAATTATATACACTGAGAGGATGAATTGGTTTTAGATTTTAAAGATATATTGAGTGGTATATTTAGTTATGACAAAACATATATTTCAATAAAAAATGTTTAAAAAAGTATGAATATATATTTTTTTATTTCAGCCTCAACAATCTCTTTCTCAGCTGGTTGTAACACCAGAGGCCATTCAAAATATCAAACTGAGAAAAGCTGATGATAGAATCACAGCATTTAAAGACCCTGTAAGTATCCTTGTTCAATTTCATTCAGTCCTTGTTCAATTCCATTCAATATTTATAAAAATATAATAAATTAAAAATTTTGTAACATTCTGCAGACAATTTACACAAGCTAGTTTCATTGTGGGATAAAATCATTTAATTTTCCTACTTTTAATTCAATTGAATCCAAGCAAGGAGATTATCTACTGTTGATATTGTAGTTTTGTTTTCTTGATTAAATTTTAAATAATCAATATATGGGTACATTTTCGGGTCGATTAACCCGTTAAGTGCGTAGGTCATTATATAACGTCCTGGACAACTGCCACTCACTGTGTGTAGGGCGTAATATAACGCCTTGGAGGTATTTTCCCCAACCTATTCTTAGAACATAGTTCGTCACTTGGGGGAATCCCTTGGGAATTCCCCCACGATCGCAGCATGTGTATATAACGTCCTGGACAACTGCCACTCACTGTGTGTAGGGCGTAATATAACGCCTTGGAGGTATTTTCCCCAACCTATTCTTAGAACATAGTTCGTCACTTGGGGGAATCCCTTGGGAATTCCCCACGATCGCAGCATGTGTAGGGCGTTATATTACGTCCTGGAAACTGCCACTCACTGTGTGTAGGGCGTAATATAACGCCTTGGAGGTATTTTCCCCAACCTATTCTTAGTACATAGTTCTTCGTCACTTCGTCAAATTAATTACACAATAGGGGGTAGTTAATGTTTTAAAGACGTCACGCTTTATGGATTGCCTGTAAAAGGTGAGATTGGGATTGGCAGCTTTAAAATAATGTATAAAGCTAAGACTAAAAGATCTTAAAATACACTTTATTTGTAGAATACTCCTGGACTTGTGACTCTTGAAGCACTGAAAAGTGTCAGTTTACGAAGAACTCAGTCAGCAACATCTATTAATGAAGTTGGCAAAGAGAATATTCATCAATTGTAAGTTTCACCTTGATTCATTTATTTCAGTTTTTATATAATGGTTAGATTGAAATGTAGTTGTATATTTTCACCAACCCTGACTGTTTGTCCATCTATCTGTTAGTTATACAACAGTGTTTATGTTCATGAAACAAAGAATCCTATTGATTTTTAAATTTTAAAGACTTCTGAAAGTTATGGCCCTTGATCACTTTGAAGACAAAGTTATTACACTTGATCATTTTGAGGACAAAGTTATGGCGCTAGATCTCTTGTTCATGATCAGTTTTTAGTGTATTACAACTTCCTCTTACCTATAAAGGAATAAAAATATAACAGCCTTTATTGCCTGTTGTGAGCGTATGTTCTGTTGCCTGGCAGCACTCTTTATTTATAGAATTTAGACAATAGTTAAGTATTTTTGTATTTATATATTTTTCAGGTTGGCCCATGAAGTATTACACAGAAGAACTCTGAGAAAGACAACTATGAGGAGGTATATTGTTTATAAGGCATTTAGTGATAGGACTAACATTGAAAAAACACAACACAACTTTATGGATAACAATCACTAGCAACTTTAATAGTGCAACGTTTCAACAAGTGTCCTCTTGTCGTTATCAAGCACAGGGTAAAAACGATAATATGATACAAAAACCTGGGAGTAAGCATTTAAGTATAAAAATTTAGAAGAAGCCACAAAGACAAGAAATACTATTCTGTTTAAATATAAAAAAATCAAAGACAAATTGGAGTTATGATTACAATACTTAATACTTAGATAATTAGGAAGCCATTACACAAACTAATTGGTTAAGATCTAGATGGTTAAAGAAAACATATTTAGTATAAGCTAGAAAAACATAAGGCTTCATTTTAACACATGGCTAATGGCTATGAGGAGGTATAATTATCACATATTTATTTTATTTGTGAATCCAGTCATCCATTAATCTGCTAATCCTTACATTTGCATGCAGTTTACAGTGGTCCGCAAGACAACCTTCTAAAGTTCTTATTTTCTTCACAAAAGAACTGAATAAGATTGTGAATAGGAGGGTCTTGGGTCGATTTTCAGGAGGATCTGGCAAGGATAAGTGCATAATCATTTGGATGGTACAAACAAACACAGTCCTGTGTATACCATTAGCAACAATTTAAGGATCCCCTGACAGATCGAAATAAGAGTAAGGTGTCGATGTATATCCGTCTCAATTATCATGGTTGGAGCAGAAAAGTAAAATGTTAAACCACATTTGATTTTATTTACAGGAGTCCTGGTGGTACACCTTTAAGTGATAAGAAAAGAAGACGAGATAGTGGGCAAGGTTTGACACCTGTCATGTCTAGGGCATTAAAAAGGAAATTTCGAGTAAGATATTTGATTTTTAAAGGTTTCTATCATTGTTTAAAGGAGATACCTGTTATTTAAATGATCACACATCATATTTTGATAATGTCTGGAAGATTGAGGGTTCAAATAGTGACCTAAAAAAAATCATTTATGTTTATTAAGTCATGGTACTCATGTATCAAATTTTAGATCCTCAGAAATCATTTGATTTTTAAAGGTTTCTATGTTAGTTTAAAGAAGATACTTGTTATTTAACTCAAACTGATCACACAACATATTTTGATAAAGTCTTGAAGATTTGGGATTCAAATAGTGACTTAAATCATTTATCTTTATTAGGTTATGGTATTTTTGTATGATATTTCAGATCCTCAGAAATCATTTGAAATCAAATTAAAATGTTTATGAAAATTGTGCAATAGAAATCATAAAATTTTGTCCAGCAGGATAGTTATGGTCCATATCCATGTTGTACAAATCACACTTATTAAATTGTTTGAATGAAATTTCAACATGTCGACTGTATATCCTGGTCATGACCGAGGGCTATGGAAAATGACTGAAACTTGATCTGACCCATTGCTCATTTTGCATGCCGCAAAAAAAGTGTATTTTTGAAAATCCAGGTTTGAAACATGGCTACGATCAACCCTCCACTGCTGTTTTGATAATTAATGATGAATGTCTAGTAGTAGAACAATAAAAGTTAATTGTTATGTGGGAATCTTATCAATGACATGAAGTTCTCCATTGTTAGTCATGCTCTATTTAAGCACCCAGAGATGGAGTAGGTCTTTCAATCCAACCAGCTGTCGTATTAAATGAAAACAGCATAGAAATTGCTTACCAAAAATTAAGTATTCCAATGTATAGAATTTGCACCTTAAGCAGCCTTCGAGGATGGAGCTGAATGAATAGAATACTATTATTATTATTATCAGAAATGTATAATAATTCATGGTTTTATTAATGTTTTAGCTGGCAAAATGTGAAAGTCTATCATCTGATGAATCATCTGGCGCTCTGTCTACCAACTCTAGTCCTGATGTATCACTGACCAATCCTACAGACATTACATCATCACTGACCAATCTGACTGCACCTAATACATCATCATATTGTTCCCCACTATCATCACAGATCATGAGATCTAGTCCATTGGCAGAAATATCAACAAATATTATATCAGATAATATAGCTTTAAGTGCTTCCTCACCTAATCTAGTCTTTTGATTGTTGTCTGTTTATTCTGCAATATCATCTTTTGATCATTTTTAAAAATTGAGTCTGCAATATCCTCCTCTGAACAACAATATTTATTTTTAGTATGAAATAATTGCAATTGGGTAGGTATTAATTAGGGTTGATAACTTAACTGCTTCATAAATCTTGTCTATTATTAACACCAATCGAGATTAGTAATAGTTGTACACCAAGTGCAGTAAATATTATTCGAAATTTGAATAATTCACCATATTATGATGTCCGATTGGGCATATTCGTGGTTAGACTTTTGCCAACTCGATTGGGACATGTCCGACAAATAATGGCGAAACAGCATCCATTGTATTAAATGTCCTCATTCAGTTCCACTTGATAAGACCCTTTTTTATACAGCCTTCATAGTGCACAAATATTGGTTTAATAGGTTTAATATTTAGCATAATGTTGAATGCCATATTATGAGATCAGTTTTAGGCCTATATTCTGTTGCATGGACCCTCAGTATGAAAACAATCATCCAGCTGTTAGTAACATTATATCAAGATACACACAGTTAAACTATGGAACAATCAATGTGATAATGGGATTTTAATTGTTCCTAAATATTTCAAGTATTTTACGTTACAATAACTTTTTTTTGGCCATGTCTGACTTCACCAGGGTTGATGCAGACTAAAATTGGAAGATATGTGGCATGTAATCCATTACTTTTTAGCACCAATAAAATATATTTTCCCATAATACATAACCTTTTTCATAACTTTTTTTCAAAAATATATATCTGATAATCGCCCTATCAACAATAATGTGATGTATATATATTCTTATAATGCTTTCACCCTTCATATAAGGATTTTCCTTATTAATATAAGCATTTTTTCCATGTTTTTTTCACAAAATATTTGTATTCAGGATATCTGAATGGGATTGGGGAACAGACTTAGCTTATATAAAACCTCTCTCCCTGATATCTTATATCAAATGATCATCCTAGCAACCTTGATATACTTCACTATGTATATAATTTGTAATATTTCTAGTCTTATAATCCTTTCAGCTTTCATATTATCTCATTTCTTATGCTTTGTTAGGACGTATAATGTTCTCATTAACTTATTTAGATCCATATGTATTTTTCAAATGTTTAAATGGATGATCATGTTTATTGCTCTCCCATTTTCATGGAGGACATTTAATTATGAGCTGGGTATTTGAAAGTGATTAGGTTTCGTATCATTAAACATATTTCATAAGATTTCATTTGACAAGTAAAGTTTGATATTCATCCTTATTTTTGGAGGCATAGATATTAGTTTTTTTTAGAATGCTCAGTATTGTTACGTTTTTTTTCTTTTTTAAATTATCAATCAGTTGAAGATAAAATAATATATTCTCAAAAGTCATAATTCCCACCCCGCACCAATATATATGGGTGGTTGGGTTTGTTAATATGATCTTGTCAATCTTAAACCTCATCAGTTTATTATAATTTATAAAAATAAATTTAATATTAAAGATGCTGATCATCATTTGCATTTTTCAGACATGATGAAATTTCTCACCACGTATTAAATAATTAATCCATTTAGAAAACAAAACAAGGTTATCAATAGGTTTTCCGGATCACTTATAGGTCCCCGATGTTGATGCTGTTGAACCTCAAGCCTGGAAATAAGGTACCGGTCACAGACAAAGTCAGGCACAGATGCAAGCTCTGTTAGGCACAAAACCTCTGGTGCCTGTCATTTTGTCCAGCACTTATCTGTCATTTTTATACGTCCACATTCATAATGTGAACGTATTATGCCGTCGCCCCTGTCTGTGTGTGTGTGTGTGTGTATGTATGTATGTGTGTGTGTGTGTGTGTGTGTGTGTGTGTGTCTGTGGTTCGCCTACAGGGCGCAATTCTTCATGGATTTTCTTCAAACTTGGTATACTTATTCCTTATACCCCAAGGAAGATCCCTATTGTTTTTGGTGCATGCCCGACCCCCCGGGGCAGAGCCACGCCCATTTCTAGTATTTGTTTGTTTGTCGTCTACAGGCCACATTTCTTAACTAATAATCTTGAAACTTTGCATACACATTCTTTGTACCCTAAGGAACATCCCTATCGTTTGGGGTGCATGCCCAACCCCCAGGGGCAGAGCCACGCCCATTTTCTTTTCGTGTGTCTTTGTGTCGCCTACAGGGCGCAATTCTTACTGGATTTTCTTCAAACTTGGTATACTTATTCCTTATACCCCAAGGAAGATCCCTATTGTTTTTGGTGCATGCCCGACCCCCAGGGGCAGAGCCACGCCCATTTCTAGTTATTCTTTAAGTGGCATTTAGCGATCAGGGAACAAATTAACAGAACACAGTTTTTATGGGATACAATCACTAGTTTATTCTAAAAGCACGACGTTTCCACAAGTATTCTCTTATCGTTATCAATCAAGCAAAAAAAAACAAAAAAAAAACGTCATGCTTTTAGAATAAAGACATCGATTGTTTTAAAATAAAAATTGTGTTCTGTTAATGTGAACGAAATGTTATACTGATAGCAGTCCTACAACCCAGTTTTATTTCACAGACCCTCAATGCAAACTGGACCATATCAAACAAAACAGGAATGTGGACGTATATTGCTGCGTTAGCGATGCTCTTGTTTATTCATATTATTAATACATATCCGGCACTAAGTTGAAAATGTCAGGTACTATTTCATTAATGCCGGACATTTTGTCAGGTACATCTAAAATCGTTATTTCCAGGTCTGCTGTTGATATATTGTTAATTTATCATATCATTTTAAACACGGAACCATTTTTGGACTGATATTTCCGAAACATTCACAATATTCTAGTTTGCAAGGAATTAACAAAGCCGAGATCGGTGGCTTTTAAACATAACATGAAGCTATCTTTTAACAATCCCTAATATGGGGATCAGTTGCTTTAAACATAATATGAAACGGTCTTTTAACAACCCCTAATATGGATGAAACGGTCTTTTAGCAATCCCTAATATGGGGATCAGTGAATTTAAACATAATATGAAACGGTCTTTTAACCATCCTTAATAAGTATGGAACGGTCTTTTAACAATCCCTAATATGGGGATCAGTGGATTTAAACATAATATGAAACGGTCTTTTAAAAATCTCTAATGTGGAGATCAGCGGATTTGAACATAATATAAATCAGTCTTTTAATAATCCCTAATCTGAGGATCAGTGGCTTTAAACATAATATGAAACGGTCTTTCAGTGTGCTAATTATGTAGATATAAATATTTGATACAACGGTGCTTTAATTTATAAATCTAGTTAATTCTTATGGAATATATTTAATTGTATATTTAGTTATTTTTCTATATATTTTAATGTATTTTCTTCCTATAGCATAGAATATCGTTTTAGCTTTTATGTTTATATTCTGTTAGTTTTTAAATAGTAAATCTTTTATTATGTTACGAATCTTTACTTTCATTTTCATTTGTAATCAAGAACCAGATCCCGAGACCATGAAGCCGACTGCTCGACAATTGTTTAACATATACATGTCCAATAAACCGCCGTTTCCCCAGTGCTGGGGTGTTGGCGGGGAGGGTCTATTATACAATCACATTGTCGTCACCCGGTTCCTCAATTTCTTTTGAAAACCTTTTGGATAAAAGTTGCCATGTATTTGTCTCAAATTGACAAGGAGTTTGCATATCTTTATGTTAGGAAGAATGCCGTTGAACCAGTTACACGACGGTGTTTTCGATATAAAGTATTAAACATTGGACAGATTGTTGTCATTAAATGGTACCACTACTGAGTAAGAAAGAGAACACTACATTGCTTGCAAATTTTGTCACCACTGGACGTCTTCAGCTAGACCGTGGTCTACAGTTTTGTATTGGCACACTGGAGGCTGAGATACCAACCACTAACTTGAAATATGTAGGCGGTGTTCACGTTCATTAAAGCCTATCGATATCAATTGGCAAAATTTATCACCCTACTGACTTGGAAATACATGCAGTGTCAATGTCCATGAGAGAAAGAAGCATATTTTATTTTCAACGATTCCCGCTGATTACATAAAAGTACTTCTTGGACACACCCTAAAGGCTTGATGTCTTCTCTGAGCGGCATTTAGCAATTGACACTCGTAATAAACACGAACACGTGTTAGCGTGTGCGCGCTGTAGTTCTATCATAAAGTCCGTCATTGAGTCAACTTGCGTGGATTCGATTCCCGGTTGTACATGACAAGACGCTAGGTCGCCTGTACAACCTCATGGATTTTCTCCGGGTCCTCTGGTTTCCTTCCACTGCTAAAGACCCCTACGCGCAAGCGATTTATTGAAATAAAATTGAAACATAATATGTTAGTCCCGAAATGACCTAGTTTGTGTCGAGTGGACGATAAACTCCAGTTCTCTCTCTCCCTTTCATCCAATAATGATTATTAACCAGAGCCCCAGACCAACTGATTATGGACATCTGTATCCCGACTGATGTTCAATGTCAAGGTTTTATGTTTTTATCTCACATGAATCAATTTTTAGAAAATATCAATGGACCGTATCAGTATCACTATCATTGTGAAACCTATAAAATGTATGGGGGTTTACCTAGAAACAAGTGTAACGTCATATAGGGACTGACGTCATTCACGGTAATGCACAAGAATGTCATGAGGAAGAAATGGCGTCGATTCCAAGTGAGGAGGAAGACAGCGATTGGGGATTACCTGGCAAAACTACGGATACCGATGACAGCGAAGAAAACAATATCTCGGGGTCTTCTAGTCAATCTGCTGGCAAAAGCGCGGGATCTACGGGGTCTGGTTCTCGCAAATCTTTGCAGTCGGGAACGAACGTGAGTGGAAATAAATCTTTGAGTTTTAACCTCAACCTCTCTTCAAAAGAGTCTTTACATAGACCCAAATCTAAATCCAAGGAACGCGTAGACTGGAATAAATTACCATATGGAATTATCTTGGAAATATATTCATACCTAGATGAAAAGGACAGAACTAAGATGGCGAGGACGTGTAAAACGTTCAATGCGGCATTTCATTCACCTATTCTCTGGAGAAAAAAGTATGTTTTATTTGCCGGTATACGTTCCCTTGAGACAGCTTCAAAATCACGCGTGTTCCTTAGTAAGTTTGGAACACATATCAGACATTTAGAAGTGGAATGTGGTCACCCGACACTACACAGTGCTCGGCCAATGGCCCAAGCCGTGGAAATGTTCCTAACACATTTGTCAAAGGTTCGAGGAACCAAGATTTTGTCTTTAAAAATAGATTACATGGATTTCTACCATGGATGGAGATTCTTTGAAATGTCGAGAGCAAGACTGGTTGGTGCCCTGTGTAAGTTTATTAGAAAACAACGACATCTTCAATTCATTGATATATCTGGGGCACAGATAGATTTTAGAGACGGTGGTCGAGTTTTGAAAGCATTAGCTGCGTGCCATGCCAAAAACACACTTCAGACACTACAAATGAAAGATTTTTTTGAGTTACGTTACATGGCACCACATAATGATAGTTTTCTGGCGGCTCTTAGAAAGTTTACCACTCTGAAACATTTGTATCTGAACTTTATTTATTTGAACCAAACTGTCTTGGATATTCTGGGTAAGAAATTAGGAACTACTTTGGAGAGCTTGCGGCTAGTTATTGATTCATCTGAACCGCAGGGTCGTGTTCTTTCACATTATGATTGGACGAACTTTAGAGAGCGTTCACCGAATTGTAAAGTCATTTTTCATTTTTTGGGAATGATGTCACAGATTGAATACACGAGCGCCTTATGTCGCGGTGCACAAGTTGTGGAAGTAGACATACTAAGCTGGGAAGGATACCCGAATGACCTAGAACCCGATACAGAAAGGATGTCAGAAGTTGTGATGCACATTGCTAATAATTTTTACAAAGATCTTGGTAAGTAAATATAGTCAATGGGTTTCTGTCGTGTTCTGACAAGCAGGGGTCATTGGACAGGGTGATAATTTGAAAGTTGAGTTTCAGAAGGGTCTCTAGTGCTGTCAACAGAACCATATTGTTATCGACGCACCATGCCACTGCTAGTCATTATAAAGCACACCAATAGTAGTTACAAACGCCTCTTTCTTTTTACCGTTACACAATAGTCACAAAAAATGCTATTATAGAGCCAATAAACGGTCCGCCGATTTTGCCGAAAAGCAAACTTGTATTGTTCAACTTCTTTAATGTTTAATATGTTTTTTTTTGTATTGTTCAACTTCTTTAATTTTAATATGTTTTTTTTTGTTTAGTTAGATTTCGGATATCGATAGACCACACCTCCGAGGATCCTCTTGATAATTCTCTCATCTACCTTCTACAGAAATGTACTAAACTGAGAGAATTTACCATAAATGCTGCCATGACCTTAGCCACAGTTGATACCATTTGTAAATTAGCAGCACAGAGAATGCCTAAAAGTAAGTTATTTAACATTTTTCGTATACTATCTGTATACTATTCCAGAAGTACCATAAACCATAGTCGGCTTAACCGTTTGAAGGGGGGGAGGGTGAGGGTGAGGGTGGGGGGTAACAAAAAACCATAGGGTCCTGTGCGGTGCAAAGACCCCCACCCCGCCCCCACCCCAATAACAGATTGGGTAGGCCTACTACTATATCCAGCGATACTTTATGTAAGATTTCTTCCAAGATGACTGACTATTCGACGTGTTATTATATCAAGTATGTAAGCTAAGATTGTAGAATGCAAACTAGGTCATATCGGGGCGAACATACTTATCATTTCAATAAATGGTTTGAACTCAATGTGTGAAACCACAGAGAAAACACCTCCGACGTTAGGCACGTATATATTCGATCTCATGTCCACCCACGACCCAACGCGTCATTTTATAAATAAATAAATAAATAAATAAATAAAATTTGTAGCGTTTATTTCTATCTTTCAGTTTTAGATCATCTAGAATTACGGGTCCGAGGATTGTCACCAGAAAATACATCACAACTGGCACTTATCACGCAGGCGTACATGAACCAGATAAACACACGGCAGCTGGAACTTCGTTCAGATTAAAATTGATAAGATGATTCGAAACGCAGGGTTCTCAAATATGCATGGATTCTTGATATTGCCCCAATGTTAGAAACTTACCGCGCAATGAAAATAGCAAATGTATGTTAATAGTGTAAACAGAGTTCCTGACAATATGCAAACTTCATCATGTCTAAAAATGTAAATAAGGAAATATTAATTTAACTTTTAAAAGAAACTTTAAAATAAATCCAACATAAGAAAACTGAATGCCTTTATAAGATCTCCACATGGGTTGAATTCAATCGGAATTCCTCGATAAATTGCAGAAATTCCCAACGAATTTGTAGCTATCATGCTTCACTGAATATGGTATTGTACAATAGGATTGTGTTATTATCTGGAAGACTGTTGTGTCACCGGAAGACTATTGTGTCACTGAAACATTATTGTGTCGCTGCAACTCTCTTAGCAGACCCAGTCCTTAGTATTTTTTTTTATCATTCTGCAATTTCCAGTTTATTGCAGAAATATCGAATATTTACACGGTCTTAAGGAATACCATTCACCATCACAAATTTCCGCCCAATAGAATATTGAACAGTGCGCAGACGATATCATTTCCCGCCACATCATTAAATTCTATTCCTTATCTACCGACCTTCGTTTGATCCATGTGATTAAAGACATCGATAGAGTATAGACACTAAACATATGTTTATTGATAGCAGTTAATCCTTATTTCGTTGACAATCTTTGTTTTTCAATTCTATTAGCGATTTTTCCAGCCCCAATAATCCTCAATGACGACACAAGCATATACACTGTAGCTTTACTGTTAAGACGCTTCCATTTGGCTAAGCTTCTGAGAGCTACGTCCATTGTGCTGAGATCTCGTTTTTGTCCAGCAATGTCAAATGCTAGAAATATACAAAAAATGTAAATATTGAATTAATGCACACACAATTCCGATAATAACCAAATAATTCTTACAGCAATTGTGTGAGTTTCGATTGAAAACGACCGTCACTATTACCGGAAAAATCCCGATGATCTTTCTCGGCCAACACCGGGATCGAACCCACGACCCCTAGACTAGCTAGTCAGCGTCTTATTCACTTAGTCACAGGCTGAGACAGTTCCTGGGAGTTTTCCAGCCTTGTCAAATTTGCAAGACGACGTACGAAACTATCGCTCGAAAACCAAATGATCGCTATAGCTGTACTGTCTCCGGGTCTCTTAGTTCAGAATGGTAAGACTCACGGTAACAACAAAAGCGGACCTTAAATTTTCGGTTATACATAAGGCTACGCGATAAATTTAATAGAATCCCTTTTTTGTTACTGAAAATATAGAGTGGTCGCTTTTTATCATTCAAATTGTGAACAGCAAGGGAAGGCAACTTTGCTTGGGAGCATAATAGATCGCATGGTAAATCAAATTGGTTTGCGTGAATTATGGGTTAAGGTTACCTTCTATGTCTTGATTCCTGATATTAGAATCTCTAGCTGGTTGAAATGGTAATTCAAGGTACAGTAACGGCCATTTATATCCAATGTGTGCAGCAGCTATCTTACATGCATCACCAAAACCATCTGAAATATTCAAGCAGCTTGACTAATAAATCAAATTAGGCTATATTGTATACCAGAGTTCCATTTAATAGCGTATTGTCGGGCATATAAAAAATTTCCATCAGGGAACCAAAGTAGCATTCTTTCGCTGGACTTAAGACGCAGATTGAACAAGCACAAATTCTGAAAACTGTACCCGTTTGTAATTCAAATTACCTCTGTTTCTCGGGAGGTTCTGCCAACTCAAAGAATTAATTTTTAGTTCCAAAATTCAATACATTACAAACAGGCCCCTTAGAAATTGGGTAGGGACTGTATTTTGCTCATTGTATTTGTTAACTTCAACTCACCTGTTATTTCAAATTTCTTGCCCGGAGAATAACTTTCAGCAAATATCTTCTTCAGGGTATCGGGATGTAATTTTATAGAACGAATCTTTTTCAAGCACTCGATTTTCTTCCTCAGCTCTCTGTTTTCGTGATGATTTGATTTAAGCTTTTCTTCTTTGACTATTACTTCTTTAGAAATGTATTTCTCAGATTTGATGCTGTTGTCGCACAACTTCTGTAACCTATGGACATCTTTTTCGATGGTTTTTCTCTCAATTTTTGTATTTTTTAAGTTCTTTTTGGTGTTTTCTAAGGTTTTCTGTAATTTAATAATTTCATCTTGAACTATAGATATTTTAAAAAGTATGTTGTTCGAAGCCGATGGCGAGTCTGCTTGTTCAAAATAATGTTCCTCGTACAACGTTTCCATTTCTTTCTGTTTCTTTGCAACGGTCAGTTCCAGTTTTTGCTGCTTCTCCGAAAGAGACACTTCTTTTTTTCTGAAATATCTCTTATTTTCAATAGTCTGGTTAAGTCTTTTGGTTATTTTCGTTGTGCTATAATCTGTGTGCTTCAATTGATGTTGAACATGTCCTGCTCTAAGTTGCTGTTCCCGCACTTCTTTTATTTTGTTCAGTTTTTCAACCATTAACGCGTTCGCTTGATCATGGAGTTTTCTTGGATAAGCTTCATCAGCGGTAATCCAGTTCTTTAAAGCGTTAGCAATTCTGGGAAACATTTTCAAAGCACTTCGCATGCAGTGTAATATATTATCATACTGTCTTTTAAAGTTCTCGAAGCTGTCACCACAATAGATAGCATACTCCCGAAGAATGTCTTCCAACTCGGCCAAAGTATCTTTAGCGATTCGACGCCACTCTACAATATTGTTTTCGTATTCGTGAACACATTTAATCTCACGATTTTGAGCTTCAGAAGCAAAACTTAAGCAATATTTATCAACGTAATCATTTAAAGCCTCTTCTAGTTTTTCCTTCGATTTTTGAACTAATACGTCAAAGGTAGAAGTTCTTTTAAGGATGACATCCATTTTCTCTAGTTCGTCTTTCTGAACAAGTGAAGCCGTGGTTCGACAGCGACTTAAAAACTGATCGAATTCCTTATAATCCTTAGCTCGCGCTTGCTTGCCCGTTTTTTCGTGAACATATCTGATCAAATCATCTGTTTCAATTCCGAACGTATTTCTAGCATTCCTGAAATGTTTTTCTTTAAAACATTGTACATCTTTCTCAGTCGAATGAATAAGAATCATCGCCCTTCTCCGGGCATTTTCTAATGATGTAGGTATAAGGACGTTTTTGGGTCGAAGAATATCAGGGGTCGGTGGCCTTTTTGGTAGAGTATGAATTTCTGGTAATCCAGTCCATCCCGTGCTATGTCTATATTTCACGTGCAGAGGCATCCTCAAGGTTCTTAATTAAACACAGAACACATTTTCACCAGTAACTAGGCAAGAAATACAATTAATATTTCTCGATAACTTTGCACTACTATAATAACAATAAACTGTCTAAAATTAAACGCGTTTCAATAGGGTATTGCCCATGTTATTCAATCCAATACTATTACTAACCATGACAAAGGTAGTTAAGACATATACTATAGTATGCGACCAACGCGTTCTACTAATATACAATTGTATTCAATTTTGTTATTTGATGAAAACAATTGTACAAAGTTGTTTCAAGCGAGGCTTTTTTTTAATAAGGTGTGGACACCCACAAAGACATTTTTTATGTCATTCACGAAAATACACAAAGCACATTATACAAATATGCGTTTTGTATTTAAAGAGTCGTGTATTCGTATCGAAGAATTCGATCAAAGATTATAATCAATGACAATATTATAAGGATTTAAAAAATACTTATATATAGCGAGCTTGCCGTATACGAATCTAGTTAGAATGTCTCAGTTTAAAAGTTGCGGTACTTCTCTATACTGTAATCCATTCTTACCTACTTCTAACCTTGGTCCTCACATTAGAAAAAGGTATGACTGTAGTGTAATGGCGTATCCGACCATTTAATTTAAAGCTGATTGATCAAACTCGACAACACATTTTGTAGTTCCTTAACACAACACATTTTGTAATCCCTATGACACTGAAAGAGGCTTCGTCAAATATTTACGTTCAAACTGAGAAACAGGTTAGTTTGACGATAATTTAAGCGATCATATTTCCAACGCATAAAGCTTTGCCTAGTCTTTCGGTTGCGAAGAAAGAGACACTGAGGTCCACTAATGTACACGTTGACCCCATGACATTAAGACTTCCATAAAGTTCGGCGGCGACGCCAATGCCCGGACAAAATTCGACTCTCAGGCACTGTACACGTGACTACAGAAAAAAGAACCCTATGTTAGTCCCAAACTGACCAAAGCGTTGTGTTGACGAGACTTTAAACTCCATTACAGTGTATGATTTGTCTTGAAGTAAATGAAATCTACAGGACAAACATGGCGTATGAATGAATAGCGTATCATAGCGATGTATAAAGTTTATTGTTGACTTATACATGTAAAGATATAATGTAATGTTATACTGAAAAGCAATTCACAAATTATCATAACATTAAGGTTACCTAGAAAATGTGGGCTATTATTGGTACAAAATTACATGTCTACTCGATACAAACTAGGTCAATTCGGGACTAACATGGTTCAATTGTATTTCAATACTTCGGTTGTAGGCCTATGTAGAGGTTTTAGCTGTGGGAGCAAACCGATCAAGGATCGGAGAAAACCCAAGAGGTTCGACATGCGACGACTCTTCTTCCTGTCACGTAATGAGTATCGTTCACTCAATATATATAAGCTAGGTCATTTCGGGACTAACATGGTCCAATTGTATTGCAATAATTCGGTTGCATGTAGAGGTCTTTAGCTGTGGGAGCAAACTGGAGGATCTAAAGAAAACCCAAGAGGTTGGACATGCGACGACCCTACTCCTCGTCACGTACGGAGTGTCGTTTACGCCATACAAACTAGGTCATTCGGGACTAACATGGTTCAGTTTATTTCAATAATTCGATTTCACGCAATGACCTTTAGCCGTGGGAGGAAACCGGGGGAGCCGGAGAAAACCCACGAGATTGGACACGCGACAACCCTATTACTTGTCACGTACAAAATGGGTATTGAAACCACGCCAGTTGACTCAATGACAGACCTCGTGATTTAAAGCACATCGTATTTATAGAGTGAAGCAAACTTTGTCTATAGACCACTTGTAATAGCGGAAATGTACCTTTATTCTGATAGCTGCTCGGATGTATGAGTAGGCCTATTTCCCTTTCAGCATAGGAGTAGGGGGGGGGGGGGTCAATCTCAGTTTAAGCGTGTGTATGTGGTGTGTGTGTGTGTGTTTCTATTTGCCCGAAATGTTTCTTTGTCAACCTAATTTTCAGAATGAATCAATCATTATCCAAAACGATTTTCCCCACAAATGTTATTGCGCGAGGTCTTAAGTATTTTAGTATTTAAAGCGTAAACCGTGAGCAATATCATTTTACAATTATACTTCTATGATATATGGTGTCATTCTCTAATGTTTGTGCCCGACAAACGGAAATACATTGCCCGAAAAAATGGATGGTTCACCGAAACTGGACAGCACCCACCCCTTCCGGCTCCTATATATATCAGGTATTAAACAGCAAGGAAGCTCACGCGGATTTTTCCGGGTTGGCTTTGGTTGAGAATGTAGGAATGGGTAATATGCTAATCTGTTAAAAAGTTTGATGATGAGCTTCGTATAACACTTTTAGTAGAATTTTTGCTCGTGAAATTAATGATGGCATTATATTGTATTAACTATTGTTTTGGCAAGTTGTGGGATTCAAACATATTCACATGTACTTAAAATACTTAAATCAAACTAGCGAATGAGTGACAGATGGGTAGATAAAAAAGAGTTATAGAACCAAAACATAGCTGGTTCTATATGTCAACAACATGATAACATATCTCATGAGAAGTTTCTCCAGTAAATTTCCATTACCATATAAGGGTGGGTTTCGACGTCATTCGACTTAATTAACCAATAGCTCTAATTAATTACATCATATTTGACCAATGAGATAATTGAACGTCCAAACCCCACAGCTACAAAATTATCATATTTGTGAGCAATCTCCAGACAGCAGCTTGATTCCAGAAGGGGAAAGATGTAGCAATTTCTATCAGCAGACTCGCTCATATCGAGTCTGGCTGGCTAGGGTTTGAGAATGACTTTGGTATTCTAATCTATACTATGTTTGTATCTATGTGTCCGGCTATGCTATATAAAATGTAAAAACGAACTGTAGCATTGTTATTCCTGGAAAAACAAACGTCTTAAGAAAACAGTAAGAGGTAAACACACAACGTGAAGCGGAAGTAAAGACAACCAGAGACAAATTCTAGACGATCACAGGGCTACTAAGATATGTACATGTAGTAAGAAAAGATGCATGGGTCGTACGTAGGATTTGGCGACCGGTTTCCAACTCCCGCTCTCCACGTCTGACAGAAGGCCCATGGTGCTACATTCGTCATTTAACAAAGTTATCCGAGTATCCATATTCAGATTACACACACACACACATAGAATTAAAAAAAGATAACAAGATATATTTCATATTTTATTAACATTTTTAAAAAAAATACTTTGTAATTATTTCACACAAAAGTTCAGGTTCTAGTTTCAAGTTTTGTACCAATTTCTAGACTTCTTTTAACTATATATAAAGAGAAAGAAAACATCTTTAATCTTCTTCATAGCCATCTGGTAATGGGGTGGCATGCTTGTTGTGGAATAAAGTGTGATTTCCATCTCCCCAGGGGAATGGCTGGAACAAAAAAAAAAGCCAGCAAGATATTATTATTTTCATTCTATTCCTACATGGCCACCTATCTCTGTGGTTAGAATGATCCCTGATTTACTCTTAGCGCTAACTAACTAGTCAATAATAATCACATTAAAATATTCAAGTCTAAACATCAACTGGGATAATGATAACGGAAACATAAACTGACTGAATTACAAAAAGATTCATCTTTCCGAAAAAGTAGTACAAGCTTAGGGTTCCATGGGCGAAGAAAGAGTTCAAAACGCTTGGAAACAAGACTCTAAATCAAGTCTAACTTTAACCATTTGGTTACGTGTCCAGTAAAGTTAATGTAACGCGAATGATGGAATTAATCATATACAAGTTTCCGGAAATATTGAAAGAGTATTATTTATAAAAAAAAAACCGATCGCAATTATTATATATTATATTTATCTGTACTTTATAGACTATATTGCCTGTACGTTATAGACTATATTTACCTGTACGTTATAGATTTTTACCTGTACTTTATAGACTATATTTAGGTGTACGCTATATATTACCTGTACGTTATAGACTATATTTACCTGTACGTTATATATTACCTGTACGTTACAGATTATATTTACTTGTACGTTATAGATTATTTTTACCTGTACGTTATAGACTATATTTACCTGCCAGTGCACGTTATTGATTATTTTTACCTGTACGGTCTATTCTTTTTATTTTAGAATTCTCTTGCGTTACATGTACGTTATTGATTTTTTTTTTACCTGTATGGTCTAGTCTTTTTCTTTCTTAGAATTCCAACTGGCGAGGGTTCTCTTGCGTTTACACATAATCAGATCCCGACTTGCCATCCTATCCGAATGACTAGACGATATTCCTTATATTACGTTACATCAAATAGACCTACCTTGGTTCTAGTTCTCAAGTGCTCATATTTATGAAATTCGGGTGGTTCTTCATGGTGGTCACCAAATACAAAAGCATTGACATATGCCACACCAACAGCGGGTAGAGCTACTAAACCTGTTAGCATCTTCCACTTTTTTGCACCACCTAAAACAACCAAACATATCTTAAGGTAATCAGTCTTTCGGTGGCGAAACTAGTTGAGGTCACTAGGTCATTGCTGAAATATGAACAGGTTTACACAGGTGGAGGGGAAGCGAAGGCCGGTGATTTGCTATCTCAGCATCCAGGAGGATAGACCATAATTATTCAAAAGGTCGCCCTTTAAATATTTCTGGTATGCACTTAGATAATTTGCCACCACCAAGAAGTGTCGCCTCGGGAATATCCCCCCCCCTTCAGCACCCCCCTGTGGGGGCCCTGTGTTCATATACATGTACCCACATAACATTGACGGAACACTGTCAAATAGAAAATGAAAGCGAGCAGTAAGCTGGGGGTCATAGAATGTCTGGATGATTTTCTTATTCACATCCAGATTTATTAGTACAGAAACTTATTATACTAGTAGCGATTTATTGTTAATTTTATATTTTGGTAATTCTTTCCTCTCATTTGATGAGAAATTTTATATTTTTTATTAGGGTACATTCCATGTCAAGTGGGCCAGGGGTGGGAAATCGACCCCCTCGAAAGAATCTGGAAAATATATATGTTATTGTACATGAAAAAACTAGAAACTATGCAAATTTTGTGGTCTGTAGCTTGAAAATTGACTGAGATACTGGCATTTGAGTTTCATGAGTTACCTGATGAGTTTTGGAAACAAAATATGTACATGTATCAATAATTTACTGTATCAGTAAGTTTCAGTGCAGATATACATGTACAGCTCAGATTTGGTTGTCTTAAAGAACTTTTTGTGTAGATTACAGGTGAGTGGTGGGGTACGCATGCTACTTGGTCATAAAAACCGAAAAACAAATTGGTGTAATTGTACATTTTCTAGATTTTGTAGTGCTCCAAAGATTGCCGGTAATACTACATAGGAAACATATGAAAAGGCACCAGTCTTCACTAGATTCCCAGACAATTGGCCTCGAATATGGTTTTAGACACAAATTTTCGAAAATTGCCTCGTATTGTCGAGCCGATAGAACCCGGTAGATGAGCACTTGGTGTAATTATAGTTTGTACTAATGTCTCCAATATATGTTAAAGCCATTCTTGTTCCATGCCGTCTAGATATTTTTTCAATTTTTTCAAAATCTGTGTTTTGGGTCAATCTATGTCAATTATCATATTTTCGAGCCGACTGAACCCGGTAGATGAGTACCAAACCAGCGGCTGCCAGGCAGGATACGCCCACATTTTCGAGAGGTGGATAGAGAACAAGCTAAAAAGAAAGTGATTTTTCGTACAATCAGGGGCCATAATTCAGGAAGTTACTGTCCGATATGCGCGAGTATGGAAAGGAACCGAGATCTTTGGGTTATAAACTTACATTTCAAGTTTCATCACAATTGGATAAAAATTGTGACCTCTATATAGGGTCCACACCCTTGATGTGCCATATTTTTACGCTATTTGAGAACGAATTGCGGACATTTTGTCTGTCAGTTTTGGGCCGATTTTCACGAAATTCGAACTCAATCATCCTTAGGGTTTAACGGTGATATAATAATAAGTTTTTCTCAATCGGATAAAATTTATGACCTCTATTGGGTCCACAAGCTAAAATCGCAATTTTTCGTATAATCAGGGGCCATAATTCAGGAAGTTACGTTCCGATATGCGCGAATATCGAAAGGAACCGAGATCTTTGGGTTATAAACTTACATTTTAAGTTTCAACAAAATCGGATAAAAATTGTGACCTCCATAGGGTTCACAACCTTGATATACCATATTTTTACGCTATTTGAGAACGAAGGGCGGCCATTTTGTCTGTCAGTTTTGGGCCGATTTTCACAAAATTCGAACTCAGTCACCCTTAGGGTTTAACGGTGATATAATAATAAGTTTTTCTCAATCGGATAAAATTTATGACCTCTATTGGGTCCACAAGCTAAAATTGCAATTTTTCGTACAATCAGGGGCCATAATTCAGGAAGTTACGGTCCGATATGCGCGAATATCGAAAGGAACCACGATCTTTGTGTTATAAACTTACATTTCAAGTTTCAACAAAATCGGATAAAAATGTGACCTCTATAAGGTCCAAAACCTTCATATACCATATTTTTTACGCTATTTGAGAACGAACGGCGGCCATTTTGTCTGTCAGTTTTGGGCCGATTTTCACGAAATTCGAACTCAGCCGTCCTGGTTTAACGGTGATATAATAATACGGTTTTTTAAATCGGATAAAAATTATGACCTCTATAGGGTCCACAAGCTAAAAACGCGATTTTTCGTACAATCAGGGGCCATAATTCAGGAAGTTACGTTCCGATATGCACGAATATCGAAAGGAACCGAGATCTTTGGGTTATAATCATACATGTCAAGTTTAAACTAAATCGGAAAAAAATTGTGACCTCTACAGTGTTCACAAGCTAAAAACGTGATTTTTCGTATAATCAGGGGCCACAATCCATGAAGTTACAGTCCGATACTTGTCAATATGGAAAGGAACCGAGATCTTAGGGTGATAAACCTATATTTCAAGTTTCGTTGAAATCGGATAAAAATTGTGACCTGTAGACTGTTTACAAACAATTGTGGACGGACGTCCGGACGGACGGACAGGGGCGACGACAATATATGTCCACATGAAAATGTGGGCGTATAAAAATCTGGAACTTGTGTAATGTAGTTTCTATACTAATGTCTCTAACATAATACATTTGTTAAAACTATTCTTGTCCCATGCCATCTCAATATTTTGTCGATTTTTTCAAAATTTGTGTTTTGGGTCATACCCCCTTCGATTTTGCTGAACTTTGGTTTACATGTTTATCATGGCTGAAAAAGCTGATATTCCTAATTTGAGCTTGATTCAACTATAGGTTCCTGAGATACGGTCCTCTCAATTTTGGGGATTTCGGCCAAAATGGGCGTGACCGCTATTATTCAAAAGACCGTAACCCAGTAACCGATAGGTCAAAATTGATGGAATAACTATTTCTGGAATGGGAAAGGGGATGTCTTGCTTTTTTCAAACATAGTTATCTATCTTTAGATAGATGGCATGGGAAAAGAATGGCTTTAACATATGTTGGAGATATTAGTACAAACTATAATTACACCAAGTTTCAGAATTTTAGGTGCTCATTTATCGGGTTCATTAGGCTCGGAAATACGTGGTAATTTTTTGAAAATTTGTGTCTAAAACCACATTCATTTTCTTGGAATCTAGTGAAGACTGTTGAGTTCTCATATGTTTCTTATGTAGTACTACCGGCAATCTCTGGATAGGCCAAAATATGGGTGTATAACTATTATCTTGTAGCTCATGGAGCACTAGAAAATCCAGAAAATATACAGTTACACCAAATTGTTTTCGGTTTTCATGGCCAAGTAGCATACGAACCATACCACTCATTGCAGATTCGTAATCTACACACATATATTGCCTGTATATCTTCACTAGAAAGGTAAAAACAAGATAGCTGAAACACGAGTAAATGCTCGATTTCCCAAATTTCTGAAAATTGACCCACTTGACATGGAATGACCCATGACACTTTTCCATTTTATGAGAAATGATGAAATTTTATGAAAATATAAATGGTTTATACTCTACGGTCCCTTCGGTATCAAAACATTTACTTTTTATTCGTTTCTACGAATCGTGTAATGAGCTGTTTGTTGATGGTAAAATTGGATTTTGTATTCAGGTCCAGATATGCGCCACAAATAACCATTGACACCCCGATTTTTAAAATTTTCTCGGAGGACCCCCTCCTAAATAAAAATGCTGTATCCGCCACTGCAGTGTCTTTACATGGCAAAATCTATTTGTTAAGGCCAGCTCAATTTTTGTCAATGTCTCCAAGATGTAAATAAGGTTAGGGCATGTGATTTTTGGCGAGAGAGAGAGTGAGAGAGAGTGACAGACCTTATGATACAGCGCGCACGTGCTAACCATTCGGTCACCCCCCACCACCGATTTTTGGTGAGATTGTAGGTTAGCGAGTCGTTTATATCAACATTATAATGTTCCCGATCAGGTGTCCAATCAACAGATTTAAAATTTACATGGACAAATAAAGAGATTGGATTACACATTGTCTTAAAGAAATCACATGAATAGAAGTTTGAAATTAGACGATAGACGAGATTAACAAATTTAGAATTTTGATACTCGTTCTCCAGCCATTTTAATTAATGCTACGTAATTGGCTAATGGGGGTACCATAGTATTTAAAGTTTAAAGGGACAATAACACTCTTGCTGGCTTGACAGATCCAGAAAATAAAAAAAATAGCCTTATTCTAAGTACTAGATGTGTTAGTGTCCTACCTGTTGTGTAAATTATCCATTAAATCCTATTTTACTTGTCCAGAGGGTTCAAAAATATTTTTAAATCCAAGTCACATTTGAAAAGCTTTACGTCATGGTTTTCAGATCATTTAATTGAATTTTTCCATTTTTTTTAAATTAGGTGTGTTAAGATGAAATTTGTATCATCATTTAATTGTAAAATAATTGTAATGTTTTGTAAAATAGTACAAATTTGTTGACCAGAATAAAGATTGGGACATATTATTCAGTTACAACAAGAGTGGTATTGAGCCTTTAAACTAAAAGTTTGCACGGACTAAGACGGTAAAGACCCAAAAGCCTTTTAAATTCGGAGTTGGACATTTTGGTCTTCGAAGGAATTATTAGTGAGCAGAAATTCGCCCATGTATCTGTTATCACTCGTCATTTCAGTCAGCTATATAGAGGCATAACTCGTATTTTCCTTTTGCGTTCGTCACTTCCGATTGTTGAAGCATTGATTACGCATCTATGGTAGCAATGATCTCTAAAATAATATTTGGAACGTGTTTAACCAGTTCTATCACGTATGTGATAATGACTGGCACCAATATTGTCCTTTAAGACATTGCGTAATATATTGAAACAACAACCCGTGACTACGTCACTTGTGTTGTTTCAATATATTACATAATGTCTCGCTCTCGACCATTAAACCAC